AAACTAAAGGCAAGCTCCCCTTTCATCGGCCAGAGAAGGGGTGGAGAAGCTATTCATATTTTAAATATTTAAAGGAGCTCTTTTCAAACTGAACAGTTTTTTTTGTGAAAGGAATCCTTAAGGGTAAATGAAGACCTACATGGATATTTACCTGCTGCTGCATTTTACATAATAAGTGTCATGAGCAATATGGGTATTTTTGGCAGCATTGCTGCTGTGTACTTTAAAAGACCCCATTCCTATGAAATTGAGCGTGCTCACCCCATAGTGGCTACATAATAACCCATTTTTGACTATATGAACTAATTCAAGTGTTTAGAAATAACATATGGTAGTCAGAATAAGACCATATCATCTCCAAATGCGCTTGCGTGTTCAGACCCAGAGACCTCCCCCCTAAATAAACACACATCCTGACTCAAATTTTAGTTTTGGTTTTTGGCAGAATTTAGGCCACAACTTTATTGATTACAGAAAGTGAGTGGTTGCATAGGCTCCGGTTCGACTAGCTCCCTGCACCCTTGCAGATGGCACTGACCCAGAGCTCTATCATAGGTCAGCCAAGGGTGAACACCTGAGGTAGGTAGAAAGCCCGGGAACAGACTATGTCTACTCCCCAGATGCTCCCATGAACTCAGGCAGGGGCACAACCTGAATTGAGTCCCTGAATTCCTTTAATGGAATACCCTTCACATAGGGATGGCAAGACCATTGTCCGATCCCTATCACCTGAACCAGTGCCTATCCGCAACCTTACAAGTTGTGACGATTTGCTACGTGGCAGGCAAAACCCAAATGGCAACAGCCAATCAGCCAAGTGGGGAAAATTCCTGCAATGCCCCTGTCCCAATGACAGACGACACATGACGGCATAGCAAGGTCAATCGCACAATGTCCTAAATATAGGGAGAGGTGGGCAGGTGTTCCGATGCACGAGCCAAAAGAGGAAGCTCTGGGTCATGTGCATAGGCATATATAAGTCCCTCGGCCCGTTCAGACAGCTCCCCATTGGCCAGATTAAACCCAGCAATGAGGGGCCTACCAATCAAGTGTTGTGGCTGTCCAATATACCCACACACAACCAAAAGGTCAGTCTCCAGGTCTCACCGCAACACGTGCCCTCTTTGAGGGAGGACATACTTTATCTGTAGAGCTGCACGCAAATGGAAATTGGTCCATTAAGCCAAATGGTTTTGTAGCTCACCAAACTCAGTCTGCTCTCACACATTTCCTAACCACCTGTTGTCTTACAGGTGACCAGTGGGTGACATTTCTTGCCAGCTTCCTCCTCCTCAGTTTTGTTCCTGCAAGGAAGAGTAGGATTAGAATTAGTGGGCTCTGCCTGTCATTGGCTCATGCTCCTCTTTTCACTGGCTCCACCTATTCCCTTCTTTCCACCCTATCAGTCCCAGTTGACACCAACCATCACTGCAAATGGCCTACTTGTGGGCAGAAAGGTTAGGGACATCATTCCATAAGATTTTCCCCATAGGAAGGATGTGTGAGACTGTAGTCAAACATGCATGAGTGCTAGTTAGTGCATGAAGGGGTTAAGAAAATAGAACAGGATTCCTAGACTCAGCTAGGTGACGTCCCCCTCTTCTCTAATAAGGGTGGAAGTGAAACCTTCTCTTCCTGTTCCCCCTCTCTCTCACTGTGACATGGAATTGACCAAAGAAGAAGTGCCTAAGCAAGCTCCAAGCTTTGAACATGTGTTTGGAAGTATCTTCTGTATCAGGCATAGGCAAACTCGGCCCTCCAGATGTTTTGGGACTACAACTCCCATCATCCCTAGCTAGCAGGCCCAGTGGTCAGGGATGATGGGAATTGTAGTCCCAAAACATCTGGAGGGCCGAGTTTGCCGATGCCTGTTCTGTATTTTCTACCCAAGAACATTCTGCCTGTGTTCTCCTTGCTGCTGCTTGGACAAATGCATGAATCTGACCTTTGGAGATTTTGCAAGTAAAGTATTTAAAATTACTTAACAGTGTGTGATCTGTTCATTGCCAGAGGGGTAGAAAGAGGGGAGTTCTGTTTGCAAGCAAACTAAATGGGACATGAAAAGGTTTAACAGCATATATTCCCACATTATACTGCTGCCTGGTTTTTTTGTGAGCTTCAGCTCTGCCATTGGCGGCCCTCTCCTGCTGGGGAGTGAGTTTCACCTGTGTTTTGAATCCAGGCACCCAGACAATTCTTTTGTTATTTACCCACGCATGTGGATCACAGGACCGTATATTTTCCTCCCACAGAGGAGCCATTGTTCACAGGGGCAGGGTTCACTATTAATTAGTGCAAGGACCTGCACAATAAACCTTCCTCACCCTCTCCTTCCCTGGAACAGATTTTTGGTGGGTGCAGAGAAAGGGACATTAGAAGTCCTTAACTGGATACGACCCTTAGTTTTTCATTTATTTAAAATGAAAATGCTCACATTTGTTTTCGCTGACTTGAGCTCCTTTCAATCTCTTCGCTCTGCTGTGGCAGCATACCTGATTTGCCAGCCACTGTTTTCTGTTCCCAGAATATCCCAGACCTTACAACATTTTGTGGCATTCTAGGAATGGGCAATGGCGGTCGCCACAAAAAAGTGCCATATCCCACAGAAATGCTCCAGAACCATGTGATAGGCAGTTCTGAAAAAATAAAATGACACCTGCTGGGCGACATCTGCCCCCACATTAGCTACTGCCATGGGAGAAAGATAACCATCCCCACCCCTGAGTGGGATGATTAAATTCTTACAGATGGCATTTGTTTGGTACTAAATGAACGTTGAACCAAATGGACCTCATTTGGTTCAGTGTTTCATTCATTAGAAAATCAGTGCATGCCCCTATATAAAACGACTCTCATGTGAGCCCAGTATATAATTGACCCGTGCAATGCAATCTGGCTAAAAGCAATTCTTCTTTCAGAGGCAGTGAAGATTATGTTATTTTATATATACATATATATTTTTTAAAAAAGCAAGTTCACAGAAAATGACTCTGTGGTGTAAAGAGAAAAGAAATCTCTGTCGTTGCAGGCTTGGAGCAATGGCTTTATGGTAGGGAAAGAGGCAATATAATGACAGTGTTGCTCTGTGACCATTTTTACAAGGCAAGCCAATGCAAAATGATATCAGGGCAATGCAGGGGACATTGTAAAAACAGAATGTGGAAACCAGAAAAGCGAATCTGTTATAGAAATAACAAAATTGATTCTCACACTAAACAGTATATTGCTTTCATATGTCATACTTTCCGTCCTTCTGGCTTAGATGGAGCCAGACATGTTAAAGTCTCTCTCTTTTTATATTGTTGCTTGAATTGCCTCGCTCAAGGACAGGTAGTTACAATGCCCATGCACAGCGGTAACCTGGCATTTAGAACCGTGTGATATATTTGCCGGTTTTGCTCACTTCAAATTCAATGCATTTGTGAAATAACTAACAATGCAGCGGCTACATTAGCGGCAGATCTCTTTCCCTCCAAAGCAGGCATATTTTCTTTCATCAAATAAAACCCTGTTTTTATGCTCCCTACGAGAGAATACATTCCCAGGTTTGCACAAAAACACACACAAAACGACCAATGCACAAAATCTAAGCTGCAGAAAGCCAAGCATAGCAATTCAGAATGAAGTTAGTTGCACTGAATTAAGGTTGTGGCGTTCAAACTGCATTTGAATTAGGGCACATTATGCAAAGCGTTTGCTAATTATGCAAATCAAGTTAAACTCTTTTCCTACTCCAAATCACCTCTTCCCAATGCTGCAAACAGGTAATTGGGGGTAGGTGCTTACATGAAATGTGCTCTTCAACCTCAGGGCCACCTTGCCTTCTGAGCATGTGCCTTTGCGCATGCACCCAGGCACCCCTCTCTATCCTCTACCCACGCAAACACGAGGCAATATTAAAATTCGAGGGAACACTCCAGTCTGGCAAAAGCACTCAAGGAGGATGTGAAGAAAGGATGGTGAGAAGTGTAGAGTGTGCCAGAGGAAACAAGGGGTGTGATCTGGGGAGAATCTCAAGGGTGAGATAGTGGCAGAGACTGGCTGGATGAGGAAGAGTGGTAGGGGCCACCCAAGAGCCCCAAAGGGAGGTCACAGAAGACGATAACTTAGAGTCATGAGAAAGAGAAAATAATAATAATAATAAAATTTTATTTATACCCCATCCTTCCCGGCCAGGGCTAGGCTCAGGGCAGCTAACACCAAATATAAATTACAATAAAACATAATAGGGAATGTATGAATGAATAAATAAACAGTTAATTAAAATACGGCTTGAAATACAGCATAAAATGCAGCTTAAAATGCAGCCTCATTTTAGTAAAGGTAAAGGTAAAGGGATGCCTGACCATTAGGTCCAGTCGTGACCGACTCTGGGGTTGCGGAGCTCATCTCGCTTTACTGGCCGAGGGAGCCGGTGTACAGCTTCCGGGTCATGTGGCCAGTATGACTAAGCTGCCTCTGGCTAACCAGAGCAGCCACGGAAACACCGTTTACCTTCCCGGTGGAACACTTTGACATGCTTTTGAACTCCTAGGTTGGCAGGAGCAGGGACCGAGCAACGGGAGCTCACCCCATCGCAGGGATTCGAACCTTCTGATCGGCAAGTCCTAGGCTCTGTAGTTTAACCCACAGCGCCACCCGCGTCCCTTAACCATTCTTACTCGCCTGCTAATTGAAACCCACCCCCAACCCTCTCAATAACCCTTCCCAAGGTTTTCTCAAAAATAGCTTGAAAACAGTAAGATTAAATTGGTCAGGAATTGTTCTACAGATACCTTGTATTTTGGGTAGATGTATTTCCCCGAATGCAAACATTTTCCAATTTTGAGTCAGGTTTAATCATCAAGATTAAATGCCAGCATCTTTTCGGTGAGATCTCCCCATCTGCGGAATGGATGGCTTTGACCTTTCTTGCTTCCATCCATTTTGCTAGATCGCCATCTCTTCTCCTTGCATGTTCATCTTAAGCCTGGACTATAAATTATGTATAGCGTATGGCATTATGAGATTTGACCGTTCTGTGATGCACCTTAGGGAAGAAACATGCAGCCTTTTATACACTAAATAGACTGACAAGAGCTAGAAGCTATGAGAGCACCGCTTAACTCAAAATGATAGAGAATAGCAGTAAAACACCAGTAAGGATCAAAAGGCAAGATGCATCTCCAAGCCCAGGACTTTGATTCCCAGCATACTGAGCTCCAGATCAATAAATCAAAAGTTAAATGTTATGAACTGGCATTACAAGGATGGCAGCGGTTAGAGTGGGAGTAAAGATTGAGGTGACTTACCTTTAAACCCCACTGCAGCTGGCAAAGTTTTCACTACAGCATTCTTCTCCGTAGGAATGCTGTACTGTACATCCCCCAGTCATTTCAAAGCTGACTTCTTTTGACTTGTCACAACCGTAGCAATTTCTGGGGGAGAAAGAGAAAACTGTGTGCTGTGCTAGTAATCCTACAATAGCCCTGAAAGTAGACTGGTATAATTACCCCCACAATTGAGGGGCAGGCTGGTTTCAGACGGAGAAACAGCAGCTCACTGGGCAAGTTAACAGCTAAGATGAATTTACATCAGAACCACTGTCTTTACGATAGGAGTTGCTAATCTTTTTAAGGGGGAACCAGTGGAGACATTTGAATTTTGAGAAAATGCCACGGGCACCAGTTACAAAACGGCTGGCGTGGGAGGGGCATGGCATAAGGCTGCCACATCCAAAATAACAAAAAAAGTGACAAGACCACAAAATGGTGCAGGCATGCCCCCAGTTGGGAGCAGAGAGGCCCCTGCATAAGCCACCACCACGGTCACCAATGAGAAACCCTCTTTGTACATCTCTTCTGATCTGGGGGTGGGGCGGGTGGCACTGTGGTCTAAACCACTGAGCCCCTTGGGCTTGCCGATCAGAAGGTTGGCAGTTCGAATCCCCACAACGGGGTGAGCTCCCGTTGCTCTGTTCCAGCTCCTGCCAACCTATCAGTTCGAAAGCAGTCCAGTGCAAGTAGATAAATAGGTACCATTGCGGTGGGAAGGTAAACGGCGTCTCTGTGTGCTCTGGTTTCCATCACGGTGTTCCGTTGTGCCAGAAGCAGTTTTGTCATGCTGGCCACATGACCCAGAAAGATGTCTGTGGACAAATGCCAGCTCTCTCGGCCTGAAAGCGAGATGAGCACTGCAACTCCATAGTTACCTTTGACTGGACTTATCTGTCCAGGGGTCCTTTACCTCCTTTACCTTATCTTGTTCAGAACAGAGAGGCGAGCAGGCCTTCAGTCCCAGCACTGAATGAAATCTGGGTAAAGGAGGAAGGTTTGTTCAATGTAGGGGAGAATTGAAGAGAAGCAGCAAACCATCTCTTGTGCATTGTGGTGTTTTGAGGGGATGTTTATGAAGACCCTTCATGGGTGCCATAAGGGACAGCAGTGACTACTATGGTGCATGTGCGCACCATATTGGTGCTGTATGGGAATCAAAGTAGCTTTTCGTATGTGCTGCTCCAACCTTTCCAACCACAGTTTGCTGCTTTTCAAAATCCAGGAAATTGGCTAGCACTCACTATTGCTTGGGATGTGGGTGGCGCTGTGGGTTAAACCACAGAGCCTAGAACTTGCCGATCAGAAGGTCGGCGGTTCGAATCCCCGCAATGGGGTGAGCTCCCGTTGCTCGGTCCCTGCTCCTGCCAACCTAGCAGTTCAAAAGCACGTCAAAGTGCAAGTAGATAAATAGGTACCGATCCCGCGGGAGGTAAACAGTATTTCCGTGCGTTGCTCTGGTTCGCCAGAAGCGGATTAGTCATGCTGGCCACATGACCCGGAAGCTGTACGCCGGCTCCCTCGGCCAATAAAGTGAGATGAGTGCCGCAACCCCAGAGTCGGCCACGACTGGACCTAATGGTCAGGCGTCCCTTTACCTTTGTTGTTGTTTAGTCGTTTAGTCGTGTCCGACTCTTCGTGACCCCATGGACCAGAGCACACCAGGCACTCCTATCTTCCACTACCTCCCGCAGTTTGGTCATACTCATGTTTGTAGCTTCGAGAACACTGTCCAACCATCTCGTCCTCTGTCGTCCCCTTCTCCTTGTGCCCTCCATCTTTCCCAGAATCAGGGTCTTTTCCAGGGAGTCTTCTCTTCTCATGAGGTGGCCAAAGTATTGGAGCCTCAGTTTCACGATCTGTCCTTCCAGTGAGCACTCAGGGCTGATTTCCTTCAGAATGGATACATTTGATCTTCTTGCAGTCCATGGGACTCTCAAGAGTCTCCTCCAGCACCATAATTCAAAAGCATCAATTCTTCGGCGATCAGCCTTCTTTATGGTCCAGCTCTCACTTCCATACATCACTACTGGGAAAATCATGGCTTTAACTACACGGACCTTTGTTGGTAAGGTGATGTCTCTGCTTTTTAAGATGCTGTCTAGGTTTGCTATCGCCTTTCTCCCAAGGAGCAGGTGTCTTTTAATTTCGTGACTGCTGTCACCATCTGCAGTGATCATGGAGCCCAAGAAAGTAAAATTTCTCACTGCCTCCATTTCTTCCCCTTCTATTTGCCAGGAGGTGATGGGACCAGTGGCCATGATCTTAGTTTTTGATGTTGAGCTTCAGACCATATTTTGCGCTCTCCTCTTTCACCCTCATTAAAAGGTTCTTTAATTCCTCCTCACTTTCTGCCATCAAGGTTGTGTCATCTGCATATCTGAGGTTGTTGATATTTCTTCCGGCGATCTTAATTCCGGCTTGGGATTCATCCAGCCCAGCCTTTCACATGATGAATTCTGCATATAAGTTAAATAAGCAGGGGGACAATATACAGCCTTGCCGTACTCCTTTCCCAATTTTGAACCAATCAGTTGTTCCATATCCAGTTCTAACTGTAGCTTCTTGTCCCACATAGAGATTTCTCAGGAGACAGATGAGGTGATCAGGAACTCCCATTTCTTTAAGAACTTGCCATAGTTTGCTGTGGTCGACACAGTCAAAGGCTTTTGCATAGTCAATGAAGCAGAAGTAGATGTCTTTCTGGAACTCTCTAGCTTTCTCCATAATCCAGTGCATGTTTGCAATTTGGTCTCTGGTTCCTCTGCCTCTTCTAAATCCAGCTTGCACTTCTGGGAGTTCTCGGTCCACATACTGCTTAAGCCTGCCTTGTAGAATTTTAAGCATAATCTTGCTAGCGTGTGAAATGAGTGCAATTGTGCGGTAGTTGGAGCATTCTTTGGCACTTCCCTTCTTTGAGATTGGGATGTAGACTGATCTTCTCCAATCCTCTGGCCACTGCTGAGTTTTCCAAATTTGCTGGCATATTGAGTGTAGCACCTTAACAGCATCATCGTTTAAAATTTTAAATAGTTCAGCTGGAATATCATCACTTCCACTGGCCTTGTTATTAGCAATGCTTTCTAAGGCCCATTTGACTTCACTCTCCAGGATGTCTGGCTCAAGGTCAGCAACCACACTACCTGGGGTATACGAGACATCAATTTCTTTCTGGTATGGTTCCTCTGTGTATTCTTGCCACCTCTTCTTGATGTCTTCTGCTTCTGTTAGGTCCTTTCCACTTTTGTCTTTTATTATGGTAATCTTTGTACGAAATGTTCCTTTCATATCTCCAGTTTTCTTGAACAGATCTCTGGTTTTTCCCACTCTGTTGTTTTCCTCTATTTCTTTGCATTGCTCGTTTAAGAAGGCCTTCTTGTCTCTCCTTGATATTTTTTGGAAATCTGCAATCAATTTCCTGTATCTTTCACTATCTCCCTTGCATTTTGCTTGCCTTCTCTCCCCCGCTATTTGTAAGGCCTCATTGGACAGCCACTTTGCTTTCTTGCATTTCCTTTTCATTGGGATGGTTTTAGTTGCTGCCTCTTGTATAATGTTACGAGCCTCCATCCATAGTTCTTCAGGCACTCTGTCCACCAAATCTAAATCCTTAAACCTGTTCCTCACTCCCACTGTGTATTCATAAGGGATTTGACTTAGATTGTATCTTAGCGGCCCAGTGGTTTTTCCTACTTTCTTCAGTTTGAGCTTGAATTTTGCTATAAGAAGCTGATGATCTGAGCCACAGTCAGCTCCAGGTCTTGTTTTTGCTGACTGTATAGAGCTTCTCCATCTTTGGCTGCAGAGAATATAATCAATCTGATTTCGATGCTGCCCGTCTGGTGATGTCCATGTGTAGAGTCGTCTCTTTTGTTGTTGGAAAAGAGTGTTTGTGATGACCAGCTTGTTCTCTTGGCAGAACTCTATTAGCCTTTGCCCTGCTTCGTTCTGAACTCCAAGGCCAAACTTGCCAGTTGTTCCTTTTATCTCTTGACTCCCTACTTTAGCATTCCAATCTCCTATAATGAGAAGAACATCCTTCTTTGGTGTCATTTCTATAAGGTGTTGTAAGTCTTCATAGAATTGGTCAATTTGAGTTTCTTCAGCACCTGTGGTTGGTGCATAAACTTGGATTACTGTGATGTTAAAAGGTCTGCCTTGGATTCGTATCGAGATCATTCTATCATTTTTGAGATTGCATCCCAGTACAGCTTTTGCCACTCTTTTGTTGACTATGAGGGCCACTCCATTTCTTTTACGGGATTCTTGCCCACAGTAGTAGATATGATGGTCATCCGAACTGAATTCGCCCATTCCCGTCCATTTTAGTTCACTGATGCCCAGGATGTCGATATTTATTCTTGCCATCTCATTTTTGACCACATCCAACTTACCAAGGTTCATGGTTCTTACATTCCAGGTTCCTATGCAATATTTTTCTTTACAGCATTGGACTTTCCTTTCGCTTCCAGGCATATCCGCAACTGAGCGTCCTTTCGGCTTTGGCCCAGCCGCTTCATCAGCTCTGAATCTACTTGTACTTGTCCTCCGCTCTTCCTCAGTAGCATGTTGGACGCCTTCCAACCTGAGGGGCTCATCTTCCAGAGTCATGACTTCTATATGCCTGTTGTCTTTGTCCATGGAGTTTTCTTGGCAGGGATACTGGAGTGGCTTGCCAGTTCCTGCTCCAGATGGATCACGTTTGGTCAAAACTCTCCACTATGACCTGTCCATCTTGGGTGGCCCTGCACGGCATAGCTCATAGCTTCTCTGAGTTATTCAAGCCCCTTCGCCACGGCAAGGCAGTGATCCATGAAGGGGACCCTTTACCTTTATATTTACACTATTGCTTGCCCAGAAACTAGTATTGAAAACCAAGTTCAAACCATAATTTCCAATCCTGATTTCTGGGCAAACTATGGTGGGTAAGTAATGATTTGATGCTTAATGCAACCAGCGCTTTTTTTCTAAGAAAAAAACACGTTTAGGGGTACTCTCATTCTGTATGAGACTCAGGAAACACTGTGACAGGAAAGAAGGCCACCATCAGGAGTAGCAATGGAACTGAGGATTCACTGTGCTAGAGAAGAAACAAACAAACAAAAAGATTATTATTTTTAGTTTCTTCTCCCGTTAGATTCACAAAATGTATAGGGGCATGCGTACCCCCAGAAAAAAAGCACTGAATGCAACCAAGAACAGAAAGCAGCTTTCTGCTGCTCATACACATACCACTAAACATTGGTTTAGCGTTACATCTGTTTTTGGTGCGAAACTTTGTTTTAGCAGCGCATCCCCTAAGTTATAGAAAAGATGCACCCTTTGCCAGGTTCAAGCGATTTTGCAGTTTTTGTTTCAAAGCCATTTTCTACTCTGCAGTAAAATTCCAAATGTTGCTACCTCACACATTTATTTCCATTAGCTTCTTCTTATTATCATAATGAGTGGTACATAAACCTTGGCTTATATTCTGTATGTATAAAGTGCAATGCATATATCAAATAAGAAACCTGCAATTAATCCAGAGAGAGCTCTCCATTATCATTTTTACCCGGTGCCATGACAAGAAATGCAGAAAGTTAACATTCTTTCCGTCCCCTGAAATGTAGTCATGCAACCCACCTTGAAGCCAGCCATGTGTGCAATCCTGAGGGCAGAGCACATTGTCCTAGCTATTGTAAAATGTACCATTTGGATTGAATTTTAATAAGACATTCAATATATTCCAGGTATGCGGCAGTGTGTGGGAGAGCTATGATTACTGTGAGAATGTCAACTTCAGCTCCCTCTCCCTCTCCCTCTCCCTTCTCTCCTTAGGACTAAAAGAAAAAGTTCTTTGTTGACATAGCAGTGGAATACTTTTTTTTTTTGGTCTTAAAACAATTTCTTTGGCTTGAATAGTTTTATCTGAAATTTAACACACACACACACACACACACACACACACCCTCTCTATATGTGTGTATTCTGCTCTTGAAGGCATGCATTCAAATACAAATCCACATATACATAAAAATGGATCGCTAAGTAGTACCAAATATACTCTTACAAGTCAGATCAGAGTAAAAACAGGCTATAATATGCACTGGGAATCTTTTTCAAAAAGCATAGTGTATGGCACATTGAAGATTGCATGGTGATGTTGGGATTCTCCCATTCAAAGAATGAAGGCCTTGTTTGGGCTATTGGGGAAGGAACCACAAATAAATGAAATCACGGGCAGGATTTGAGATAGGAGCAGTGGAAGAAAAAGGATAAAGTAACTGTATTAGAGGGATTTGTGTAATGGGCGAGAGTTTGATATATAATGCAGTAAAGGTAAAGGGACCCCTGACCATTAGGTCCAGTCATGACCAACTCTGGGGTTGCGGCGCTCATCTCGCTTTATTGGCCGAGGGAGCTGGCATACAGCTCCTAGGTCATGTGGCCAGCATGACTAAGCCGCTTCTGGCAAACCAGAGCAACGCACGGAAATGCCGTTTACCTTCCTGCCGGAGCGGCGCCTATTTATCTACTTGCACTTTGACGAACTGCTAGGTTGGCAGGAGCAGGGACCGAGGAACGGGAGCGCACCCCGTCGTGGGGATTCGAACTGCCGACCTTCTGATCGGCAAGTCCTAGGCTTTGTGGTTTAACCCACAGTGCCACCCGCGTCCCATATTTAATGCAGTAGAAAGGGTTTAAACAAAAAGATTGTGGAAGTAGGGGTGGAAAGGCAGTACGCTATTTAGTGTAACTATTTAATTTGAAGTCAATTAGTAGAAAAAAAGAAATTCAATTAAAATTGTTAACCTTAGCGTATTGTAGCCAGAGCTCCCATGACCATAAACACAGAAATAAGTTGAACTTCTGGTTCATATGGGTAACTAATAAACTGTGGCCAAGTGCAATATATATTGGTGACAATATAATCATTATCAACATACAATCCTGCAGAAACTGAGATACACAAAGATGTTTAACTCTTTGATGCACTACTTTTGATTTTAGCTTTGGCTATGCTCCACTGTTCTGTTTCCAGATGTAGTGACTTAGATCCCCCTGGAAGCTCACGAGCAGGAATCATTCTCTTTTTCGATCCTAAGGTAGGATACTCAGATATATATATACTTTTTATCTTTTATCACAGGTGTCCTGTGTAGCTATTGTTACTAATGGACTGGTCCTCCATACATTCATCCATAAGAACATAAAAAGATGCTATGCTGGCATTTCATCTTATGCTGAATCTTCAATGTTTTCTGCTTTTTATTCCTCGTCTGTTTTATCATTCAATTCTTGAGTGCTTTCGGATATAAATAGCTGCCGTTTTCATTTTATAGATACATACACACACACTTACAAAAGTTACTGAACTCTAGCCTATCCTTATTTTATAAAGGAGCCATGATATAGTCAGAGTGAATAAAAATAAAAAAAAAACTAGATTTAAAGTGGAAGCCGTATTTCTTCTTTTGAATTACCATCTGCTGTGAATGTCAAATGTTGTCAGGAGCTGCAGTGATCTTCATAGCAATGTATTATTTTGAATGCCTATACATTCTTATGCATGCCTAGTCAATCCTATACATAACTATTCAAAGTCCCATTGAGTACAATTGATCTTGTTTCTAGGTAAGTGGATACAGATGGCAACCTAAGTTTCTGTTTGCATCGGCTACTATTAAAAGCAGCCCTATGAAATAGAGGGAGAGAGAGAGAGAGAGAGAGAGAGAGAGAGAGAGAGAGATGTAAAGAAATGCGAATTCTATGACATCTTAACATCACCTGTGCCAAGTTCACTAAATATGTGGCAAACCACCACCCTTGGTTGAGAATTTAGCACTGACTTTTAGATTATTGTCAAAGTTCATGGTGGTTTGTTGTTGTTTTTTAAAACATAGTTGTTTTATTTTCTCTCAAATTGTCACCACGCATCATTGCTATCAAAGTTGATCTAGAGCAGATTATGAGGCCAATATGGAGATTCCTGCTCATGCTTTTAAAAAAAGCTTTTATAAAGCCTCTTCAAATTCATAAAATTATCAAAGGTTAGATTTAAAAATCCAATGGAATGCAGCCGCCCAGAGTGCCTGGGGAAACTCAGCCAGATGGGCAGGGTATAAATAATAAATTATTATTATTATTATTATTATTATTATTATTATTATTATTATCATTCATGCTTGTTCTTTTCACATGGAAAGAACAAGGAAGAAATAAACTAGCTGCAACAGATCAGAAAATGCCAGATTAAAGTGCAAATGAGCGTTGGGGTGGATTGAATAACATATGAACATCCCTCGTCCGATTGCACAAAGGTTATCTTGATGGCTCATGAAGTTAGAATGCATTGTCAAGAGCAAAGCTATGGCAGAGCTAATGGGATTTTTTTACTAAGATGGCAGTCTGTGACATCACAATAAGTTGTGTATGCGAAAGTATTTCAAAACTCAATTAAACTGAAATAACTTTTGTACGAGTGACTCTCTTTTTTAAAAAAACTTCCATTCTTGCCTGGTAATCAAAATTTATACCCTTGAGTTATGCAGCATATAATGTCAAATCTAAAACAAATCTGAGCAGCTCCTTTTGCAACATGGTGCTTTTCTTCCTGTCAGCACAAGAGAGGCAGAATGCAAGAATCATCAGCGCCGCTGTCTGTTAAAGGTCAAAATATATTTCATTTGGTACACGATACACTAGTTTGAGGGGGAAGAATCCAGGCTTGTTTATAAACACATATTCTTCAAATCATTTGTTCCTCCCACCCCATTGTTTCTATTATTTTGTACATACATTTGATTGAGCTTTTAAAAAACAAAACAAAACCAACCACCATATTTCTCATGCAATTCAAATTATGGGTTTGTATTTCTGAATATTGTAAGTGCTAATATGGATCTCTGATGCAGCCATACATTTCTTATATGGTAATGACTGCAAATGATTTTAAGGGCATAAAATTTTCAAAATCTGTCCTGCGTGTAGATTAGGGTGCCGTTCTGTGCATATTTACTTGGGATTAGGTATGCACAGAATAACATCCTAAATTTTGAAAAGTGCATAATCTGCATGCATATTGAGGTTCTGACCTGCTAATAAGTTTCAGAGCTGTGGATCAAATGAGTTCGTATTGGAATTTGCAAGGATTCAGCAGGGGACAGCATGGTGGAGCTGACTTGGTTTTCCAATCCCTGAGTTGCTGCTGTTTACGAAAAGGGAGCTGGGCAAGGTGGCAGAGAGCTTAAGGTAAAGGTAAAGGTAAAGGGACCCCTGATCATTAGGTCGAGTTGTGGCCGATTCTGGGCTTGCGGCGCTTATCTTGCTTTATTGGCCAAGGGAGCTGGCGTACAGCTTCCGGGTCATGTGGCTGGCATAACTAAGCCACTTCTGGCGAACCAGAGCGGCACACGGAAACGCTGTTTACCTTTCCACCAGAGCAGTACCTATTTATCTACTTGCACTTTGATGTGCTTTCGAACTGCTAGGTTGGCAGGAGTAGGGACCGAGCAACGGGAGCTCACCCTGTCGTGGGGATTCGAACTGTCAACCTTCTGATCGGCAAGCCCTAGGCTCTGTGGTTTAACCCACAGCGCCACCCGCGTCCCTGGCAGAGAGCTTGGGATGATGCAAATGCACTGATGCTGCCAATCTGGTACTCCTGCTGGTTTGGTTTCACCACACAGGCCTCCTCATAAGCAAAAGTGACTCAGCTTCCTCATGGGTGGGTTGACTCTGCCAGAAGGTGTGGATCAGGTCAGTTTTCATCAGAATTCAAAAAGATTCAGTTCCTCAAGTACAGATCAAGGGAAGGGGTTGGAGTGTGCATGGTGGTTTCCACAAAGGATGACCTAGATGTAACTACCTTGGGCTTCCTTTTTGGAAAGGAAAAGAAAGGAAAAAGAAAGGAAAAGAAAGAAAGAAAAGAAAAATGAAAGAGCCTTCCTCCATTCTTCTAACTCCAGTTTTATGATAAATCAAAGAAAGTTCTAGGCAATGAAATGAGACAGAATAGATTTTATGGGGGAGGTTTTCCTCCCGCACTTTTTGCTCTGAAGCAGGTAGTGGTGAGTAAAATATACTGAACAGTTTGAAACCAGGAACAATAACGTGAACTGTTTTCTGAGTTCATCGGTGTCTCAGCCCATTAAACTGGAAGTGTCTGTGCTGTCAACTGAGGTGTGAACAGAGAGATAATTATACTAATTGTGCTGGCTGGGAAAACAGAGCACAAGGGGAGAGACAGAATGATTTGCTTGTACATGGCAGATGAGAGGCTCCATTGCACATCAGCTTCCTGGGATCTAAGATGCCATCCTCCGCTCAGAACCAAAGGAAGGTGAAGGCAGAGGGACAGAAAAACAAAGTGGGACGAAAAGAAGCCATATGGCAGGTCACCAGCAGGACTTGCATCAGCTCTGCAGCTGGGGTCTAATTTGGTGAGCTAATGGAGGCTGTGCAGCCTCAGCAGGGCCAGCACTTCTGTGAGGTAGAGTGAGGCAGTTGCCTCAGGCGGCAAATGCTGAGAGGTGAAAAGTGGCTAGAAATATGTGGTTTGTCCTGCAGTTCCTAACCTAGCTTGCTGCCCAAGGCTGTGGTGGGAGACTTAGTTCCATTGCCAGCACTGAAGTAAGAGTCAATTACCAGTCTAGTCAGATTTTCTGCACAGAATGGGAATGCACCATCTTGTCTCAGGCAGCAAATTGGCTTCGGCCATTCCTTACCGGAGTCCTCAAAACTCTTCTACCAGGTTTCCTGAGGTTTAGATCTGTGTGAGGAGGAGCTAAGTGATGGCCCCAGGAAGATTTGGGAGTAGAATCAGGTGAGAGAGGTGAAGCCTAGCTCAGGGGATGGCTTTAACAGAAGATTAGGCAGGCTCATGGATGATTAAACCATCAATGACTGCACGTCAAAATGGCAATGTTCTCCCTCCACTGATGGAGACAATACGCCTCTCATTGCCAGTGGCTTGGAATCCCAAGTGGGAAGAGCATGATTGCACTCAGGTTGGATCAGGTTAGCCAGATTAAGTCGCATGCTGTTGGTGGGTTCTTGTTGCTGTCTTGTTGGGCTATGTATGTGATAAAGGGTAACCATACCGGGGTGCAAGCGTCTTCTTCTATTTGTCCCTGTGTCAGTTTCAGTTTGCTGGTTAGTTTTTCTAATAAGGCTGTTTCCCATATTATTTAATACCGTTGGTCCATGCTTACTCCTGACAGGTCTCTCCAGTGTCTGGCTATGATGCTTCTGGCTGCTGAGAGTAGGTGGGTTATGAGCTCGTTGTGATGTGAGTGGGCATTATTGTCCTGGAAGATGTTCAGTAGGTCCAGTTCTGGGGTGACTTCTAATACTTGCTTAGTTATTTTGCATATTTCTTGTATGATTGATGTCCAGAAGAGTTGGATGTTAGGACATTCCCACCACATGTGGAGGTATGTGCCTGTGGAGGTGCATCCTCTCCAGCATTTTGGTGAGGCTCCTAGGAATATTAGCGTTAGTTTCCGTGGTGTTAGGTACCACCTGTAAGTCAATTTCAGAGTGAGTTCTTTTCTCTTCACTGATATGGATTTAAAGGGAGGTTTAGACCACATTCTGGTCCATTGGATGGGGTTAATCTCATAGTCTATGTTGTCCTCCCATTGTTTTTTGATTATGTCTAGGTGGTTTGTGGAATTTTTGTGGTATTTTGTGTACAGGCCATAGCTGACTGGTTCGCATTGTGTGGGCAGGACATTGGACTAGATTGGCCTTTGGTCTGATGGAGAGGGCTTTTTGGATGTTCTTATGATGGCACCAGGTAGGTCGAGGGACACAGCTTGGCTGTGTGGAGTTTGGGTGGAGCCAGATAAATGACAGAGTGCAGTTAATAGCAAAAGCTCTAAAGCCAAGGGCCCCCCCCTCTCCCCCCCCAAAAAAATACTCTGACCATTTGCTTTCTTTGGTGATCCAAAACAAAATGATCAAATTTCATTTTATCTATGGGAAACATATTAAATGCCAACAACTGTCTCAAGAGATGGATTAGAAAAAAACCAGAAAATCTGGGAAACACACCCTTGCCCCCCGAATTTATTCTAGCACATTTCTAATAAGGCTTAAGGAGAAGAGGCTATGTTGGCATCAACAGCCAAGCAAATCAACCTTATTTCCATTTTCAGTCCTTGGAAGGGTTTTGGTGATGGTAGGGAAATCAAATGAGATCAAACTCCAGAAGGGCTCTTGAACCAGGCTGCTTCTTATTATGTCTGTCCAACTTCATAAAAAAAGTATTTCTGTTAATTATTATGAGGACCAGCCAGAGGATGGTAATATAACTGCATCAACAGCTCTGGGTTCAGCATTCCCTCCCCATCTCCTTCTTCTTCCTCTGGCCCCATCCAAGAGAAATCTAGCACCTTCCGGCTGTTGCTGCCCCTTAATACGAAAGCGGATCTAATAACACATTGATTCCTGGTGAGAGAAGGATGTACTTCTTCAGAAGGGTGACTAATAGAAACCAATGTGCTCACTCTGAATTGGCTTGGTGATGCCATCACATAGCAAGTCTCATTGGTTGAATGGCACATATGTGGGATTGTTCTGTTATGTGATACCCAATCAACTGAGCTATTGCAGCATGAAGAAATACTTTGGATTGGTTTTTAAATTATGCCATTGTTGTTGTTTGGTTGTTTAGCTGTGTCCAACTCTCCGTGACCCCATGGACCAGAGCACGCCAGGCACTCCTGTCTTCCACTGCCTCCCGCAGTTTACTCAAACTCATGCTGGTAGCTTTGAGAACACTATCCAACCATCTCGTCCTCTGTCGTCCCTTCTCCTTGTGCCCTCTATCTTCCCCAACATCAGGGTATTTTCCAGGGAGTCTTCTTTTCTCATGAGGTGGCCAAAATATTGGAGCCTCAGCTTCATGATCTGTCCTTCAAGTGAGCACTCAGGGCTGATTTCCTTAAGAATGGATAGGTTTGATCTTCTTGCAGTCCATGGGACTCTCAAGAGTCTCCTCCAGCACCATAATTCGAAAGCATAAATTCTTGGCGATCAGCCTTCTCTATGGTCCAGCTCTCACTTCCATACACCACTACTGGGAAAACCATAGCTTTTACCATACGGACCTTTGTTGGCCATACAAAACCTTTGTATGCCATAGATCATGCCAATCAGACAGCAAGCAGCACTCCGGAAGTGAAAGAGGTCAAGGGGTATTTTGGCCCCCTTGAAGCACTATTTGCTGTGAAAATGTCTGCTGGCAGACATTCAGCATGGACCCGATACAAATTACTGATAAGACAGTTTCTACTTGCTAAAACAAGAGTGGGCAACCTGTGTCCCTGCAGATATTGTTGTCTGCTGTGCTCTAGTTCATCACTGAAGCCTACAGAATTCTTTCCATGGAAATGTCAAGGAAAAAAATAAGATGTGTAGAGGCACAGGTCTGTTTGCGAAGAGGAGTTCAATGTTATTGGGTGAGTTATAAGGCAATTCAGAATACTAGAAGACTGGGGGCCAGAACACACTGTGCAAGGCTTAAGATTTGAGGCAGGCAGGGTCATGACAGCAGATGTTTATGTGTGAATGATAGCAGCAGCAACAAAAAGCTCACATGGGGTTGTCGTTGTCTCCATTTTGGCTCTGTTTTGGGGGATGTGGTCCAGCAGAATTTGCTGGAGGCAAAGGAAAAGAATTAATGTTCCTAAGCACACCCCAGTATTAGTTATCTCATGGCAGCCATTCTTTCAGCATGCCAGGGTGAACACTTGTATCACATCTCCAGGAAGACATGCAGAAAACAAGATCTCTGTTTCATGGGTTAGCACTTGCAGGCAACAGGGAATTAGGAGTGTAATGATATCACAAGTGTGTATCTTCTTTTTATGAGGTGTTACCGGGGAGATGCAGAGTTGCTGCTCTCGACAGCATCCACATGTCCCTAGCAGCCTGGCCCTTAAAGCTTGAAATGTTCTTCTCCTCGTCTAGAAAATCAAAGTCAAGATAGAGAGCTGCTGTAAAATGTTTCCCAAAATTTACATCCTTCCTTTGTTTGAAGAGCTGCACAAAGATTCTCAAAAAGTTTCCCTTGTTGTATTTTCTGGCTTTGTTTTGTTTTCAGCTTTTAGTTATGTGTCCAACTAGTTTTGATGCTATAGCACGCATGTGAAGCACTAACATGGCCAAAAGCAAGCATTTGATGCTGTCTGGCATTGATTCAGCTGTCAGGAGACAATTTAATGAAACCCAGGGAGCTGTCAGTTACCAGTATACATCAGTAGTGTTATTAGTTTAAATGTTAGCTTTCTGCCTTTCAGCTGCAGAGATTCCATTTTGCAGGCTTCTGGGTTTATGTAGGATCTGGCCAAGATCAAGAAGCAGGTGGAGGTGATGTCTGGAAGTATCCAACAGCCCATAGACCATTAAGAGATTAACATACTAAGTAGGGACACGGGTGGCGCTGTGGGTTAAACCACAGAGCCTAGGACTTGCCGATCAGAAGGTCGGCGGTTCGAATCCCCGTGATGGGGTGAGCTCCCGTTGCTCGGTCCCTGCTCCTGCCAACCAAGCAGTTCAAAAGCATGTCACAGTGCAAGTAGATAAATAGGTACTGCTCTGATGGGAAAGTAAACGGCATTTCTGTGCACTGCTCTGGTTCGCCAGAAGCGGCTTAGTCATGCTGGCCACATGACCCGGAAGCTGTACGCCGGCTCCCTCGGCCAATAAAGCGAGATGAGCACCGCAACCCCAGAGTCGGTCACGACTGGACCTAATGGTCAGGGGTCCCTTTACCTTTACCTTTAGCTACTAAGTAGCAACATGAAGTGCATCAAGCAACAAATGATTTAGCTTTGATTTTGAAAAGATACCTTATGCATGTTTGTTCTTGAAAATTAGACGAGAGCAGATCCACATCTACAAAATATATGGTGTAGGAAAACAGATATAAATTTTACAGCTTGTTATGTAGTAAAAGAAAATATAATGAAAATGTGTTATCGATGGTATCTCACCCCAGTAAAATTAGCAAAAAATTATAAAAAGCATCCAAATCTCTGATGGAAGTGCAAGAAAGAGATGGGGACATTATACCATATGTGGTGGGGCTGTAAGGTGGTAAGACAATTTTGGAATGAGATACATGAGTAGATCAAAAAGTTCCTCAGGAGCTCTATTTTTTAAAAAAACAGAGTCATACTTACTGAGTTAATTGACAAACAACATACCCAAGGACAAAAGGAATATATTTTTGTATATAACCGCAGCTGCAAGAATACGTATGGCAAAATATCGGAAAACAGAAAAAGTACCACAAATGACAGAATGGCAAGTTAAGATTTGTGACTGCAGCAATCAGGGGCTGCTCCAATCAAAAATTCTATACAGAATGGGAATGCGTAGGGGAATACAGGAAGAAATATGGTGTTAAAGCAGAACTCTTAATAGGAAATTGTTAAGAGTGTAAGGACAAAAGAAGTAATTATAATTTAACAGTTTTCAAGTTACTCTATTTTATCAAAGCAACTAGAAAAAAATATATTATGATGGGAAGATCTCACACAGGTGAAGGGAAGCAGTGGGGAGGAGGGGAGGGTTAGGTTGAATTTGGGAAATAAAATAAAATATGGGACAGCAAAGGATATAATAGATTCTTATAGAATAGTAATATATTGTAACCAGAATAGAAGTTTAAAAGGGGAAGTATATGTACTTTTAGTATTTTCATTATTGTAATAGTTATTATTACTGTATTTTTCGCTCTATAGGACGCAACCGACCATAGGATGCACCTTGTTTTAGAGGGGGAGAACAAGAAGACAAAAATCTCCCCCTCCCCGCTCAGTGCCCCTTCAGTGAAGCGGCAGGAGAAACGGAGCCCCTTCCATTTCTCCTCCCGCTTCGCTGAAGGGGCGCTGTGCAGTGCCTCTCCAGAGAAGCGAAGCCAGGAGAGCGAGAGGGATCAGTGCGCACCGACCCCTCTCACTCTCCAGGCTTCAGCGAAAGCAACGTGAAGCCTCCAGAGCGCGGAGGGAGCACTCTCTCTGCACTTTGGAGGCTTCGCGTTGCTATCGCTGAAGCCAAGGAGCCTGCATTCACTCCATAAGATGCACACATATTTCCCCTTAATTTTTGGAGGCGGAAAAGTGCGTCTTATAGAGCGAAAAATACGGTATTTCTTATCGGTAGAAGGCAATGCTAATTTAGACTTCTTTGTTTTGCTGTCTGTATAAAAAAAAAAAATAAGCCAATAAAAAAAGAAAAGAAAAGAAAAGAAAATGGTGCAGGAGAGAGAGGGCTCTCTGCCCTCCTCTTCATCAAATAAACCAAGTGGTCCACCAGAAGAGAGGCGTAATCTCTTCCATGTGCATCCTAGAAACACAGTGGGCTGTTGCAGGAGGGACAAAGCTCTCCATCTTTCTCCTGACAGCCAGCAGCTGGCTCTCATCCCATTTGCCTTTGGTCAGTGTTCATTTAGATGCTAGCCCAATTATTTACACTGGATAGTTAGCTTTATTGATACCTGGCACAGAAACAAAAATGAATAAATGTTTGATTCATGGAGGTGTTAGATCCTTTCTTGGACATTGTTCCAGTAGGTAAGCCTCACAGTGACAGCCTGAGCCTTTGATGGATATAATTCCAACAGCAAATGCAGACGTCAAAAGAGCCAAGGTCTCACAAAGTAATAAGAAATGTTTAAGGCCAAGAGAACTTTGCAGAGCTGGAGAACGAAAGAAACAGCCCTGCTCACTTAACCAATATTTTAAAATTGGTTTGTTGTTGTTGTTGTTTAGTCGTGTCCGACTCTTCGTGACCCCATGGACCAGAGCATGCCAGGCACTCCTGTCTTCCACTGCCTCCCATAGTTTGGTCAAACTCATGCTGGTAGCTTCGAGAACACTGTCCAACCATCTCGTCTTCTGTCGTCCCCTTCTCCTTGTGCCCTCCATCTTTCCCAACATCAGGGTCTTGTCCAGGGAGTCTTCTCTTCTCATGAGGTGGCCAAAGTATTGGAGCCTCAGCTTCAGGATCTGTCCTTCCAGTGAGCACTCAGGGCTGATTTCCTTAAGAATGGATCGGTATGATCTTCTTGCAGTCCATGGAACTCTCAAGAGTCTCCTCCAGCACCATAATTCAAAAGCATCAATTCTTCGGCGATCCTTCTTTATGGTTAAAATTGGTTACGTAGTGTCAAATCTATGAATGCATTTTGAGTGTGTGTTCATAACAATTAGGAGTGCTTTTGCACCACCTAAATTTTAAGATCATGTGTCAACCTATATTCTAAGAGAAGGGACACAAATTTATATCCTCAGTACAACGAGAACAAAAGGAAGTCACACTTCATATGCTCAGAAATGCTCTTGTCTGTACTGCCATCACCTATTTGCAAAGAGTTGTGAATATGTTTGGATGAAAGCTTCATTATGTTTATCATCTACAGTAGTACCTTGGTTTACGAACTTAATCCATTTCAGAAGTCCGTTCTTAAACCAAAGCGTTCTTAAACCAAGGCGTGCTTTACCATAGCAGTGGGGGACTCAATTTATAAATGGAACACACTCAACAGGAAGCGATACATGTTCTTATTCCAAGGCAAAGTTCACAAACTAAAACACCTACTTCCGGGTTTGCAGCGTTCTTAATCCAAGTTGTTCATAAACTAAGCTGTTCTTAAACCAAGGTACCACTGTACTGATTAGGAACATCAGAAAGTTCCTTATACCAAGTCTGACAACTTGTCTGTCTAGTTCACTATGGTCTATAAGATAATTCCATGAAAATGTCAGCATAACAGACCCTTTTTTCTTTGTAATAACCTTTTCCCATAGGACACTATGCTTTGGAGGAGGACATGGGGAGGGCAAATCATTGTTATGGGACGTTACATTCTCATATTCTTTTTGAAAAACCAATAAAATACGTTTATAAAAATTAAATAAAAAACCCACAGATCCATTTTTCATTTCCATATATTGTAAACATGTTTTACATCATTTTTAAATATAATTTCCCAAAGTCTTTCTTTCTTTCTTTCTTTCTTTCTTTCTTTCTTTCTTTCATTGATTGATTTAATAGTCACTTGTCATCCGAAGGCCTCCAGGTGACAACAAACAAAAATATACAATACATAATACCATAGGGGAAAAGGGGGGAGATCATATAATACATTAATATTTCATATAACATAACATCCATGTAGGGAGGGGGGAACATACCAACTGTATCAATAGTAGTGAACAACATTAACAATACTCAAGTACAGTGGTACCTCAGGGTACATACGCTTCAGGTTAAGTGTGTTCTCCCTCATGGAGAGCACAGGTTGCGGGCGGGGCTGACAAGACACCTCACTGTTACTAGGCAAATGGTTTGGCCATCCTTTAAGCAGGGGCGGGCTGTTACTGGGGATATCTAGATGTTGCCATTTGCTGATTGACAGCCCTATTTGTTAAATACAATGCTCGCAGCGAAGAACTTCCTCTTTTCGCTGCTTACTTCGGATCACCCGCCCTCCCTTCCCTAATTTTAGGCTGTTTGCTTGACCTTGCTATGCCTGTCATGGGGTCGTCTGCTTTGGGGCAGGGGCCCGGTAGGAATTTTGTCCATTTGGCTGATTAGTGTGTGCCACTTGGTTTTTGCCTACTGCGTAGCAAATCGTCACAACTTGTAAGGTTTGCGGTTAGGCATTGGTCTTGGAATTGGTTGGTGGAGTGGTATGGATTCGGCTGTGTCTGCCCCTCCAAAATGCTGCTGCTGCTGCTTCAAGGGTTTTCCGTTAAAGGAACCCAGGGGCGCCCCATGCTTTTGTCCGAAACCCCCTGGCAAGGGGCTAGGGCCACGCAAGCCCCTGGGAGCATTCTGGGAAGAGGTGAGGCATGGTTCCCAGTTCCGTCTCTGTCCCCAGGTGACTTACCCTTGCTGACTTCGCGGGGGGTGCGAATGTCAGAGCTGTCCCCGTGCGGGGTCAGTTAGTGCTACCAATGCCTTAGCAACCACTCACATTGCTGTAATTCGAATAAAGTTGTGGCCAAAATTATGCCAAAAACCTTAAACAAAAATTAAGTGTCAATTGTGTTTTCTTTGGGGGGGGGTGTCTTGGGGACCTCAACGCGCAACATATGCTTCAGGTTACAGACTCCGCTAACCCAGAAATAGTACCTCGGGTTAAGAAATTTCCTTCAGGATGAGAACAGAAATCGTGCTCCAGCGGCACGGCAGCAGCAGGAGGCCCCATTAGCTAAAGTGGTGCTTCAGGTTAAGAACAGCTTCAGGTTAAGAACGGACCTCCGGAACGAATTAAGTACTTAACACGAGGTACCACTGTATTACTTATCCATTATTTAAAAAATAAACAAACTTCAACCTCCCCCAGTCCAAAAATCATTCACATCAAACCAGCAATCAAATCCACAATAATCTGCCAACAGTTTTTTAAAGGTGGCATTTTACATGTGAGTAAAACAACCAGAAGCACGACATGCAAGATGACTCAGAATTTCTCTAATTATTTTCTAAAGTTTAGTTAAAGACCTTTCCAAGAAAATAGACAATAGGTTAATGTCCTTTTATTGTACTACTGATAGTTTTGCTTTCTCATTTGTAGAATTAAGAAGAAATTGTACATTAGGAACAAAATGAGATTAGCTTAGGACAATATAATTTACACTGGTTGAGCATGTTACAAAATGCATATTGCTGCAGATGGGATTTATTTTTTGATTCACACATTTAGAAAATAAGAAAGTTACAGATAAATTCTTGAGGTTCCAAACATGTTGGTCACATCTCGTAAAACACATCACAAAAAAAACATTGAAACTATTTTTTGGCAAACTCCTTGATTATTTTTTTTCTAGGGAAGATTAATCCATTTAAAACACAAATATTTCATGATTAATTGGAGTTTAAATCATATTAGCTAAAATAAATATAGCATATAAAAAAAGTTTACAAATGTTACATTGGTGACAAAACTGCCAGAGAACAGTGGCTTTCCAAAATTTCACAAAGGAGTCTTTGACAGTCTGACCTGGAGAACCAGCGACCAAACTTGAGACCTTCTGCTAATAATAATACAAAACTGGTGTTCAGCCGAGTCCGTATTCTACCTGCATACATACTTTCAATGAACCTTCATTCAAAAAGTTTTTCTCTCTGTGTGTGTTAAAGGTAAAGGGAACCCTGACCGTTAGGTCCAGTCGCAAACAACTCTGGGATTCTGTGCTCATCTCGCTCTATAGGCCAAGGGAGCCGGTGTTTGTCTGCAGACAGCTTCCGGGTCATGTGGCCAGCATGACTAAGCGGCTTAGCCTAAGCCGCTTCTGGTGAACCAGAGCAGCACATGGAAACGCTATTTACCTTCCCGCCGAAGTGGTACCTATTTATCTACTTGCACTTTGACGTGCTTTCGAACTGCTAGGTGGGCCGGAGCTGGGACTGAGCAACGGGAGCTCACCCCGTCGCAGGGATTCGAACCACCGACCTTCTGATCAGCAAGCCCTAATAGAGCCAATTAGCTGCTACTACTACAAACCCTTCAGGGACACTAGTGGCACTGTGGTCTAAACCACAGAGCCACCAGCATCCCTGAAGGGTTTGCAGTAGTAGCAGCTAATTGGCTATATTAAATCTACTTACCTTTTATAATCATGTGGAACTTGAACGGGATACATTTTCTCAAGTGACTGTGTCGCAGAAATGCAATCCAGCCTGTGGAGTACTTTCCAGGAAAACTGAGAGGGCTCCTGAGATGTGTGTACAGAGCCCTCCCAAATTAAGGACACAGCTGGCACCTTTACATGCACTAAGAAAAGTGGATGATGTGCTGAATTTGCACTGCGTCTTGATATCCCCTTGGTAGAATGCCATGTAAATTATGCAGCTACGTGACTGGAAGCTTTTCAAATGCAGAGAGCAGTCTAGAGTGAGCTCAGTGGCAGTGATAGATGGAAGCACTTTGAGATAGGAAAACGACACAAGGTGTAGCTCAGAGGTTTACCGACAATTAGCAGGTTCAAGTGATTATTGAAATGAGACTGACATTGGTAAATGATGTCTCTGTGCTGCCAGCTTTTCCTCTGCGTTGAACACAGTTATCCGTGCTGCAATCCCCTGCTGCTATTTTTGCAAGACAAGGTACATGACGTACCTTATTCATCACATTGCTGCTAATATTAACTCCCTTGCAAATTGTTATTGAGGTAGAAACGAGTGGGTACTATTATTATTATTCTAAATTTTCAACTGGAAATACTGGGTTAGAATCAAGTCTGTACTAGCAGATGTGTAAAATCTCCCCATTTGTTTTCAAAATACCTTTCTGAACACCAGGTACCAGAGATCTGTGTTATGCAATGTTTGTATTGATGGAGGCAATGTTCACTGTTCTCACGATTTTTGACATTGTAATTGTACATTGCGATGCAGTTGGCTTTCTAGTGCATTGCTTCCCATTTAAGTAAAGCACAGCCCTGATTTAGGCTGCAGTTGTATTCACATTTACATGGGAGTAAATCCTAATGTACTCAATAGGACTTGTGCTTGGAGAGACATGTATAGGACTTACACTATTAATAGCTCATCATTTTCCATCCAGTAGCACAGACTTGGAATTCTTATGCATTGTTCTTCATTGAGAAACCTTCACCAGATCACTATCAGGTATTGTTCCTTAGGCTCGAAAAAAAATGTCATAGCTATTTCAAATGGTTTATCATTTCTCACATCTACAACACCTATTTGCAAACCTTTTGGTCGCTGTGGACTCTTGATGACAAATATGCAATCGCTGCTTAGGAAGTAGAGAATAATCTGTGGCATCCTGACACCAATCCCTGACTCAAAACCACATTTGAATGCTTAGCAAATCTAATGTGCATAAGATCTGGCAGTACAATAAATAAGTCATCTGATTTATCTATCATGTGGGAAGCTCAGTTTTCAACACAAAAAGCATGATGATGTGGTGGCGTGGTATTTATTACCTGACAACATACCGGAATGTGGGTGGCACTGTGGTCTAAACCACAGAGCCTAGGGCTTGCCGATCAGATGGTCGGTGGTTTGAATCCCCACGATGGGGTGAGCTCCCGTTGATCGGTCGTACCTTTACCTTTACCTTTACAAACCCTTCAGTATTCATTCCCTCAACCTTCCTCCCCATGATGATTTTGTCCCTGAACTGTTATCCAAAGTCACTTCCAGGGAAAAGAAGAAGAAGATGCATTTTAGAATGGAAGCAAACATTCATATAAAAATATATTAAAATAACGTTACTTTTACTATAATTTCTACATCAATGTTTAAATTGTGGCTAGTATTCAACGATAGCTCAATTTGTTGAATCCTCTTCTAAAGCTGTCTAAGTTGGTCCTCATCATCGCAACTTGCGCTAGGAAATTCCACAGCATCACTGTGCACTGAGTGAAGAATTACTTCTGGGCTTTTTCTAATAGTCAACTGTGGGGGATGATCTCAGGTTTATGAGAGATGGTGAAAGAACTGTCTCTATTCACTTTATGCACACTATGAATTATTTTATACACCCTTATCAAGTGCCCTATTACTTAGCTTTTATTGTTCTTTTGCTTTTTTAAAGAAAATTTTTATTAATTTTCCATTAATAACATTTCAAAGCTACGGCCATACTACTCTGAACACGCCCGATCTTGTCTGATCTTGGAAGCTAAGCAGGGTCAGGCCTGGTTAGTGCTTGGATGGGAGCTCCCCCCCCCTTTGTTGTTGTTTAGTCGTTTAGTTGTGTCCGACTCTTCGTGACCCCATGGACCAGAGCACGCCAGGCACTCCTGTCTTCCACTGCCTCCCGCAGTATGGTCAAACTCACGTTAGTAGCTTTGAGAACACTGTCCAACCATCTCGTCCTCTGTCATCCTCTTCTCCTTGTGCCCTCCATCTTTCCCAACATCAGGGTCTTTTCCAGGGAGTTTTCTCTTCTCATGAGGTGGCCAAAGTATTGGCGCCTCAGCTTCACAATCTGTCCTTCCAGTGAGCACTCAGGACTGATTTCCTTCAGAATGGATAGGTTTGATCTTCTTGCAGTCTATGGGACTCTCAAGAGTCTCCTCCAGCAGCATAATTCAAAAGCATCAATTCTTCAGCGACCAGCCTTCTTTATGGTCCAGCTCTCACTTCCTTAATGAAAAGAAAACAAAGCCAGATGTAACCTTTGGGAAGTCGCTCCAGTCCACTTGGGCTTAGCTTTTTATGAATTTTATTTATTAAATTTCTGGGGCACCCTTTATCTGTAGATCTCAGGGAAGTTCACAACATAAAAATACAGGATAATAACACAAGATACATAATAAAATTAAGGGTGAAAAGCCAATAACATCCCCCTCCCCACAGAATCGCAGAAAATGAGGGCATGAGAGGGATATTGCATTTCTGGCATGTAAATATGAAAAGTTGACCAAGATTCAATGAGTGGCTTTCATAATATTCTGTGGGAACCTTTTTTTCATTCTGCATGTCAAGACTTGGGGTGGCATTCAGTGAAAGTTTACTTGGAACAGAACCATCAAAATGAATGGACCTAACTTAATTTCAATGATCTAGTAAAACTTAGCTGAATCCTACCTTCTGTGTCTCACACAATGCATCTTCCTCAGATTATAAAATGGCAAGTACATTTTTATGGAGCTATAGGTAAAGGCAGCAGCTGTATTGTACGCTGAAAGAAAATTATATGAAAATGATGTACTGGTGGTATTTGATTCCTAACAAGCTAGCAAAAATGTATAAGACAAGTACAAATATCTGCTGGAAATGTAAAGAAAAAGAAGGCACCTTTTACCATATGTGGTGGATGTGTAAGGTAACAAAAGCATTCTGGGAAATGATATATAATGAATTGAAAAAAAATGTTTAAAATAACTTTTATTTTAAAAAAGCAGCTTTTTTATTAGGAATTGTAGGTGCTTATATTCCAAAGGAACAGAAATGACTTTTCATGTACACAACAGCAGCCGCACGGATGCTACTATCCTGGAGATGGAAGGAAGACAAAGTCCCTACCAGAGAAGAATGGCAAACTAAAGTGCTGGATTATGCTGAAATGGCAAAACTGACCGGAAAGCTAAGGAACCAAGAAGACCAAAACTTCAGTAAAGAATGGGACTTTTTTTTTTTAAGTTTACTTGAGAGATCACTGTAAGCAGATGAAAACATTAGCAGAATTGCAATTAACATGAACATTAGCAGAGTGGCTGGGGAAGCCCAGCCAGATGGGTGGGGTATAAATTTATTATTATTATTATTATTATTATTACTTGTAATGTAGAAGATATTGTGGATAAAATTGGAGAGACATACAATTTGGATGTTGAAAAAATGTGCAGTTGAAAAGGTTTATAATAGGACCCATGCAGGGGAAGATGGGAAGTCTAGAGATTCGGAGAAATCTCCAAATATGCATATGTATTTTGTATTGTTGTAACTATATGCTTGTAAAATCAAATAAAAATTATTTCATCAAAAAAGGCAACAGCTGTAGAACAAGCCCTGTGAGCGAAAGCAGCAACAGTGTTGGAGTCTGTGACATTTTAAGTGCTCACCAAAGTGAGTTGTATCCTATTTGAATACTTGGATGAATTAGAACAGGGGTCAGCAAACTTTTTCAGCAGGGGACCGGTCCACTCTCTCTCAGACCTTGTGGGGGGCCGGACTATATTTTGGGGAAGGGAAAAAAAAGAATGAATTCTTATGTCCCACAAATAACCCAGAGATGCATTTTAAATAAAAAGACACATTCAACTCAAGTAAAAACATGCTGATTTCCAGACCATCCACAGGCTGGATTTAGAAGGCAATTGGGCCGGATCCGGCCCCCGGGCCTTAGTTTGCCCACCCATTGATTAGAACATAGCAAAGTACAGCAGACTGTAGTGGTTAAGCTTTTAGGAGAAGAAATTATTCATTCCCACACAGCATTTCCCTTGGCAAGTTTTGGAAGTTTAAATATTCAGTTAAGAACAATGGGCCTCTGCAAGTTCAGGCTTCCTGATCTCCTGCTTATAGCTAGACACTCTTTGTGTAGAATGAATGCTAAAGGCATCCTAGATTATTGAATTTCACTTTTTCTCAATAATTCAGTTTTAACTGTAAAATATTTATAAGCACAATGTCTCTTTCACGGGGCCAATACGCTTTCAGTTAAAATGGCAGTAATGACTCTTAAGTCCTCAGCAGTTTCATAACACAGTTGAAGCAACACACACACAGGGTTATGTTCACAAGCCTCTGTGGAGGCTTTCTATTCTATTTACAGTTCTTAATTGTTTGTACACATGCATGTCATTTATAGGATGTAAATAATTCAGATGGCAAAGCAAGTAAATTTCCATGTTTGCATTTAAGAAGCAGTTGGGTGAAAACAACAAATTATATGATCGTTTTAAGAAAGAACCTTGACGAAGCTGATCTTGACATTTAAGTAATTGCATGTGTGATAGCAAGTTCCAGTGTAGATCACAGAAGAATAATGCACCCTTTGAGCACAGACAATAAAGAGGGATTTTTGTATTCACTACTGGAGCTGTATTGCAATATTTGACTCCAAATAAAACAGCACTCCATAGATTGTCTTTGTATTTTTTTTGCAAACGGCAGTTTATGTGCTACTAACTGCCTATCAATATGGTGTCAATGGGTAAGAGAGACAGACAGAGAGACCATTGCCAGATTAAGTTGTTGTTGTTGTTTAGTCGTTTAGTCATGTCCGACTCTTCGTGCCCCCATGGGCCAGAGCACGCCAGGCACTCCTGTCTTCCACTGCCTCCCGCAGTTTAGTCAAACTCATGTTGGTAGCTTCGAGAACACCATCCAACCATCTCGTCCTCTGTCGTCCCCTTCTCCTTGTGCCCTCCATCTTTCCCAACATCAGGGTCTTTTCCAATGAATCTTCTCTTCTCATGAGGTGGCCAAAGTATTGGAGTCTCAGCTTCAGGATCTGTTTTTCCAGTGAGCACTCAGGACTGATTTCCTTAAGAATGGAGAGGTTTGATCTTCTTGCAGTCCATGGGACTCTCAAGAGTCTCCTCCAGCACCATAATTCAAAAGCATCAATTCTTCAGAGATCAGCCTTCTTTATGGTCCAGCTCTCACTTCCATACACCACTACTGGGAAAACCATAGCTTTAACTATACGGACCTTTGTTGGCAAGGTGATGTCTCTGCTTTTTAAGATGCTGTCTAGGTTTGTCATTGCTTTTCTCCCAAGATTAAGACTCTGCTGTTACTCAGGACTCAAGCCTTTGTGGGTTCTGAATCTGGAGACCGACATAGAGGGATTCAGTTTTCCAACTACAGTGGTACCTCGGGTTACATATGCTTCAGGTTACATATGCCTCAGTTTACAGACTCTGCTAACCCAGAAATAGTACCTCAGGTTAAGAACTCTGCTTCAGGATGAGAACAGAAATCGTGCTCCGGCAGCACGGCAGCAGCAGGAGGCCCCATTAGTTAAAGTAGTGCTTCAGGTTAAGAACAGTTTCAGGTTAAGAACAGACCTCCAGAACGAATTAACTACTTAACCCGAGGTACCACTGTACCTAGGCTTTTTCTGTGACCGTATTCACTGATGCAGAGTACCAACATTTCTTGTTTTGTTGCCCACGGCAGTCATTTTGTGCTGGGCTGGGTTTCGCAGCACCTGTGCGTACCCTTCATGTCCCGATTTTCCCAGGATGGTCCCGGAATTACAGAAGCCACTCCGGTTTCCAATCTGATCCTCGAACATCCTGTTTCCTCTCCTCAGCACCACCACCTCTGAGCACAGGGAGAGGGATGAGCCAGCGCTTGTGGTGGGTGCTTGTGCTTGCAGTGGTGGTACCTGAGCATGAAGCCCGATAGGCCGTATTTCTGCATACCTAAGGTATGCAAGTAGGGACACGGGTGGTGCTGTGGGCTAAACCACAGAGCCTAGGACTTGCCTATCAGAAGGTCGGCGGTTCGAAACCCCACGATGGGGTGAGCTCCCGTTGCTTGGTCCCTGCTCCTGCCAACCTAGCAGTTCAAAAGCATGTCAAAGTGCAAGTAGATAAATAGGTACTGCTCTGGCGGGAAGGTAAACGGCGTTTCTGTGCACTGCTCTGGTTCGCCAGAAGCGGCTTAGTCATGCTAGCCACATGACCCAGAAGCGAGATGAGCGCCGCAACCCCAGAGTCGGCCATGACTGGACCTAATGGTCAGGGGTCCCTTTACCTTTACCTTTAAGGTATGCAAGTACAGCGGTACCTTGGTTCTCAAACTTAATCCGTTCCAGCAGTCTGTTCGACTCCCGAAACTGTTCGACAACCAAGGCGTGGCTTCCGATTGGCTGCAGGAGCTTCCTGCACTCAAACGGAAGCTGTGTCGGATGTTCAGCTTCCGAAAAAATGGGTTTGCTGTGTTTGGGAGCCAATTTATTTGGCAACTAAGCCATTCGGGAACCAAGGTTTGACTGTATCATCACGATCACCATCTTTATTACGGTCACAGACCAGCATAAGTTAAAATAGAAACACACAGTGATTTAGGAAGTAACACAGATAAAACGTGTTAAAGGAGTGACTCAAAGATAGGGTGGGGTGAGTAAGACTTAAAATCAACAGTTGCAAAAGTAACTATAGAAGGGTGGGTACCAAAGAGGGCATACAAGCCATCAGTTTGGGTCTGGTAAGTGACCCAAACCATTCTGTTTGTCTGTGTGTCACGTTTCCCTTGGCAGGAGCGTCACTTGGCGATGGCTGATCGGGTTCCAGCTGGGGTAATAGATGGTGAATTTCGAGATCAACTAAGGGGCTACTGGACTGTCCTGTCTTTGACTTATCTAGATTGGGCTGGTGTTCTTTATGTAGCTGGCCTTTTTGCTCTAAGGTTTTCCTCTCCAAGGGAGTGTTACGGCTGGGTGCATCGCGCGTATCCATCCTTAACGGCCCTGCCAAATGAACCATGGACCTATGGCAAGTTCCCTCCGACAAAGAGGGCATTGATTGCTCAGGGTCAGTCCGGCAATACAACAAATTTGGCAGTAGTTGTTTTCATTCTGTATCTTTAAAAACTCGTCTCAACTCAAATTTAGTCTTATAAGAGGGCCCTATATTTCAGGAGCTTTTTAGGAGCAGCCAAATCAGAAAATGTCAGCATGAGTCTGGTGTGCTGGAAGTCCGTGCAAAGCAGGTTTATGGCAATCAGATTATTGCACTGGATATTTTGTAAAAGCGGTGAATGCCAGTAAGATGTCTATGCAGGCCATAATGTGTTTTTTCATAACAAGAGGTAATTCACATATCCCTTCTGCCCTTAAGGTCTTCAATGCCAAACCATTCTTTGGCAAACCAAAGCACCGGAAATCTGGCTGCTGAGTAGGTTACATCTGGGTTTGCATCTTGAAGGAGCAAGGAGGTAAAGACTTGTTCTGTCCATCCAGGCAATTTGTGTAGTATTGGCAGGATGAACCTAACTCGTATGTCTGTAAAATATTGGCAGTGAAAGAAGACATGGTCAGGAGTTTCTGGTTGCCCTGAGCCACGCATGAAGAAACTGCTACTTTATTTTTGAGTGACCCTGTTTTCTTTCCAGTATGTTCACTATGAAGATGAAATCTCTTCCCAACATTCTGCCCCTCTCTCAGTGGTTCCCTGTTAGTTCTGTAGCCTTAGTACGGATGTGACGAGGAAGAACATCTCATTCTTCCCCACTTTAATATTATTTTTCTTTCATTCTATTTATCTGTTGTCCAACAACAATAGTTCTCCACAGACATACAACATTGTGTCAGATTTGATGGCCTTCTAGCTTCTTATAAAACGAATATGAAATTGTGCACTGTTGAGATATATCACCTAAGCTATTTCTGCACTTGCAGGAATGAACTATTTACCATATTCCATTTGCTCCTATGCAAACCTCTATTTCCTTATGACAGATGGAAATCCCAATGGGGGCAAACCATCCCAAGTGACATTACAAGCTACAAGCTTCCTCTAGGCTGGTGAGGATTGGAAGAGGAGAAGAGATCACATAATCACACCTATCTTCTTGCTCCAAATAAGGAACTTAAAAATAAATTGACTGAGTGCCGGTAAAAGAAGAAGAAAAAGTTAACACCTTTATTGCATACAACTATTGAAACCTGGTCTTTGCAGATATTTTGCTTAATAAGGAAGGTGAAAAAACATTCAGACCAAGCAATCAAAAAGGAATTACGATAGAAAGATTTTGTATAAACATTTGAGTAAATTGGGGAGTTTTGATTCACATTTAAAGGCAAGCCTACATAATTTGTACTTTCCTAAAACAATTTGTACTTTCCAAAACAATACTCAAATCAAAGCATACCTATCCGACTTCCGGGATGGCGCCATCGGCAATGGCGGACTCCCTCCGAACTGGAGGGACCAGCTCCGCATGAAACGGGTCTTTTCCGCTGCGGTGAAGCGGGACCCTTCTGGAAATCACAGGCGGATGAAGCCTGTGACCGTGGGACTCGGCGGGCACCCTTAGCGCCCCCCCAACCCGCAAAGGAACCCACAAACGGGCTCCGAAGCAAAGAGGGGGAAGTGGCACGGTGCTGTGAGTCAATCACTTTTCCTGCGGAGCGAAGCCGCATAGCCGTTGCCGGAGAGCGCTGCCTTTTTCCTGGGACAATTTGGCATCTAAAATAACCAACCGTGAGTAATGGAACATTGAATATCTGGACTTTAAATAAGAACTGGTGAAATAGAAAGGAATTTGGACTTAAAAATTTACCCTAATTTGGTACTGAAACGGAAAGGTTTAAACAGGAAGTCAGCCTTCCGTTTCCCTGTAGCCAGAACAAAGCAAAGACAAAGCAAACTAGAGCTTTAAAAATCACTCTTAAAGGATTGACTTTCATCATTTAAATTGCTGAACCCCCCTTCGGTAGCAGGAGAAGAAGGGGAGCTTTTTTCGAGCTGTTTAAACCTGCAGAAGTGAATCTAAAGCAAAGTCATTTTCCACCGTCCTGATCCTGGAGCGGGGTGTCAGAATTGACGTTTGAAGCTCACTGACCAGAAACAAATGTCTTTGACAGATAGTTAAAAGAAGAGAAACATAGTGACTCCATTGCTCCCTTTCACATCTTAAAAGAACAAATATGGACAAAATATCTTAAAAAAGAAACTTTGTTGCTATTGTTTTTAAGAGAAAGAACAATCAGAAGTTTTTCCCCCTAGAGGGGAACTGTGAAATTGTAACTAATCCCTGGGAGCTTGCAGCTGTCACTGATTACAACCGTGGGAAAGGGTTTGTGACCTTGCAGGACAATGTCTGCAGAAGCACTGTTGGGTGCTTTCTGCAAAATAAATGCCCTATTGGATCAGTTAAGCCAGAAGACGGATTTGATGACTAATGTGGCCAGAACCTTTGAACAGGTAGTGGGAAACTATATGGAGCCCACCCAGGAACTAAAACAGGAGCGTGCCATGACAGAACAGCTGAGAGATGAGGATTCTGCTGAATCTTGGGCGCCAGAGACGGAAGGAGCTGCGGCCCAGCAGGAATATAAATTTTTGGACTTGACAAATGAACTTGGAAAAGACCAGACTTGGAAAGATAAAATTTGGTTTGGTTTGGAAATGGGGGGTTGGATAGACCCCCCTATACAGGGAGATTTGGACTTTTCGAGTCTGGAAAGGGGCCGTCAGATGTCTGGAGCAGTGGGGGCTCTCAACTTTGAAGGGAATCTGGAACATGTTTTTAAATACTACATCGAGTCTAGTCTGGACTATGGAAAAGGGACTGTTTTGTTGAAAAGGGTCAAAAACATTACCAAGCTGGAGTTCCCACGAATAGAAGGAAAATATGAAGAAGAGCTGTGGATGGGACATGGAAGAGACTTGAGGGCCTCGGATATAAGATTGCCAGGTTAATGTGCTAGATTAATAGGACAAAAAGGACTGACAAAACCCGGGACCAGGAGGAAGGGACGCTGGATGAAGATTGGATTGCTTAAATTTCTATTTCTTTCATTAGGACTGTTTTACAAAATTGATGAATGTTAGGAAAATGTTGAAATGAAATTATTTGGCTCTTATAAAAATGTCTAAAGAATTAGGTAAGAATGTTATGGTTAGGAGAAGTTGGTAAAAATTAAGATTTAAGTTTTAAACTTTTTTATATATAAGATAAGATGAAAATAGATTAAGGTAATGTGAGGACAGAATATTATGAATTATGGAAAGGATTTGCTGTGATTATTATAAATCAGGATACAGGAAAAGGGAGGAGGAGGAGGTCAAGGAAAGAAGGTATTGAAAGTGGAAAATTGGAGAATGATGGTTTTACTTTTACTTTTTCTTTCTTTTTGTCTTGTTTCTTTCTTTTTGTGCAATTTTTTAAAAAAATTCTCAATAAATATCATTTAAAAAAAACAAAAACAAAACAGACCTATCCTTTAAAATGTGCAGTTATCTGAATTTTGCCATACACTTGCAAATACCAATGTGCAGTCAGTTCTCCAGGTGGGTAATGTGTTCAAATATGTAGAGATAAAGATAAAGTGTGCATGAAAACACATGCATTCATGAAAATAATATACAAAAGTGTGTTACCTTAAAAGATCCCCCCCCCCAAAAAAAGTGTTTATTTGTTACATGGAAGATGGAGCAAGCTTGTTTTCTCCTGCTCTGGAAGCTATGACCCAAACCAATGGATTCAAGTTACGAGAAAGGAGATTCTGACTAAACCTCAGGGAGAATTTTCTGACAGTAAGAGCTATTAGACGGACTCCTTCAAGAGGTGGAGGACTCTACGTTACTGGATATTTTAAGCAGAGGTTGAATGGCCCCCTGTCATGTATTATTTAGCTGAAACATCCCAAAAGTTGTTGAGCTTTGTTTAGTAAACCCCCCATTGCTGGTTTTCCAGAATATTTCCCCAATTTCCAAAAAAATAATCCAGGATGCCATTTTTTGAGGCGAATTCCAGGACATGTCCTGGAAAATCAGGACGTTTGATAGCCCTAGACTAGATGTTCCTCAGGTTCATTTCCAATTCTACAAGTATATGACTCTAGAGCCAGTATGGTGTAGTGGTTAAGAGCGGTAGACTCGTAATCTGGTGAACCGGGTTCGATTCCCTGCTCTTCCACATGCAGCTGCTGGGTGACCTTGGGCCAGTCACACTTCTCTGAAGTCTCTCAGCCCCACTCACCTCACAGAGTGTTTGTTGTGGGGGAGGAAGGGAAAGGAGAATGTTAGCCGCTTTGAGACTCCTTCGGATAGTGATAAAGCGGGATATCAAATCCAAACTCTACGATCGCCCACAAACAAATCTGGAAAATGGTTAATGAAAACTGGACATGGTCTAACCAGCTTTCTGTAAGCAAATCAGGATAAATCCTCAATATATGATAATCCAGAGGAGCCCCATATCTAGTCAGAAACACCCCAAAGGCAACACAGCACAGATGATATGGCAACACTCTTCTTGGGCAAGGTGTTTGAGCAAGTGGTTGTCCAACAGTGCTAGATACTCTTGGATGAATCTGATTTTCCAGATCTGTTAGGCTTGGTTTTGGCACGGAAACTCTTGCTTCCAGGAGAGAAAAAGTGCAACCCTGTTGATTTTCTCCTGTTTAATCCTCACTGACCTGGCCCTTATAAACATGTCTGGAAATGTGAAACAGCTACTGCCACGTCTTAATTTACAATGGCCGGAGCAGAAGCATTACCTCCAAGTCTACCACTCCATTGCCTTCCCACAAGACAATAAATGTACCACTTCCTGAAAAACATCCTACCTTTTCATGATGTAAGGCTCTATGTTCTCCCTCTGATGTTACAATGTGTCAAGAGTTAATGTGAATTATAACACAAATTCACTGCACATCGAGGGGAAAGGTAGCTTCCCTTTGGTTCGACATGACAGATTTGCAGGCTTCATTAAAGAAAATAAAGTTTCTAGACCTGTTTTCAGAGGAAGCTCTGGTTCTATAAATCAGTGTATTCCTGCATTGTGTGTTTTGCTCCCAGATGGACAGGAATAACAATGCCAGCAGAACTGTATGAACTGCCTTTATTCATCTTAATGGCATATTCACTTCAAAGCCAAGTGCAAGCTACTTAAATGCTAACGCAGTAAGTTTGCCTCCCACAAATTTGCCACCTCCAGATACAAAAATAAATAGGATGTATGCTGAGTGCAACTAGCTTCTAACAGGAGCAAGTCTTCATTGCACTGAAGTGTAACTTCAAAATGTAAATAAAAGGAATAGGATATATGAAACTGAGAGACTAACATTGGGGTACCAGCTGCTTTATTTATTTATTTATTTATTTATTTAAACTTTAAATAACCAATGGCCATTCCCCTCCACCTCATACTGGAATCATACATCAGGAGTACAAAACAAAATGAAAGAAAATAGAAGTAAAAAAAGATCCATGGGCAATACAGAGATAAACACTTGCGCTAGTACAAGGATCAATGCTAACACAATGGGATTTCCCCACACCCTGTGCATGAGCCCCACACCATCCCAAAATCTGGTTTGGATGGATGGGCAGAACCACAGAACAGGTTTAGGGGCAACCATGTGTAGGAAGATCAAAAGAAGATCAAACCTATCCATTCTTAAGGAAATCAGCCCTGAGTGCTCACTGGAAGGACAGATCGTGAAGCTGAGGCTCCAGTACTTTGGCCACCTCATGAGAAGAGAAGACTCCCTGGGAAAGACCCTGATGTTGGGAAAGATGGAGGGCACAAGGAGAAGGGGATGACAGAGGACGAGATGGTTGGACAGTGTTCTTGAAGTTACCAGCATGAGTTTGACTAAACTGCGGGAGGCGGTGGAAGACAGGAGTGCCTGGTGTGCTCTGGTCCATGGGGTCACAAAGAGTCGGACACAACTAAACGACTAATCAACAACAACATGTGTAGGAAAGGGAGGGAAATATCCTGTTGCACAAGGAAAAACCCTTATGCTAATGGATCATTCCCCTCACTATATACAACTCCAGATACAGGGAACTCCCCATTTACACAGGGATTACGTTCTGAGGTACTGAATGTTTGCACAAAATGGCTTGGGTTTGTCATCACTTGATGATTTGATTGTCATCATCAAGATGGCAACGTGGTGTGTTTAGGTGCCATCTCTTTAAAAAGGCTTAAAAAACTGTCACGGCATTCTACTCAGTATTGATCCACAGCAGATTCCAACGTATAGTTAGCAGAGTAAAAACTTAGACACATTGCAGGATTCCCCAAAAACAGACCAGAGGCAATTAATATTTCATCCAGCAGGGCTTTACTGCTACTGAAGGCAAATGAGCATAATGGTCACAAATCCAATACATTCAGGACTGGCACTGTCCATAAGAAATCCAGTTGCAGCAGACTTAACTTAAACTTACAACAACTTATAATAAATCTAAGCTTTAACACTAAGCATACTATGTACAGAACACCACACCAGAAGGAAAAGAGATAGAAAGAGAAAAGTAAAACCCAGGCTCCTTCTGGCCTCTTATTATAGTCAGCATGACCTTGTCAGAAGAGATAAGAGAACCAGTTTAAGCCAGCTGTACTCAGCTTCTCCGAAGGAATAACCCAAACATCAGGAACCTTCTGCTTGTTTCTTTCACACAGAGAAGCTTCCAGAACCCTCTTGAATTAATTAGAATAGGAAAGATCTCTACACATCAGATCAATACTTTCTGTACTAAGAAATGCAAGCTGACAAAAACTCCTCAAAGAAAAATATCAAAAAAACCTCCTAAGAAAAGATCTCAAAAAAGTTGTGCAGAAACTCCAAAAGCTTTGCCAAACTCCACCACAATCTCTCCCTCCAAATCTCCTTTCTCAAACTCCAACTTACCATATGCCTCAACGGTCAGTGCAAAGGCTCCTGGCATTGCTAGGTGCTGTTCACACACTTTTTAAAAAGCCTTCCCATGCTCTTTTAGGGCTATTTTTGTCATTTTTAAAGTCATTTTCAGGTCCGTGGAGATGCCTGAGTGTGCAGTCGTGCATTCCTTGAATGTGTGTAAATGTGGAGTTGCCTTCATCTACTATTCCACTGCCCTAGACATCAGTGCAGGCTGCCTCAGAGTAAACCAATTTATATTTGCCCCTTCTCTTAGGCCCTAGGCCTGTAGCATCATTTCCATGGGATGTTTTTGAGGTAATGAAAAACAGGGAAACATACTGGACTGAGGTTTTGGTACGATCTGAGCACGCTCAAGAACTGGGGTGAAATACAATACAGAGGTTAAACTTAATCCTGCAATAAAAATCTAACAGACCACGAGGAATTTCCTTTGTTTATAGACTGCTAGTATGCATGCTCTCACTGTTTGCAATTCGGACCAATTACAGGAAGACAGCATGTGCATATCAATGAGAGAGAAACAAAAATATCTGATTGGGTAACTGAATTTGTAATTTCTGCAATGAATATCAAAACTGTTGGATCTTTTGTTCATGGTCCAGTCTTTGCAGAGCAATCCCACTGGCTCAAAACTTCTGTGCAGAAATAAACTCGGACTCCTTTTTCACAAACCCCGCCTCATGTGATGCCTGGTCTACTCGTGAGAAAGGGAGCAGGTTTTCCTGCAACATTTTGTTGCACGTTAGAAGTGAATGCTGCTGGGCTGCAGAGGGCAATCTACTTTCCATTCACAGCAGCAGCAAAGTCCCCTACATAGAGTTCTGAGAATCACAAAAGTCACCAATGACGCCTTCTGCCATTGCTAGGGAGACGTCATCACGACCAGCAAGTCCACCTGCAAATCCATCCATTGTGTGCCAAGCTCTTAGCATCACCACTCACCAAAGAAACAGCTAGAAAGTGCTTTATGAAGATGACACAAAAAAGCATGGCCTATCCTATCCTGCAATACCACCTTTGTCAACCTGGTGCCCTCCATACATCATGGACTACAACTCCCATCATCCCCAGTCAACATAGCTTACTGGGGTTGACAGGAATTGTACTTTGGGAGGGTACCAGGTTGGCAAAGGCAACTATACTATATCAACACATGCAAGACACACAGTTCTAACAGTTTATTTAAAAAAATTGTGACTGCTGTCGATCAGCCCAGTTATTTTTTCCCAATATTGCAAAGGCAATATGAAATTAATGTTGCTGGATGCAGAAATAAGAATAATTACTTTTAATCAGGCTATGCTGTTTGACATTTCAAGTTAGTATGTCAAGTCACTTGAAATGGCTTCCAAAATTGATCACACTATTAGTAGGTAGATTAATTTCTGGAAGACCAGGGTAAGTCTGATACCGAAGTCTGTTGTTTAGTTTTACAGACATAAAGACTCTTCACCTTATATATTCCATAGATCCACAGAGGGCAACTGGCAACCCAGTCAGCCAAATTCAGCCCCAAGGCCTAATATTTTGCCCCGGTGACTATTCAATAAACTTCCTGTTTTTATTGTCTGCCTTAAACAGGATAGATTGAGATTGTATGTATGGGGGGAAGGTGTCAAGTACTTGAGATGCTGCAACGCACAGGTTGTGGGGGTTGGCGATTCATGAATTGTGTATGTCTGGCCTACAGTGATATGGCTAGATCAAGTGGATAGCTCAACGTCTTCGATTTGCACCTGCTCGACCTCTCTGGATGTTTACACAGAAATAGCTGAAGGAAAGAAAAGGAACACTGAAAGCTGAAAATGTGAGAACCCTGAGCCTGCACTATTGAGCATTGGGAGGATATGCAAGCCTTTTGTGCAGTTTGTACTCAAAACCCATCTATTAATGGGAGGGATGTATGAGAGATCCAATTCCAAAATGACTATTATGTTATACTCTCAGACATTTCTCCAATGAAATTAAGGACATCTTACCATAACTTCCAACATTTCTCCAATGTAAATAGGGGCATCCTACCATACCCTCCAACATTTCTCCAATGAAAATAGGAACGTCCTAAGGAAAAGCAGGACATTCTGGGATCAACGATGGCTTCTCTAAATCAGAACAGCCCTGGAAAATAGGGGAACTTGGAGGGTCTGCTACTATAGTATAGAGGCATGGATATCAGTACTCATGTTCTTTGTTGCAGGCTGTCTAATGCTTCCTTGCAGCTACTGAGTGCAGGGCACACACTCTTGCTACCCTGAAAAGATCAACTGTCTTAGCCCAGTGTGGCTAGATGTTCTTCAGCCATCGAGGACTGCAGCTTGGCTTGAGCCAATGTAATGGAAACTTTCCTAGCACTGCATCAGCTCTGTGAGATTCCATCTCAGGCTTGGTCACTTGATTCATCCTTGTGCTCTGTATGAGAAGGCAGAGCTACTCATCATGGCCTGGGGAACAACACAGGGATGGGGCTCAAAAGGGGAGCAACAGCAGCCTTTTTGTTGATCCATTGACCAACTTCTTCTCTCCAGTGGCAAGCAAAAGCCTAAAGATCTGAGACAGACAGACAGATAGAAATAAAGAATATACTGTTCACTGTCAAAATACCATATTTTTTGCTCTATAGGACGCACTTTTTCCCCTCCAAAAATTAAGGGGAAATATGTGTGCATCCTATGGAGTGAATGCAGGCTCCTTGGCTTCAGTGATAGCAACGCGAAGCCTCCGAAGCACAGAGGGAGCGCTCCCTCCGCGCTCCGGAGGCTTCGCGTTGCTTTCGCTGAAGCCTGGAGAGCAAGTTCCAGGCTTCAGGGATAGCCGCCTGAAGCCTTTGGAGTGCAGCGCGAGTTCCTGCTGCACTCCGGAGGCTTCAGGTTCCTTTTGCTGAAGCTGGGAGAGCAAGACTCTCCCGGCTTCAGCAGAGAGGGAGAGCTGCGCAGCGCCCCTTCAGCGAAGCGGGAGGAGAAATGGAAGGGCTCCATTTCTCCTGCCGCTTCGCTGAAGGGGTGCTGAGCAGAGAGGGGGAGTTTTTTTTTTCTTGTTCTCCCCCTCTAAAACAAGGTGTGTCCTATAGAGCGAAAAATATCGTAGTCATCTAAGCAGTTTGCAAGTAAAAAAAAAATCCAGGGTGTGGGTTTTTTCAGCCAGAACTAACTAGAACTCAGTTCTGGCACCTCTCAGGTGGGTACCATTGCCATTCTAAGAGAATGAGGAGGCATTCATGGTGAGTTCTAGCACCTCTTTTTCTAGGAAAATAGCACTGATAAAAACAACTGTGCGAACGTCAAAATGCAAATATCCATAATTAAAATGTGCGCTAAAACAATCCCATTAATACATTAAAAAATAAACAAGAAGGCTCAAGTTGAGAGGTGGAGGAAATGCCAATGGAAATAGGTGCATCTTCAAAACCAGCTGGAATGGCAATGCAGAAGGGTCGTGCCTTTTCCCCCCAGCAGGGAATACATTTCATAATACTGGTTACGCCTGTGCCAAAGTCTGCTTCCATATCATCACAAGAGGATGGTGGTAGCAAGTTTAAACTGGACTCCATTTGTGGGTCTTAATGCCCTTACTAGGCAATGGAGAGTGAATTCTAAAGCAGAAACTGCACTGCTAAATGGTGAGTCAATGGTCAGTGCTCCCTGCATTCTCCTTACCACAGAGGGTCCCAGAAAGCCATATCCTTGGCCCAGAGATGGAAAGAAGATAAAGTCCCTACCAGAGATCAAATTGGTGGATTGTGCCGAAATGGCAAAAATGACCGGAAGAATCAGAAATCAGGAATACCAAAATTTTAATAAGGAATGGGGACAATTGTTAACTTATCTTAAAAACCATTGCAAACAGTTAAACTTGTTAGTAGGATTGGAATAACACTTCTAGTTTTGTGGTGAATTATGGACATAATGGAGATGTAAAAGATTTGGATTATCATAAAAGATGAAGGAGGAAATGATTAGCAATAGGACCCACAAAGGGGAGGAGGGAAGTTCAGGAGATTCTCTGGAATCTTGTTTCTATCTTGTATGTTGTTGTTTTTTAAATGATATTTATTAGAGTTTCCAAACTAAAAAAATTAAAAGTAGAAAAGAAAAATACACAGTTCAAAAATACACAATACATAATCCAAAAAGAAGAAAAAAAAGAAACAATAAGCAAAAGACAAAAAAGAAAATATTTAAAAACAATACCACCTTTTCATCACCATTTTTTAAATTTACTTATTTTCTGGACCTCCTCATACCTCCCTCTTTTGTATTCCAGCTCAATTTGTTTGTCCAGGAATTTCTTTTCCTCTTTTTTAATCCCAATCCTTAATCTTAATATAATATAACATTAAATTTTTACCTCTTAAAAGCCAAATTTCCATTTCCTTTATCTTTTTAATCCTAATCCTTAATCTTGATCTATATATAACTTTAAAGCCTGTATAGCTAGAAGCCACTTATTTTCAATCCAACATCACTCTAACATTCTTTAATTTTGCAATGTTTCTGCAAATAGTCTTTGAATTTCTTCCAATCTTCCTCCACCGACTCTTCTCCCTGGTCACGGATTCTACCAGTCATTTCCTTTCTATGTTGTATGTTGGATAAAGGTAAAGGTAAAGGGACCCCTGACCATTAGGTCCAGTTGTGGCCGACTCTGGGGTTGCGGCGCTCATCTCGCTTTATTGGCCAAGGGAGCCGGTGTATAGTTTCCAGGTCATGTGGCCAGCATGACTAAGCCGCTTCTAGTGAACCAGAGCAGCGCACGGAAACACCGTTTACCTTCCCACCAGAGCGGTGCCTATTTATCTGCACTTTGACGTGCTTTCGAACTGCTAGGTTGGCAGGAGCAGGGACCGAGCAACGGGAGCTCACCCCATCGCGGGGATTCAAACCGCCGACCTTCTGATCGGCAAGTCCTAGGCTCTGTGGTTTAACCCACAGCGCCACCCGCGTCCCTGTATGTTGGATATGTGAGTGTAAAATTTTAATCTGAAAACCAAATAAATAAATTTATATAAAAAACAACAACAGAAAGCCGACCTCGGAACTACCCCAAGACTCCAGTCTTGAATGTGAGTCACAGTCACCCTATGGTAACGCACCAGCTTGTTAAAGCCATCGTTGCACATGTTCCCCCAAAGTTGTAGCATTTGTTCTTTCCATTTACAACAGAACATTTCATTCAAATGGTGTTTCGTTTCCTTACTGAAGTGGCATGAGAGCTAACCATCGTAATTTAAAACTATTATTAGAAAGCTTAAGTTCCCAGTTAATAAAAGCCTTTATATAAAGTTAATAATGGGTTTCAGGCCTATAAACCTTAGAGGGTAACATTAAAATTAGCTGGCGAGGGAAACTTGGTAGATGGAAGTGTAAATACTGGCTGTGAACAAAGGTGCTAATTCTTCTACCTACTCTATTGTTCCCCACCATTTTCTTCCCATACCACTGACATTATCTTGGTATCGCCACTGAGCAAGCAGAATAGAGAGTAGCTTGATTCATGGCCATATATAGCTCAGGCCAGGAGAGACATTCAGATCAGTTCAGATTTAAATGCAAACCTTCTTCCCAAGACGATACATAAACTGAAATGAGCCTTCAGAGAATTTGCACTCCTCTGAATTTTGTGATGCAGGTCTCCAATGGAAAAATGTGGGAAGGGTTGCATGAGAATACATATATACATGAAAGCAACACACACAAATGTATTATATTGGGGGAGGGAGTGCATTGCAAAAATGTGCATGTTAGGCAAAATGTTAGGCTTAAAAGCTAATGCACAGTCATGAAGATTTTTGCAAACTGATGCAGAAATGCAGTGAATGGCATTTAAGATTGGAAAAAGGAGAAACTGAAAGGAACAGCTCTAGCCATCCCTTTCTACAGCCTACCTCTCACACCTTTGCACTGGCTGAATCTCCACAGATATTACTGTACCACTTTTGATGGGGCCCAAGGTCTTAGGTCACTTCAACAGCACACGTGACAAGTTAATAATTAAATTAGAGGCTGAGCTGAAGATGGGGAGAACTGCTTCAATTCTCTAGTCAGGGAGAAATTACTAACTGGTTAAACTAGTGATGACAACCCATCTATTGCAGAAGTGGAGGACCTGTTAGGATGGCCACTCCCTGCAGACTGATGGATCCATGCTGGTTTCCTTGGTGATAGGGTGGCTCAGACAGATGACATAACTGTTGCCAAGCACCATCTCATAATTGCTGTCAAGTGGTAGAGCTCAACTGACCAAACCAGGTGAGGGTAGATAATAATAATAATAATAATAATAATAATAATAATAATAATAATAATTTATTTGTACCCCACCCATCTGGCTGGGTTTCCCCAGCCACTCTGGGCGGCTTCCAACAAAGATTAAAAATACATTAAAATGTCATACATTTAAAACTTCCCTGAACAGGGCTGCCTTCAGTTGTCTTCTAAATGTCAGGTAGTTGTTTATCTGATGGGAGGGCATTCCACAGGGTGGGTGCCACTACCGAGGAGGCCCTGTAGCTTTGATTTTTGCAGTGAGGGAACCGCCAGAAGGCCCTCAGTGCTGGACCTCAGTGTCTGGGCAGAACGATGGGGGTGGAGATGCTCCTTTCAGGTATACTGGGCTGAGGCTGTTTAGGGCTTTAAAGGTCAACACCAACACTTTGAATAGTGCTCGGAAACAGACTGGGAGCCAATGTAGGTCTTTCAAGACCGGTGTTATGTGGTCTCGGCAGCTGCCCCAGTCACCAGTCTAGCTGCCGCATTCTGGATTAATTACAGTTTCCGGGTCACCTTCAAAGGTAGCACCACGTAGACGGCATTGCAGCAGTCCAGGCAGGAGATAACTAGAGCATGCACCACTCTGGTGAGACAGTCCAATGGATCTCAAACCGTTGGTGAGTTAAGGACTTCTCCTGCATGCAATAACAGGCTCTGGTGGACTGAGCGGACGAGACCAATAGCGGGTCCAACAGTCCATAAGGTGGTTTTTGCACCTCGTGCGAAACGATGAGCAGATGGAGCTCATCCCTCATGGAAGGTAGTCCATCTAGGAGAAGGAAAACTCAGATCCTAAACATCCACTGTCTTGGGAGAAGAAAAGGCTAAGGAGTAAACCCTACGCAAATCCACAGTGGAGTGCCTAAGATGGTTGGATGGTACCTTGTACGCCTACTTCCGGCAACTCCTGCAGCCAAGCTGGTGCCAAATATATTGCTCAGTGCTTTTTCCTAGAAAAATAGGTGCTGGTACTCACCATGAAGTTCTTACAGTAAGTACCACATTTTTTAAACCAAAAAAGGGGGGTGTCGGTACTATGTGCCATTGAGTACCCCCTGAGGGTGACTGGCTCTGCTTCTCTTTGGACCACATCAGCAAAACCCTGACACACAGTATTATTTGCCCCATATTGCAGATTATTATCCTACACAAGACATACACATAAAGGTGAAATGCTTGATGATGTCACTGAAGGATGCAAGTGAGTCTTAGACTCTTATTGCTCCATCCCCACTCATGCATAGATTCTTGACTCTGAATGGAAACCAACATGTGCAAATTGCTATGACACAAGCTACAATCTCTCCGCTGCCTGCCCCCCCAAAAGCAATGGTAAAGGGTAAAGGGATCCCTGACCATTAGGTCCAGTCGTGACCGACTCTGGGGTTGCGTCGCTCATCTCGCTTTATTGGCCGAGGGAGCCGGCATACAGCTTCTGGGTCATGTGGCCAGCATGAGTAAGCCACTTCTGGTGAACCAGAGCAGTGCATGGAAACACCGTTTACCTTCCCGCTGGAGCAGTACCTATTTATCTACTTGCACTTTGACATGCTTTCAAACTGCTAGGTTGGCAGGAGCAGGGACCGAGCAATGGGAGCTCACCCCATTGTGGGGATTCGAACTGCTGACCTTCTGATTGGCAAGTCCTAGGCTCTGTGTTTTAACCCACAGTGCCACCTGCATCCCTAAAACAATGGTAGGCTCATCTGATTAAGGCCTTCTTAGATGGGCATTTACTTGTGTTTGCCTAAGTTGAAGAGCTATACTATAGTTGTGGGTGCAAATATTACCCCAAAGCTCAATTCCGTGCTCTCTCTCGCTCTTTCGCTCTCTCTCACACACATATATGTGCAACATGTCTGTTGGGGCCATGCATAAAGCAGCTCAAAGTGAGATCAGAACCTTGTATTAAGAAAAAGAAACTCCAGAGAAGGAAGGTTGGTAGAAATCTGTACAGAATTTAGATGAGCTACATTGGTATACTTATGTAAGTTTTAATATGTTCCTTAATAATAAAATTCATTTATATCTTAGACATTGGGTTATTGGTCTTTCGGCTTCTCCCAGAAAGTAATTGAACACCTGTGTAGGGACAATGGGAATTGAGGTGTTCTGATTAGTTTTCTCTAACGATAAATTACTTATCATCTTATTCCATTTTTTACCCCTTCCTTACAGCTTTCACAACCTCTCCCGCCATCATGTTGTATAATAAAAATAAATAAAAGAACATCAAGTTTCTTGTTTGCTCAGCCTCACAAATCATTTAGCATTCTGTAATACCATGGAAATGGCTGCTATGACCCATTTCTGATAGCAGGAAATAAAGAGCTTGAAAAATGCCTTCCTTTAATAATTTCGTTGCTGGAAAGGACAACGACATGACTCATCTGCAGAGAAACAAATGAATGAATGCAAGATCTCGAATATTATACAGGATGACTACCACTTAACCCGCTACTCAAACACAAATGGATTATTCATCATTTAGAACATACAGACACACATCAAGTGCTTCAAAACCAAAGTTGACAGTCTGGTGGCAGAACATTTTCCTCATCATGCACCATTTCCTTGTCTTAATTACCAAATACTCTTTGCATTCACACACACAATTTTCAGAGCCTCCTTAGAGTATTTTAATATGGAGCTAAGATTCGCATAACAGAACTTCATCCTTCTGTCCCAGCTTAACACACAGTCGGATTACGCATTTCTCATAATTTTGTGATGCCGTTTTGACTGGAGAAAAATGGGCACGGAAATGTGTATTGCACCAAATAGCTCACAGATATGCGTATTTTAGGGGGAGAATGCATATAAAATGTGTAAAATTTAGATGCTGATTTTTCAGGGATAAAAAAGAAAAAACAATTTTTTGGTGGGGAGTGAGCATTAGAGGCAGAACAAAGCATATGCAAAGCTGATACGGCCAGAAAACAAATAGGCTTATAAGCTCTCTAAATCAGAGAGAGAGATTAAAATGTTTCTGATGAAAGTCCTGGGCTGTGTACACTTTCCTCTTTATTCTGCATCCAGTGCCCTCCCACTGCTTGTTTGGCAAGCGTGGTATCCAGGACATTAGTCACAATCCATATTTATCCTGTTGTTTCTTATGAAATGTTGTGTTTTGATGTGTTCCATCCCCCAAACCATCTTTGATCTGAATTAAGCAAATGTACAACCTAACTGCAGGAACGCGGGTGGTGCTGTGGGTTAAACCACAGAGCCTAGGACTTGCTGATCAGAAGGTCGGTGGTTTGAATCCCTGCGACGGGGTGAGCTCCCGTTGCTAGGTCCCTGCTCCTGCCAACCTAGCAGTTTGATAGCACATCAAAGTGCAAGTAGATAAATAGGTACCGCTCCGGCGGGAAGGTAAACGACATGTCCGTGCGCTGCTCTGGTTCACCAGAAGTGGCTTAGTCATGCTGGCCACGTGACCCGGAAGCTGTACGCCGGCTCCCTCGGCCATAAAGCAAGATGAGCGCCACAACCCCAGAGTTGGTCACAACTGGACCTAATGGTCAGGGGTCCCTTTACCTTTACAACCTAACTGCAGCATTGTAACTCAGTGATGTGCCCACAGTCTCAATGTGTAGGATTATCAAAATGTTGCCGGGTGCTTGAGAGAGGCAAGAGATGAAGACGGAAGAGAGAAATCCAGGAGAGTCTTCAATGAAAGGCTAATCTCTGCTTGTTTCTTTCAGTGCTATTGTTACAAACTATATATTGTTGCAGGACATCAGTGTTGCATCTTCCACTACATTACAGCTTGTTTTAATGTCATAATATATGTTACAGGACTTGGTGCAAAGTCCTTTGCTCTCATTTGGCAAGTGGATAGAATTTCCTGACCCAGATTTCTCCTCTAAATTAAAACGAAAAACCCAATTAATTCTACCAGGGCTATGCTGTGGTTTAAAATCTTTCTGGCTCTCTCTCACATCTTTACTATTTTACAACATACATGTGAATTGATACTGCTCTGATCTGCCACTGAGCGCTTATTTTGGTCTGCTGGAAATTAGGCCAAAAAAAGCTGCCAGTTTTTATTTCACACACAGAGAGTATGCATTGAGGGATGCAATTCTGATAACTGGTGGAACAAACATGGGCAAGTCTAGGTCTCAGGTTGGTTTGGAAAGTGTTTGGCGAATGGAAGTGCAGGAGAGAAATGGTGGATCGGGGATTGCATTAAACATCCTTCATCAACTGAAAGGTTTAATGGAAGGACAGTTTCTCAGACCCAGGCCACACAAGCTTAGCCCTCAGCATCATGGCTAAATGTCAAAGTCAACATCTATCAACGATGAAGACAAGAGCAACTGAAAATAGCAAAGCAAGCAAAATAACCCTTGACATTTATATTTTGAGAATATAGAAACCCCAGCTACTTGTTCCTTCAAGGAATGTGATCCCCCCCAAAACAAGGTTTATTTCTCTGTTTTGATTTCTGTATTCAAGCAAAGACAGAAGCACACAAACTTGGAGTCTCATTACTCTGACGAAACAGAGAAATCCATATGCTTCCCCTCCCCTCTCTGACTGAAAGGCCTGATCCCCCAATGGCCTTCAACAACCTTGCCATTGTTGAAGCAGTTCTCATGTGTGATGTGAGACAAAATGTTTCTCATTACTAAACGCTGTCAGAAATTATTTCTGCGCAGAAAATATATATATATATTTGCCAACACGCAAGGGGCTCAAATCTGAAGTGAATACATAAGCAATCAGCAATCAGCAAAATGCATAGCTTATGAAATATGCAGCTAAGCTTGGGCACACATTGACAATCGTGAGGGTATGGGTTTGTTTGTTTGTTTTTCCTAACCCCATGAACGATACTCGGCACAAAGATTTATTCTTATTCTCATTTCTCAGAAGAAATGTTGAGCAATGCAACATTGCTTATGCAGAAAGCCCGGAAATGAATACAGCATGAATTTGACTTGACTGAGTACTGAAATATCCTTCCTTGTCAACACAGAATTCAAACCAGTCTTCTAGTGAATAGATCTGAGCTGAAAGGATTCACTGTTTAGGGGGGAAGCTGTTGTGTTGTTTATATTTTAATATTGTATTTTAATCTTGTTTTTAAGTTGGATTCATTCAACTTGTTTTTATTATTGCTTGTTAGCTGCTCTGAGCCCGGCCTTGGCTGGGGAGGGTGGGGTATAAATAATAATAATAATAATAATAATAATAATAATAATTATTATTATTATTATTATACACACACACACATACATACATATATACATATATATAAACACTCTTCTCTATCAATGTGGGTTTTGGGTGTAGATGGAGGGAGAACAATGAATCCAAAAATGTATTCATTGACCTTACCCTCACTTGCATAGCTTAATTTGCCTCCACAGACATCATCACATAACCTAGTCTGAGTGTTGTCCTAACCCAGAAGTTTTCAACCTTTTGGGGTCCATGGATCCCTTGACCAACCACATTCTTTCTGCGGCACCCCTGTGGGGCACAGTTATGTCCCCCCCTTGCCTGCAGAGCTGGCAGCCTCTCACCCTTTTTCCAACACCCTCTCTTGTGGAGTGTTTCCTCAACTTCCTCTCTCCTCTCCTTTCTTTGGGAGTCATTTGGGCAGCCTCAGCTTCCACCCCCGGTCCCTGAGATGCCCCCCTTGTCCCAGAGAGAGGTGCCTCCTCACACTGCCCCACAGGGGCCTGGGAAGCACCCCCTTGCCAGCCACAGAAGCACCATTTGCCTGCGGAGCTTGTAGCCAGGGCTGCTGCGACAAACAGCTGTTCAAGCCTTTGGATGGCAGAGACATGAGAGGGCATCAGAGAAAGGGAGGGAAGAGGGACAGAGGCCAGTGTTGCCCCTGACCATCATTCAAGACACCCCAGGGTGCCATGGCAGACTGGTTAGAAGTCAATGCCCTAACCTATTCAGCTGATTGCCTTAATGTGCTTGAGATGACATGTGCATCGAAGCCTCACCTAGGAATGGAGGGATCTGTCAATCTTATTTCCCTCCCTTTCAGAATTTTCCAATCTTAATTTCTGCAGCAATTTGTGATTTTCTCCTCACAAACACTTTTTTTTTTTTTTTGGTATGCAGTTTTGACGAATGTACATATATTAGCAAGCAATTTCCTCTAATACAGTGCATTATTCTATGTTATTTTCACTAATATCATGTTCATGCTTCATTTCGTGCATTTTCTCCCTCCACTTTCCCCTAATTCTTGTGTTTTTGTAAACATAGTTTGGTTCGAGAACGGCATGCAAAATTCTGAGCACCCCTTCTGAAGGGTGGCTGTGTTTTGCTGTAATTTGGGTAAAGTTTGCCTTTCAATGTGAACTAAATCAATATTTATCTCTAGCCCTGCCCCAAATGTTTCCACATTGCTGGCTCCACTTCAGAACTTCCCATATTTAGAATTTTCCCCATTATGAGAAATTTCTCAGTGTTCTCAATAGTGTAGAGGATTCTAAGTGTGTTCATCCAGACATTCTTAGAATCTCTCTTCAGACCTTCCCTCTCAAAGTGACAAGGTCTGAGGTAGAGCTTGAATGGAAGGAAGTCTGGTGGTCTGCTTTTTGCAGTGACCCAACCTCATCTGGAGCTTGCTTGAGGATCAGAATGAAACTCCCAGTTGGGCTACGTGCTTCTCCAGATTTTGTGATGCAGCTTCAGTGTAGGAGAATGTGCAAGCAAAAACACATTTTATGTTCAAAGCATGTCCAAAGTGCACATTTGACAGATTAATACATTAACATACACACAAAAGTGCCTACAAAATGTGGACCTTTTGTGTCTTCTTCCAGAAACCTATACAGAATAGGATGGCGTGGACCTCCTAGTGGTGCATTAAGAAATCTGCTAGCTGTATACCTTGGGGGTATACTTTGCAGTCAACTTCATAAGCTGAAATGATGGGAGTGCAGTTCCCCACAATACACATGTGCAATGGCCATGGGTTGTCAACCATGTGCTTGACCAGTGTGAAAAGGGGCTTTATGCATGCATAACTCCTCCATAAAATGGAGAGTCCTGGCCTCCTCATGTGGAGGAGCTCTACATACACTGAGAGAAGAAAGTATTTGATCCCCTGCTAAATTTGCCTGTTTGCCCTCTGACGAAGAAATGACCAGTCCAAAATTTTAATGGTAGGTTTATTGTAGCTGTGAGAGACAGAATAACAACATTAGAATGTTATAATATGTGCATTATAATGAGTGAAATAAGTATTTGATCCCCTATCAACCAGCCAGCACATCAATCTCTGACTTTGGTCTTCTGGGTTTCTGGGGGTTTTCCTGTTGTTATTCTGTCTCTCACAGCTACAATAACCCTACTATTAAAATTATGGACTGGTCATTTCTTCGTCAGAGGGCGAATGGGAAAATTTAGCAGGGGATCAAATACTTTCCCCCCTCACTGTAAGTGCATGCATAGAGGATCTTCATACACCAACGGATTGTGCAGACATCTTGTTCCTTCTTCGCTTACTTGCTTTCTTCTTACGTTCCTGCCAACTCCCGCTTATTCTCTATTCTCACTCCAAAGGCAAAGTTAACTGTAAACTCTTCAGAGCAGGGAGTTGTCTCTTTTTTCTTTCTTAATTTTTAAAAATGCTTTATTGATTTTAAAAACAAAACAACACAAAACAGTCAACAAAAACGATCCAAAATGGATACTTATTACAAAAAAATTAGGTTCATAGATAGCAAATTCCAACATGACTTCCGATCCCCCCATTGTGGTTCCTAAATTACATTTTTAAATACACACTTAACTTTATCTCTCCTAAGTTGTTTCAGTTGTATTGGTTTTGTAAAATTCTCTTATTTCATGCAGAAGTCAATCCAGGCCTGCCAAAGGATTTAGATTTTACAATGTTCTTTTAGGTATACTCTGCAAATGTCCCACTGTCTATTAAATATTTGGTCTGTGTCATCTTGGAATCTTGCCGTCAATCTTGCTAACTCTGCATATTCTAACATTTTGTTCTGCCAATCCAATTTAGAGGGAATGTAGTCTCTTTTCCATCCCTTTGCAATTAGGATTCTTGCTGCTGCTATTTCATACATAATTCTCCTTAAATTTTTCAGATTTTCATTATTCATTGTAACCAGCAGGAAGGCTTCAGGCTTCTTAGGAAAGGAACTTGTAAATATTTTTTTAAGCTCGTTATATATTGTTTCCCAAAATTCCCTTTTTTTTGCAGTTCTACCACATCGTGCCTTCCGCCTCCCTGAATCTCCAACAGACTCTTGACCTGGATTTATACATTTTGGCCTATTTTACAGGTGTTAAATACCATCTGTAAAGCATTTTCATGAAATTCTCTTTCAAGTCATAGCATGCAGTGAATTTCAGGTCTTCCCTCCACAACCTTTCCCATGATTCCATTTGGATATTGTAACCAAAATCTCTGGCCCATTGTACCATTACTGATTTTACATTCTGATAGGGCAAGCAGAAAGGCTTTTCCATAGAACTTTCAAGACTCAAGAAAGATCTAATCCAAAAAAACCCCCCAAAACCTGCTCTCTAAAATGTATAGACTTCTCCTTGACTGAGAGGTCAAGGAGGAAGAAGTAAAATCAGAGCAGGGAGTTGTCTCATCTCTTTTGTTTCCAAATATCAATGCTGTTATATTCAGGGCTTTTTTCCCATCCGGAACTCTCCGGAACTCAGTTCCGGCACCTCTCAGATGGGCACCATTGCCATTGTAAGAGAACAAGGGAGGTGTTCATGGTGAGTTCCAGCACCTCTTTTTTGATAATAATAATAATAATAATAATAATGGTAGACTGGTTATATTACTTAATGAATTAACTATGCTATATAAACAGGTATAAAAAATAGCGGCTTCAGACACATAATTGTCATAAAATGAAAACAAACAACAACTGAGATCTAATTTACACAAATGAGAGAACACTTTTCTACCAGTAACTAGACACTTCTTCCATCACTGTATCTTTAATTTAGTTCAAAGCAAGCCTCCAGCTTTCACCTACCCAAGCACATAAATTATAGGAAGTGTAACGGTACCTGTAACTTTTCCTTAAGATAAACGACACTTTATAAATCCAAACTGTGTTTTGTCTCGGACTGTACAGTGGATGTAATAATTCAGAGCAAATGATAATGTGCTGCGGTATTAAGACCATAACCTTAGAAAAAGCAGAGCCCAGTTCCCTGCTTGACTTACAAGAGCAAAACAAGCTCATGGAAGACAGGGCTCTGTTGTCTGGCAAGTAGTCAATAAAACTGTACCTTATGACTTTCTCTCCTAAAGGTTCTAATCAAAACAATTTATTTCAGGCATGTAAACTCTTGCTTTTCGGAGTGTAGCAATTGTCAGGATGCTGTAAGAGCGCTGGCAGAAACCACGGCATCATTTCACTAAGAGTCCCAGAGCTCCCCCATCTGTCTCCATAACAGACAGATTTCCTTGCTAGTTCAATCTAGCATGTCAGCCCCAGTAAAAAAGAGATGCAGCTTCTTTCATATTTTACTAACTGTTACAACTGCTCTTTCAACATAGAACATCTTCTTTCATTCCAGATATTATGCTCCACAGATAACTTTGCAAATAACAACACCACCTGACTGGGAAGAAGGTAGGAAAGGAGGTACGTATCTGGTACTAAAGTTCATCTCCATAGCCGCTAAAACTGCTCAGCTGATCAGAGGGCGGGGAAAATCACTTGCCATTATTTTGGGGTATTTTTTATTGGTTATGGCATTTACAAAGTGCTGGCGTGGTGTCGTGGGTGGAGTTTGTGGCCTGTACTGGGCAAAATTCCACTCAGCCACCAAGCTCAGTAGGTGATACTCGCCAGTTCCTCTCCCTCACCTTAATTTACCTCACAGAGTTGTTTACTGGAAAAAGTGGGAGGCAACACACACCTTTCTGAAATTCTTGGAGAAAAGGTAAGATGCAATCATAATAAAGGAAGACATTTACTAGCGGCTTCTTGTGCTCAAGGCGGGACACCGAGTTTGCCATGCAATAGACTCATACAAATGCAAGTTGAAAACACAGCAAGGCTGCAATTCTATAAACAATTACCTGGGTGTAAACTAGATTTAACACAACTGGGCTTACTTGTTGCTAGAAATACGTCTTATGCAAAGACCTGTAATCTTATTGGAGTTCACCGATTGGGTCTGCGTTGCTCCCGGGAGGGAGGAAGGAAGTCAAATGACACAGAGGTTGGTTCAAAGAAAGAGTTTATTCTGCTCTCCGGATAGCAGAAGGCACTTGCGTGGTCAGTCCACAGCAAGTCCAAAGGAATGAGAGATTTCATGCAGTATATATATCCTCCAGGCACCCTCTCCCCCCTTCCCCAGGAATCCAGCCACGTCAGCTTGTACACGCAGGTTGACATCACAGATGTCTCTGCTCCGGCACTCTTAACCATAAAAGGGTATTCCTTCCTGTACTTCTGACCATAAAAGGGTCACCAACTCCAAGAACACACTCTGGCACTGTTCCCAGACTAGGTCTGTGCGTCTTTGTGGTCAGGATGTAAGATAAGGCACAGACGTCCACTTTGGAATGGACAAGGCCATCCGTCATTACCAGCCTTCATGGACTGATAATGGAGAGAGCTTTGAGCACTTGTTTATACAGCTGGGTTTTGGCTCAAGAGCTCAAGTTAAAGCATTTTAGAAATGCTCCCTTGGAAAAGGAAAAAAAATGGATTTTGGGTCCCGTTTCAAACTGACTGCACAGAAACCCATTCCTTCAGACCCGTGCTCTTTATGAGCTAGAAGAGCTTTCAAAAAGGTCTGTCCTGCCACCCTAAACTAGCCTGCTGCCTTGGAGGACTCTGTCTCATCACCAATACTGAAGAAACTTTCAACTGCCAATGCAGTCAGTTGGTGTGCATGGAATGGGGCGGGGGTGCCTTGTTCCTTGCCTTGGGCAGCAAAATTCCTTGGGCCAGGCCTGCCTGCACTAGCCACTGCCAAGTGACGAGCTACAGAATTCACTGGCTATGATTTCTTGCCCATCATCTACAAAGTAGTCTCTAAAAGAGCATATTGCACAGTCTAACCTAAGGTCACAAAAGAACAGATGACAGTGACCAAATCATACAAATGAGGAACTGCATGTTTATAAAAGCGGGAACCGGTTCTCATTCTGCAATCTGCTAATTACATATAGATGCAATCAATTTCCCACTGAAGCCAACAGCAAAACATCCAATAGATCTCATTTTAATTGACCTTGTTTGTATCCGGAGATTGTTTTCCCCACTAGCTAAATAATTAGCTTTATTCATATGCACGCACACACATTTATATATAATGGAATATTTGAAATATATTTGAATATTTGAATGTGTGTGTGTGTAAAAATGGAAACAGTTGTATTGTTCACTGTTTGTTCATACCTTGCTAGATGCCAAGCCTTTATCCAGAAATATTTACTGCAGTTTCATTCCCAAATTTAGAAGAATCTGAGCATAATATAACTTTACTTACATTAAACTAGCCTGCTGTTGAAATTGTACAAATCTATATGCAGAGCAGATTTCCTGATGCAACACCCGGGTGTTTTGAAACATACAATGCTGTCAGGATCAGGCTTGGATTGGCAGGCTCTGGCACAAGAGGAGAAGGGAAAAATGGGGGCAGAACTAAATTGTGGGAACCTGGCTTGGAGAAGGGAGGATCTCCCCTCTTCACCTTGTCTTCAGCTGCTTTGGAAGGGAGAGCAGGAATGCTGACTCTCCCCTCCAACCTTCCTGTGGAGTGGATCGCCTCAGTGGAGGCTAGGGAAGACTCTGATCAGCCCAAAGTGAGGCTGAACAGCAAACACAGCAGGGACTGAACAGGAGCCCAAACAGGAGCATGCAGCCTTCTTGCCAAGAACCGGGTGCCACCAGGAGCCAGTGTGGTGTTGTGGTTAAGAGCGGTAGTCTCATAATCTGGGGAACCGGGTTCGTGTCTCCGCTCCTCCACATGCAGCTGCTGGGTGACCTTGGGCCAGTCACACTTCTCTGAAGTCACTCAGCCCCAGTCACCTCACGGAGTGTTTGTTGTGGGGGAGGAAGGGAAAGGAGAATGTTAGCTGCTTTGAGACTCCTTCGGGTAGTGATAAAGCGGGATATCAAATCCAAACTCCTCCTCCTCCTCCTCTTCTTCTTCTTCTTCTTCTTCTTCTTCTTCTTCTTCTTCTTTGCAGGTGGCAGCAAACCCACCCCCGACAGAGTGCACACTTGCAATATCAATATATTAATACCTCTGGTTACGAACTGTCCTCCTTGCGAATGCTTCAGGTTACGAGCTCCACTAACCCGGAAGTAGATGCTCCTGGTTGTGAACTGTGCCCTGGGATGTGAGCGGAAATCACACGCCAGAGGCGTGCGTGCAGTGGGAGGCCCCATTAGCGAAAGCACGCCTCAGGTTAAGAACAGTTTCGAGTTGAGAATGGACCTCTGGAACGAATTATGTTCGTGACCAGAGGTACCACAGTATTCCTGCAAGGTGAGAGTGTCTTGCAAGTGAGTATGGCATGCCTTATCTTCAAGGGCTTGGCAGGTTGGGCGAGGAAATTTGTTGGGACATCTTTGTCACTTCTATCAGGTTCTAAATTTTTCACCCAATTCCTCAGCTCCTGAATTGTGATTCTTGGTCACTGTGTTTGCTGCAGAGTTTGTACTGTTCCTTGTCTGAATAAAGATCTCTTACTTACTTATTTACTTACAAGTATCTGCATGTTTTGGGTGGGAGCCAGGACACCAGGGCAAACTGGGATAATAGACTGGAATGCAAGCTATCAGATCAAGTTAAGCCCCACTCACACCCGAATTAGCAACAACTGAGTATTGGTGGGCTAAGAACAAGGATGTTGGGAAAGATGGAGGGCACAAGGAGAAGGGGACGACAGAGGACGAGATGGTTGGACAGTGTTCTTGAAGCTACCAGCATGAGTTTGACCAAACTGCGGGAGGCAGTGGAAGACAGGAGGGCCTGGCGTGCTCTGGTCCATGGGGTCACGAAGAGTCAGACATGACTAAACGACTAAACAACAAAGAACAAGAAACCCATTTTTTATACCCATTTACCTGGAAGAATGGAAACTGAGCAAGCAGATCACACTCAGTTCCATTTCTTCATAAGTAAATGCACAGGCTCACCTAGTTTTATAATCATCTTTTGGCCATTGTGATTCATTAGCAAGCAAGCAAGCACACACACAAAGGAAGGCCTTCTCTTTGCTTCTCACAATGCAGTACTATTTCTGAGATACCAGCAGACATGAAGTTGTAGTGTGTTATTGGCACAGATATGACATAAAGCATTTTTTTAAAGGAGGCAGCAAGTAAGAGAAAATAACACTTCAGTTATAAAACCTGTTACTTGTCACTTGTAATGTGTCTCTTCCACTTGATTAACTTTCTCTCTGAATGTAACACTTCCCACACTTTCTAATGGCTTTCCAAGTGATCAGAGTTGGGATGCAGTCAAAACTGCATCTTGAAGAGGCTCAAGGCAGGTTTTTCCAATGGAATGGGGGAAAGAATAGGCACACCGTCCAAAGGGAAAACAATTTGTTGCATTTTTTTCAGCAGAAACCATAATTTTGTCTGCCATTAAAAAATGGACTTCTAGGGGTATAATCTCATATATATATATTTTGGGGGGGTTGTACTTCAGAAAGAGAAAATTCTCATCCTATTCTTGGATACGTTTGGGAATAATTTGCACCGAGGAGTAAACTTTAAAAGCAATTGATGTAGTAACTACTAGAGCAGGGGATCCCAAATTGTGGTCTGTGAACCACCAGTAGTCCCAGAAGTCATTTCAGGTGGTCCATACTGATACTGAATTTTAATTGTATATTTATTTCATATTGTGTTTTATTGTACTACAATTTGAATTCTGTGGAATGCAAATATAAGAAATAAAAGAAGCAATAAAAGAGGATGAAAAATCACACAGCATCTGGTACAATGGCTACAACAGGCAGGGGGAGAAAAATCATTAAATGGTTTGCCAAAACCATCAGCAATTTTTGAGGGTTCCATAAGGAAAAAAGTTTGGAAACCACAGTATGTTATTGACATAAATCAAGCTGCCACTTTGACAAGCAAAGGGATTTGTGCCTTTGGCATGCCTAGCTAGTATAAATCTAATTAATGCATTGTAACAAATACTTTCCAGGAGCATAGAACCAGCAGCAGAGCAAGCCAATCAGGCGCCTGGGGCGGTGCTCGTTCCGTGCTCCCAGGGGTGGGGCCAGCCACCTGTGGGGGTGGGGCCAACTGGAGCAGGACGCGCCACAGGGCCTCCGAGGAGTCTGCCTGCCTCCTCCCCCTCAGCCGCCCTATAGCTGAGGGGGAAGCAGCAGGTGGACCGTTTGGGCAGTGTGGCGCCTGCGTGCCAAGCCACCGTGTCACTCCCAGGAGTGACACATGGCTCGGGCGTGCTGCAGGCCCCGCAGTGAGTGCCACCCGGCATTTTGTCACCCCTCTCAGTGTTGACACCTAGGGCGGACCACCCCCACCACACACACCTTCCTTTGCCCCTGCATAGAACCAGTTAGTCAGAGATAGAGAAATAACCACATGTTCCCTGAAATACAGGAGGGGATGAAAGGCTGTCCCTCAGTCTACAGCTGCCCATGGATGGTGGAGTGAGGGGGAGAGTGTGTTTTGCTCCTGTGCCTCAAACAACAGATTGATTAATCTTTCCAAAGTATGGAATTGAGCACTGATTGACTATAGTTCGGGAGACGGGCCTTGTGCAACCTGCCAAACTGCAGGAAGTGGTCCACGAGCCTCTGCCAATTAATTTCCAGATTGGGAGATAAAATCCCTCAGATCGTCTCTAAAGAACAGGCATGGGGCTCTTTGATCTTAGTGCTATGCATCACTGTGCTAAAATTGGAGATAACGTCATCTGCCTCTTTACTCTGTAAGAGTGAAAGGAGGCAGAAATGCCTAGAACGATCAGTGCAAAGTAAAAGGCAGCACTTTCAACCACTCCTCACCCTAGCACTGGAGTGGAGAGGGATGGAAATACAGACTGTGTGTGTGTGTGAGAGAGAGAGAGAGAGAGAGAGAGAGATGTTTGCTGCAAGGATGAGCGTGCAACTCCATGAGAGGAGGAGGAGAGGGTGTGGGTGTCTGTACGTCCGGTAAGAGGGTTATCCTGCGTGCACGTGGTAGGAACGTGCAACTGTGGTGTGCGCATGTGCACTGAATGTGTAGCACGCATGCGCACATGCATATACATTTAGCATGCCCATCGCTGGGATTGGCCCATGGAAGGATGGCTGTAAAAGCCTAGCCACTGTAGATCAAGCTGCGGTTAAAGGAACTTGAACAGAGCTGTTATCAATACAAGAAGGATCAGTTAGCTTGTCATAGTCCATTTGTTTAAATACCCCAATTTCTTTTTTTCATTTTGGGGATAAGTTTATTAAATTTTCTGTTTTACAATTTCAAATATTCATTTTACATCCTTAAAAAGCAGTGACTTCCCTTCTTCTCTTTCCATGGTTCATTTTACATATCATAAATCCCTGCATACTTTTCAAAACCTATACCATTCAGTATTCCATTATTGCATCCATCAAAGCTTATTTACACTGTTGAATTTTTCTTAATGCTGCCAGGGTTTTCGGCTGTACAAAATTATTTCCCACATATTCAATAAAGGTTTTCCAATCTTCTCTAAAAGTATGTTCCTCTTGTTCTCTTATTCTATAGGTTAAGTCTGCAAGCTGCTCATGTTCTGTCAACTTAAGTTGCCATTCTTCTTTGGTTGGGACCTCGCTCGCTTTCCATTCAACAAAACATTAACAAAACATGGACCGCAGTAGTAACATACATAAATAACCTTTTTGACACCTGGTAATTTCAGTCCGAATTATCCCCAACAGAAAAGACTCTGATGTTGTTGTTTTTTGGAAAAGTACTTTTAAGCATTTTCCCCCAATTCATTATGGATCATTTCCCAATACTCTTTTACCCTTTCACAAGTCCACCACATATGGAAGAACGTTCCCTCCACCTCTTTGCATCTCCAGCACTTATCTGATTCAGTCTTCTACATCTTAGCAAGCCTACTCGGAGTGAAATACCATCTGTAAATCATTTTCAAGTAGTTCTCCTTCTAAATACGCTATTTTCCACAGATCTATTTGGGATCAAATTGGCTCACGTAAAAAAAAAAAACAGTTTATATAATAATAATAATATAATAATTTATTATTTATACCCCACCCATCTGGCTGCGTTTCCCCAGCCACTCTGGGCAGCTCCCAATCAAGTGTTAAAAACAATACAGCATTAAATATTAAAAACTTCCCTAAACAGGGCTGCCTTCAGATGTCTTTTAAAAATAGGATAGCTGCTTATTTCCTTAACATCTGATGGGAGGGGGTTCGACAGGGCGGACACCACTACCAAGAAGGCCATCTTTCTGGTCCCCTGTAACCTCACTTCTCACAATGAGGGAACCGCCAGAATACCCTCAGCACTGGACCTCAGTGTCCGGGCTGAACGATGGGGGTGGAGATGCTCCTTCAGGTATACAGGACCAAGGCCGTTTAGGGCTTTAAAGGTCAGCACCAACACTTTGATTTGTGCTTTAAAGACAGTAGTGGAATAAGCAAGATACCCAGGGCCAGTCCACTCATGAGGCAAGGTGAGGTGATTGCCTCAGGCAGCAGGATCCATGGGGCAGCAGATTCAGCCTCCAACAAATGTATTGCCTGCTTCTGCTGCTGCCATGGAAGCAACCCTAATGCAGTGGCTTCTTGGCTAATAGGAAGTGCTGCTGGTCTCCTCCTACCCTCGTTCCCAACGTAGCTGTAATTTCCCTATTTCTATTCTATCTTGATGTAATAAGCAAAAAGACTAGTTAACTATGATCCCCGTGCAATTAAAATTCTTAGAAGAAGAAATCAAACACACAGGAAGGCATAAATAAAGGAACTTACAAAAGGCTGTGGCAAGCAGCACCATTTTTTAAAATAAAAAAGATACCTGATAGCTAAGAATGACAGGTTTCTTTTCTTCTTCTCTGGGGGATAAAGGGAAATGTTGAAAAACCTATTAGGAATATTTATAGCCTGAGCTTAATGTCCAGGATGCAAGCTATATATTCTTTCCAGGTGGTTCTTCAAGCTAAGGCTTAAATACTTAAGAAATTCCAAATAGTACAAATAGTTCTTTGAAGATTACTTCTGTATTTGTCTCAGAATAACACAGACAAGGGCATAAATAATAATGAAACAAAAAAATCAAAACAAAAACCCTCAGGTTTAAAATCTGACATTTCAAAATGGCAGGTTTCCTCTTTCCCTGCTGAGGCAAACAAAAGCCCTTGCAAACTCTTTAAGATATTGATGGATGCTAAAGAAGGAGGTGGACCTGCCCTGCCAGACCTTTAAACTTTTTAAACTTCGTTGTGAACCATCTGCCCTTTGCTGGTTGAGAGAATGATTGCTTCTTGAAAACACCGAAGGGCTGGATAATGGCAGACGAAGTTGATGGACTATAGGGAATTAGTGGAAATGACTGGCAAGATCCGAGACCAGGGTGAAGAGTCGGTGGAAGAAGATTGGAAAAAGTTTAAAGACTATTTATAGAAATATTGTAAAATTAAGGATTGTTAGAAAAATGTTGGAATGAAATTACGTGGTAGAAATGTCATAAGGAATTAAGTATAAATAGATTAATAGAAAATTAAAGGGAAAGTATGGCAAGAATGTGTTAAGATAATTATAGAATAGAAAACAGAGTAAGATGGAAAGGAACTGCTGAAACAAATAATAGAAGTAGAATACAAAAAGGGAGGTGTGAGGAAGTCGCTGGAAATAAGTGAATGAAATATAAGATATTGAAAATATTTGAGGTGTTTTTAAATTGTTTTTGTTGGTTTTTGCTTGATTTGTTACTTGTATTGTTTTTTTCTTTTTTTTTTCTTTTTCTCTGTGTTTGTAGTGCTGTGTTGGAAATTTTGAAAATGTAATAAATATCATTTAAAAAAAACAAAAAACAAAAGCCCTTGCAAACTCTGTTAGGGAGACTTTATGATCTGAGCTTAGTGGGCAAGATTTAGTTTAGCCCACACAACTCTCTGCCCCTGACTTCTGGATTAAGAAAGACTTCTGGAGCAAACTTCGAGCCTGATTCATCAAAATCCTAACAAGATTTGATTCTATACTCCTATGAAGCAGGGCCACTGCCATAGGTAAACCTTTGAGGACACCTGCTAAGGCTCATGCCTTTGGAGGAAGCCCACTACCAATCCTTGGAGGAGAAATAAAGAACCTCCAGTCTTGGAGGGGATTGAATGTTGTCCTCAAGGCCTTTCTATCTGGTCCTCTGGACTGTTCCAAATTCACACTCCCTCACCAGCCCTGCTTTTGCACTCTCCTAAAAAGCTTTTCCCGGAACATTTCCTTGAACTCTGTAGATGCTTACCCTCCAACGTTTCTCTGACGAAAATAGGGATGTCCCATTCCATGATGATAATTTTACTGTTTATACCCCACACATCTTACTGGGTTGCCCCAGCACTCTGGGCAGCTTCCAACATATATAAAAACATAATAAAACATACAACATTTTTTTAAAAACTTCCCTATACAGGATTGCCTTCAAACGGCTCGGGCACTGGATAACTCCATATCTTCCAACATTTCTCCAAGGAAAATAGGGACATCCTAAGGAAAAGTGGGACATTCCAGAATCAAATCAGCAACTGGGATGGCTTCTCTAAATTAGGGATGTCCCTGGAAAACAGGGACACTTGGAGGGTCTGTGGATGCCTCTTGCATGCCTTGGGGAGGTAAAGGTAAAGGTAAAGGTAAAGGATCCCTGGACGCAACTATGGGGTTGCAGCCTCATCTCACTTTCATGCTGAGGGAGCCAGCGTTTGTCCACAGACAGCTTTCTGGGTCATGTGGCCAGCATGACTAAACTGCTTCTGGTGCAACGGAACACCGTGACAGTAGCCAGAGAGCACGGAAACGCCGTTTACCTTCCCGCTGCATCAGTACCTATTTATCTACTTGCCCTGGTGTGCTTTCGAACTGTTAGGTTCGCTGCATCAGTACCTATTTATCTACTTGCACTGGCGTGCTTTCAAACTGTTATGTTGTCAGAAGTTGGGACAGAGCAACAAGAGCTCACCCCGTTGTGGGGATTTGAACCGCCAACCTTCTGATCAGCAAGCCCAAGAGGCTCAGTGGGTTAGATCACAGCACCACTTGCGTCCCCTATGTGAAGTACAGAGGTGTGTGAGTGTCTGTAGAAACTAACCTACTGTACAAAGGTAAAGTCCTCTGGCACTTTTTTCTGGCCCCACCCACCACTGACATGTAGCCTCTGGAAGTTTGCTTAGTGGTCCTTGCACGGATCAACATTCCCCATCCCTGCTCTAGAGCCTATTATTCCTGCTGCTCCTCCTTGCTGCCACGGCCTCTTCATGTGCCCTCCTTAAGTGTAGAAGAGATATAAGGAGAAGCATCCTCTATCTGCCTTGTCCTCTCTCTGGGACGTTGTACAGACTGGGTTGAAGGGAAGGACAAGTAAGTGAGCAGAAGTAACAGTGGAAAGGAGCAGAAGGTCCATGAGATGTGAGCAATGTGCTCTGGTAGCTTTCCCAGGTAACTCAATTCCCTTATTTGTGGACTTTTTTGTGGTTACTCTTTCTTAAAGGCAAATGTCTGTGCCCATGCACATTAGCTAGCAGATATTTCTGAATGTGCTTAGGTTCTGCTTTTCTTCAAAGACAACCAGATCCATTATATTCAATATCCTTAAGATGAATTTGTTTGGGGGTATTGATAGTTTATTAACACATTTCTTTTTATCTTCATACACTTATATCTTGACTGTCTTATTTCTTGGAACCCAAAGCAGCATACATACAGTCAGTTACAGGTACTGACTGGACCCAGACGTGCTTAGTTCAAGCAGGTAGCCAATGATGGCCTCCTCATGTAGCTTCAGATCACATTCCAGGACCAACCATCCAAATACCTGCTTCGGAAGCCACTGCAGGATAAATTAGCACTGCTTGTGGCAGGGAGCGACCGTCAATGGTTATGCAGCAATCCTCAATGTAGTGTACTTTCATAGGAACAAAGAATTGTGGAGTGGGGAAGGACTCTGAGGACCATCTAGTCCAACCCCCTTTGATGCATTCCCCAACTTGGTACTCTCTGGATTTTTTTGATCTACCACTCCCAACAGCCCCAGCCAGCAATGGTCAGGGATGATGGAAGCTGCAGTTCAATGTATCTGGAGGGCAGCAAGTAGAGGAAGTCTGGTCCAATATTTTATTAAAGCAGACTAATAGCTCATTCACACTGAAGTTTGCCCCAGAATTTCGAGTCATGGTTCCAAGAGGTTCATAACTATAAATCATGGGACAAACAGTAGAAATCATGGAACAAATGGAAGTGTGGATGAACCCTAAGCCACTGGCCATTGGCCACATGGCAGTAAATTCCTTAAGTTAATTATGCACTATATACAGAAATAGTTATTTTGTCTGTCCACAATCTATTTCCAATGCAATATGCTCTTTCCCAAACAGATTCTACAATCCTGCCCATGTCTAATTTACTATTTATTTCTGGTCCTGCCGCTACGGCGCAGCGGGGACCCGCAAAACCACAGGCGGAAGAAGCCTGTGGACGTGGGACTCGGCGGGCACCGAGGCGCTCTCTCCCTTGTACAGGAGCCCGGTAACGGGCTCCGGAGTGGGAGGTGCGTGGTGCTGTGAGTCGTCTGCTTCCTCCGTGCAGCAAAGCCGCACTGCCGTTATCGGAGAGCGCTGCCTTTTCCTGGACAATTTGGCATCTAAAATATCTATCCGTGAGTACCTGATCTTGGAAGAGTTGAACCACTTTTAAGACTGGTGAATAAACAAATAATATTGGACTTGAAATTGAACTTAATTGGGACTCGGAATGGGAAGGTCTAAACAGGAAGTCGCCTTCCGTTCTTTTGTTATGTGAAGAAAGCAAAGACAAAATATACTAAAGCTTGAAAATTAAATTCTAAGAGAACTAGAATTCAACATCTAAGATTTCTGAACCCCTTTGACTGCAGGAGAAGAAGGGGGTTGTATTTGGACTTTTCAATCCTGCGGAAGTGAGTTTAAAAGAAGCAATTTTCCACCGCCCTGAACCAGGAGCGGGCTGTCAGAATTGACGTTCTGAAGTTTATCCAGCTCGACAGTTAGTTAAAAGAAGGGTAACATTTTGATTCTACTGTTGCCTCTTGAATTTGGAAGGGGAAATTTTGGATAAAGTGTTTCTGGAAAAAGACAGATTGTTGCTGTTGCTTTTATTCCTTTAAAAAAAAACTCTATCTAGTGGAATTTAGTGAAATTGCTACGCAGAGCGATGCATAGAGAAGGACTATTGGACTATTCTCGTGGGAAAGAATTTTCTTTGACCCTGAAGGACAATGCTAGTACAAAGGCTTGAACAATTGTTCCTGGAAGGTTTTTCAAAACTAAGTGCCCAGCTGGACCAGATGCGTCAGGAGACGACCTTGATGATGGAAGTTACCAGAGCACAGCAGCAAACAAATGAAATTCAGTTAAAGGCTATACAAGCATATGAACCTGCTGGGAGACCTGGTTCATTTCTCCGTATTGACTGTTATTTATACTTAGCAGCATATAAAATGTGTGTTCTGTAAAAGGTTTATTATTGAACAGAGCTGAGTGGGCTGGGGCATAATTGCCAATGGAATGTTCACCATTAAAAATATGATATTTCAAATGTCAAGGCAATTTTAAGAGGAACAGGTTCTGGAAAATATAGATCAACATTTCAGGCCACTTGTTGTAAAACAGTTGGATACTAGTAACTGAAATAATGCCCAAACTATCCAGCAATTATAAAGCAGTCATAAAATGGTGAGCATATAAACCATTCTGCTATCTTGACACCCAGAGGACCTGATCACAGTGGGAGCTCAATTTAATTTACAAGGGCAGCTGCTGAAGTATAGAAAAAGAAATAAAATTTATATGGGGTATTTTAAAAATTGTGATCATGCAACTTATTGAGTGTATTATGGAAAACCAGCTCCTTTTCTCACAGGCATATCAAAATAGTTAGGATATTTCACTTCCCACAAATTACACACCTGACATTTGGCTGTGGCAGTTGCCTAGATTACTAGGTGTATTTGAAAAGGAGAGGCTTTTACATCTCAAAACGGGGTATAAAGTGTTTCACCATTTGTTGACCATAAAACATCATCATAGAAGCATCGGCAGTTGCGTTATACAGAGTCAGACCATTGGTCCATCATGCTCAGCGCTGTCTGCACTGGCTGGCAGTGCCTGTCCAGGATTCAGACAGGAATCACTCTCAGTCCTGCCTGAAGGTGAACTCAAGTTTTGGAATGCTCTACCTCACAAGTGGGTGATGTCATTTGACTACAGCTTCCATCAACATTCCTGACCATTGGCCATGCTGACAGGAGGTGATGGAAGACAGAGGCCAACAATCACCCTTGCATTAAAGCAGCCATCCCCAAACTTGGCCCTCCAGCTGTTTTGGGACTAAAATAATAATAATATATACCCCGCCCATCTGGCTGGGTTTCCCCAGCCACTCTGGGCAGCTTCCAACAAAATATTAAAATATAATAGTCTATTAAACATTAAAAGCTTCCCTAAACAGGGCTGCCTTCAGATGTCTTCTAAAAGTCTGGTAGTTGTTTTTCTCTTTGACATCTGGTGGGAGGGCGTTCTACAGGGCGGGTGCCACTACCGAGAAGGCCCTCTGCCTGGTTCCCTGTAACTTGGCTTTTTACAGCGAGGGAACTGCCAGAAGGCTCTCGGCACTGGACCTCAGTGTCCAGGCAGACCAATGGGGGTGGAGACGCTCCTTCAGGTATACTGGACCGAGGCCGTTTAGGGCTTTAAAGGTCAGCACCAACACTTTGAATTGTGCTCGGAAATGTACTGGGAGCCAATGTAGGTCTATGTAGGTTATGTGGTCTCGGCGGCCACTCCCAGTCACCAGTCTAAAACTCCCATCAACCCTAGCTAACAGGACCAGTGGTCAGGGATGAGGGGAATTGTAGTCCCAAAACAGATTGAGGGCCGAGTTTGGGGATGCCTGCATTAAAGGGACATACCCATTTAGCTCCCATTCTCAAGGTTGTGGAGTGCTCTCACACACACCACATTTGAGTTTCGTTTTTGTTTTTACTTTACAAGGTTGTTATTTTACTTCACCAGACCTTAACCTATTACAGTATTTGTAAGAATGGATTCCAAATATCATTGAATTTATCCATGGCAAGTCTGCGTTTATATGCAAGTTGTTCATATTATATGGGTGTTTTTTTCATTGTCCTATATTGAAAGATTTTTGGCAGAAGGTAACTGAAACTATCAACAGAACTGTACAGAACAACCTTACATTTACAGAGCAAAATATTCTCTTGAATTATATACCCAGCACATGGAACTTTACAAAAGGACAATACGAGTGGACTCTCCGTGCCCTTACCACAGCAAAAAGACTGATACTGATGAATTGGAAAAATAAAATTGCGGCTCCCTTCTACTATTGGATTGAAGACTTATACAAACTCACTGCATATGAACACACATCTCATTTGAGTTGGCTTCAGAGATGCACAACTCTCTCTTACTGCAGCTATCGTGTATGTATTTACATATGCATTGCCTTTATGAGACACACGATGAAATAAATTATTTGGGCTTTGTGCAAAGATTTAAAAATAATAATAACAATAAAGCAATATCTCCTGGATGTAAAGGATGGATTGAAGGCCTCTTATCCCAAATCAGGGTGATTTTGTAGCAGTTTCCTTTAGGGGAATGCATCTTTTCCAGCTACACATGGGAAACCCAGCCAGATGGGCAGGGTATAAATTATTATCATTAATTAGTGTTATTATTATGCTCGTGTTAAGATCTATATGAGCCAGTTCGCATGTGACTGATGCTTGAGGCATGGAGGAATGGCACATGCCCACTGCAACACATAAGGTAGCACATAAAGTAGTCTGCCACACCAAGGCCAGTTCACATGTCTATCTTCTCGCAAAAAAAAAGGAGGGGGTGAGGTGCAGGGCAGAACACTGTGTGCAAACCATACATTTCTCTTCAGCTGCCTCCATGTGGCATATGAAGCCCATTTGCTGACTTAGGTGCATAATGGAAGCAGTGCATATCAACCTCTCCTCTGTAAGAAGAGGGGAATTGCTGGGAAGAGTTCCTGGCTCACCTCTAAATCTCCCATGATAAAAAGAGGGCTCAGGCTGAGTACTTGACTTGCTGTGTGTGTGTGTGTGTGTGTGTGTGTGTGTTGTCTTCTTTTATATGGTACTTCCTATTCTGCTGAGCAATGAGAGGAGCTGCACTCATAATGCCAAAACAAGTGGGGGGTAAGTCATATCAGAATCAGAACTTCAGCTTATTCATAGTGCAGGTTCTGAAGTATGAAGATCAAGAATGACTTCCAAAGGTCTGCCTGCTAATTAGAAAAGGAAGAGGGAGCAGCAGGGTAAAGGAATTAAATGGGCCAAATCAAAAGCTGTGACCTAAACAAGCACAGAAAATGAGCCACACAGCATCAACAACCACGTAGCAGAAAGTGAAGGCTTAAGGACTTGAATGGGAACCATATCTGCCCTTCTACTGCAAGGGCTCAATCCTGGCCTAATTTCTATGAGAGTTTTCTCATTGATGATAGGATGGTTGTGATGGAACGACATCCAGCCTTTCTTTTGGGTAGGCATATAGGGATGGATGATCACTGCAGATGGTGACAGCAGCCACGAAATTAAAAGACGCCTGCTTCTTGGGAGAAAAGCAATGACAAACCTTGATAGCGTCTTAAAAAGTAGAGACATCACCTTGCCAACAAAGGTCTGTATAGTAAAAGCTATGGTTTTCCCAGTAGTGATGTATGGAAGTGAAAGCTGGACCATAAAGAAAGCTGATCACCGAAGAATTGATGCTTTTGAATTATGGTGCTGGAGGAGACCCTTGAGAGTCCCATAGACTGCAAGAAGATCAAACCTATCCATTCTGAAGGAAATCAGCCCTGAGTGCTCACTGGAAGGACAGATCGTGAAGCTGAGGCTCCAATACTTTGGCCACCTCATGAGAAGAGAAGACTCCCTGGAAAAGACGCTGATGTTGGGAAAGATGGAGGGCACAAGGAGAAGGGGACGACAGAGGACGAGATGGTTGGATAGTGTTCTCGAAGCTACCAGCATGAGTTTGACCAAACTGTGGGAGGCAGTGGAAGAAGGGAGTGCGTGGCGTGCTCTGGCCCATGGGGTCACGAAGAGTCGGACATGACTAAACGACTAAACAACAACAACAACAAAGGGATGGATGAACACATTTCTTCCCCCCTAGAGAATTTTGCTATCAAATTTCATTTCCCCCAAATTTCTCCACTGCTATGTTTGGGGTCAGGATCTCTTAATTTGCTTCTGGTTTGGTTCTAGGAAAGAGTCCAGTGGCAACTGCTGATCCGTCATGGATTTTGTGCTTGTTTTGTGAAGATAGCTTTATTGTTGGTTTTATGTTGTTCATCGCTGTGATGTTTTACTGAATGTTGGCAGCTGTAGAGGTCAGTGGGGGGTGCTGGTCACCTGCTTCCCAAGCAGTGTGAGCTTGACGGATTGTCTCCATTGCCGCATCACACAACATCTCTCTCCCCATTCCGCTCTCTGTCAGGACCTGGCAATGATGCTCAGTGTTCAGAAGGCAGAGAACAAAACTGTCCCAGCTGCACCAACAGCTACTGATTGGCAGTGCAGACATTTTTGCCAATAAATAAATAAACAAATTCTATACTGGCATAAACCAGCTGAGCTAACCATGTTGCCGAACACTCATGTGGTGCACGATCCTGGCCACAATTGCTCCACGTGAGGAATTGCATGTTCCAGTAGACATAAGGGAGCCACCCACACCCAGTTTGGATGGTCTGAACCCTAAGTCAATGGACTGTTTGTTTCCATGATCATTACAAGACAAATAAATCAACAGAACTTGGAAGAGAAAGTGGCAGATTGAAGGCAGGAACTGGAATACTACCTCAGCTACATGAATGCATAGTGTCAAGCTGTTTTCCCCATTAAAGCCAATGAGACACAGTTGGCTTCCATTACATTCAATGGCAATAAACTCTGCCACTCCAACTGGACACATTCAGTTCTGCAAAATCATTTCCATCATCAAGTGTATATATAAATGATTATCATTATTATTATTATCAGGACCAAAGCACAGATGAAACCTCATTACCACACCATTCATGTCAGTTGGTGCTGGTAATCAGCCACAGTGCTCAGATTTGGAGATTGTGGTTTGAATAAGGATGAGAAGATTTTCCCTGTTTGGGTCTGTTATTGTTCCGTTGGTTGGATGTGCCACACTGTCTGTTCTGCCTGTCTTTCGCTTTATAGAGCAGCATTTCTGAAAACTTACTTCAGAAATGGTGCCTGCATAGTTTGCTGTAGTTTCAGCCGATGGGCTCTTTCCCTATCCCTGCCAGACACATGAGCAATGATTAAGTCTCAGACAAAAATAAATCAATCCAGATGTGACTACATCAAGATTCTTCTTTGGAGCATGATTTGATGTGCACACACACTTGCGCACTTAGGTAACATGGAATGAGGGAGTAATATATATGCAAATAAAAACTGTGGCAACCTTCCCATGCCCAGTGGCTTGAACAATGTATGGAAATCAAACAATGAATGGATGCAGATCACCAATGCTTAAACTCCTTCACTGGGAATGTGATTAGGTAATCTGGAACCGCCAAATCTCAAGGGAAATGTGATTGGGGAGATAGGTTGCTTGTGTGAAAATAGCCAGCTAAAGAATTGTATGTTGGTTTTGTTCCCTTTTAAATGCTTTCAAAGAATCATAGAGTTGGAAGGGACCCTGAGGATCATCTAGTCCAGCTTCTTGCAATGCGGAAAAATGTGGCCATCCCATACGGGAATTGAACCTGCAGTTGTGGCATTATCAGCACCACACTCTAACCAACTCAGCTATCCAGGCCGATTATTGCAGTTGATTGCCACTTTCCCCTCTGACTTGGGACAAAAGCCCACCATGACTTTCTCCTGCACAAACTCAATTGAATGAGGATGTTGCAAGGGTTTGGTAGAGCCAATTTACTGCCCCATTTTCAGGTGGCTCATGAGTTTCAGTGTTAAAGAGCAAATTGCAGCACCAATGATCTTCCATGCTGTTGGTCTATTCTATTTCATAAAAGCCTCCAGAAGTAATGCTATGTGATGACATAGCATCATCTGCTGGGGCTATGCATAAAATGGCAGCATCCAAAGAGCAGGAAGGGATGGGAGATGTTGGAGACACTGCACATACCTTCTCTTGTATGTGCTCATGAGTACACAACTGAACTTCTGAATAGGACTACGGTAGTTAGGGAAAGAGTTAGTTTGTAGTTAGTGAAAGAGGAGAGCACAAAATATGGTTTGAAGCTCAACATCAAAAAAATGAAGATCATGGCCACTGGTCCCATCACCTGCTGGCAAATAGAAGGGGAAGAAATGGAGGCAGTGAGAGATTTTACTTTCTTGGGCTCCATGATCACTGCAGATGGTGACAGCAGCCACAAAATTAAAAGACGCCTGCTTCTTGGGAGAAAAGCAATGACAAACCTAGACAGCATCTTAAAAAGCAGAGACATCACCTTGCCAACAAAGGTCCGTATATTTAAAGCTATGGTTTTCCCAGTAGTGATGTATGGAAGTGAGAGCTGGACCATAAAGAAGGCTGATCGCCGAAGAATTGATGCTTTTGAATTATGGTGCTGGAGGAGACTCTTGAGAGTCCCATGGACTGCAAGAAGATCAAACCTATCCATTCTTAAGGAAATCAGCCCTGAGTGCTCACAGGAAGGACAGATCCTGAAGCTGAGGCTCCAATACTGTGGCCACCTCATGAGAAGAGAAGACTCCCTGGAAAAGACCCTGATGTTGGCAAAGGAGAAGGGGACGACAGAGGACGAGATGGTTGGACAGTGTTCTCGAAGCTACCAGCATGAGTTTGACTAAACTGCGGGAGGCAGTGGAAGACGGAAGTGCCTGGCGTGCTCTGGTCCATGGGGTCACTAAGAGTCAGACACGACTAAACGACTAAACAACAACAACAACATTTAGGGAATGTGTTCTGTAGGCGTCTTCCCTTCCACCACTTCTCCTTTGCAAACTGCCTCATCCCCACGCTGCCTTGCAGAGGAGAATCAGCAACCAGGGTTTCAAGGCCTGAAGCAGAGGCCAAAGGTCCAGTTCTTTTGCCACTTGGTGCAGAAACCTCAATTCCTGCAGATTGTACTGCAGGCAAGATGATGAGAAAGATCTCCAGCTTCCCATTAAGGCATTAAACCTCCCCCAGCCTCTAACGAAATAAACAATATGAAATAAAGAACTCAAGTCTGGTAACTAAACTTTTCTGGCTCTTCCTGACCCACTTTCATCACGTACTCAAAAGCACATCAGCAAGGCAACAAAGTTTTTTTATGATATATTATTTAAAAGAGGCTTTTTAAGGCAGTGAACCCAGGAAGCTAAAGATTTCATAAAATCACCCCTCTGACCATTAAAAGGATTGAACAACACATTATTTTTCACTGGTAGTGGAATTTTCAATTTGCTCTGCTCCAAAACATGTGCTTTATATTTAGAGGTAAATGACCCAGATCTTGCCTATATACATTCTTGCAGACAGAGTTAGGTAGGGAAAGTGGCACTTTCCAATGCAGAGGAGAGCTAGTGCTTGCTCTTTTAGCATCCTCTCTAATATAAGGTTGCTAACTTCTCCTTTTTTAAACCAGCCTGAGTTCCAGCGGCTTTAAAAGCAGCTTGTTCTTCAGAAATCAGCAGGAGAAGGAGTCCACAGCATGGTGATCTGAAGATGGTCAGGGAAACATTTTTTTAATGATCAGCTGGCAGCCTTCCCTAATAGCTATGAAGGCATTGTGTTCTTTTGTGTGAGTCTCTCCAATTGCTTTGATTAGCTGGTGTTACACCCAGAGGCGGTCAAGAGCAGGGCTGTTGATCTAATCAGCCCAGGTGTAGAAGTTAATAGATGACCTCTCATTTATTCCATCCTCTTGAATTAGGTTTTTTTTCAAAGAAACAAAAACAAAGCTTGCCCGACTCTTCTTTCCGCCTTCTTGTTCCCCCTTTCTACATGTCCATTTTTTGGGTGGTGGGGTGGTTCAAGGTAGCACTGAGCACTGTAACATTTCAAGGAATGTGTTGGCAAATTCAGAGATGTGTGAAATCAGAAGGATAGAAGCATTTCAACCTTCAGCGTTGCTTCAGGAGATGTGGATCAAATTTCTCAAGCATCCTTAGTCAGAATTCACAAATGCTGTCCTTTCAAAATTGGCACCCAAATTAGTAATGTATTAATTATTTCTATCCAGCCTTCCAGGCTTATAAAAATAATAAATACAATAATATAATATAGTAAATATAAAAAGCCAACAAGATAAAACAGGCCAAAAAAAAAGACTGATTCCACCTAGTTGTCTGGTTGCCGCATTCTGCAACAATTGGAGATGGGGGATGCTATTCTGAATGCTCTTCAAAGGCAGCCCTATGTACCAAGCATTACAGTAATCTCCCCTGGATGTTACTTATGCATGGATAGCTGTCATCAGAGCATCTCTCTCTAAGAAAGAACAAAGCTAGAGCGTGAAGCAAAGTTGATGAAAGGCCTACAATCTCAGAAAGTTACCTGTGCATTCTTCAGCAGCAGCAGCAGCAGATCTAAAAAGCATTCCTATACTGTCAATCTAATTCTTAAAGGGACACGCCACCTCATACTTGGTTTTCACCCATCTGTCAATGGAAAAGTCTGCCATCGGGGGTAAAGTCAAACCATTGGAGAGTTACAGCACCTGCTGTGGCTGTAGAGACCAGTACAGGAGAGACATATTCCATTGCAGCTGGGCTAAATGAAGGCATCAAGTTTTGCTGCTACAGGGGCACCATAGTGTTTCTTCTCTCTGTGCTCCTCCCAGCGGTCATTTGTGTCTGGTCACTGCTGTGGATTTACAATCTGACTATCTGTATCCAGGAACACAGTTGTTGTTGTTTAGTTGTTTAGTTGTGTCTGCCTCTTCGTGACCCCATGGACCAGAGCACGCCAGGCACTCCTGTCTTCCACTGCCTCCCGCAGTTTGGTCAAACTCATGCTGGTAGCTTCGAGAACACTGTCCAACCATCTCACCCTCTGTCGTCCCCTTCTCCTTGTGCCCTCCATCTTTCCCAACACCAGGGTCTTTTCCAGGGAGTCTTCTCTTCTCATGAGGTGGCCAAAGTATTGGAGTCTCAGCTTCAGGATCTGTCCTTCCAGTGAGCACTCAGGGCTGATTCAGGAACACAGTAGGGTGTGGCAAAGTTGGTCTGCCAACAGGCCTGGTGCCTGAAGCTACGGTATATCCCATAAAGCATAACCTTGGGGATATTCCGTTCCGTGTACATGATCAAGTCAGCATAGACATCACTGAGACAGAAGTGCAAACACGCTAGGAATGTGAGCTTAGAACAGCACATCTCTGTTTGATACTTTGTCCTAAACTCTTCCTGATGTAGTGCAAATAGAAGGCACTGAGGCACTGCTCCTGGCAGTAATTTGCCCATGACTCACTTCCATTAAGCAGTTTCCTAAACACAAAAGCCTGCAAAGACCTTCATCTTTGTATAGTGGTACCTCGGGTTACATACGCTTCAGGTTACATACACTTCAGGTTACAGACTCTGCTAACCCAGAAATAGTGCTTCAGGTTAAGAACTTTGCTTCAGGATGAGAACAGAAATTGTGCTCCAGCGGCGCGGCAGCAGCAGGAGGCCCCATTAGCTAAAGTGGTGCTTCAGGTTACGAACAGTTTCAGGTTAAGTACGGACCTCTGGAACGAATTAAGTACTTAACCCGAGGTACCACTCTATTGGCCATTAGCATCACATTCTCCCATAACCTTTTGGAGAGGTGAGCCATTATCACAGCTGCCTTGCCAATATGCTTGTCCAGCTCAGCATCAATGGAGAAGTTGTTGGTTATGATGGTAGCCAAAATTAGACAAAATCGTCTACCACCTCAAGCATATGGTCACCAATGCTGATGCGAGGAGTGCTGGCAACGTCCTGACTGGTCCTTGTCAGACTGATGGTGAGGCACTTTGATCTGATGTAAAGCAGAAACAGAGCTGGGTGTCATCTGTGTATTGAGGGCTCCCAGCTAGAAAGCTCTAGATGATCCCTCATAGTGATTTCATATAGATGCTAAGCAATAGCTTGGGGAAAATACCATAACACAAGTTTGATGGCACTGAACCATTGTCCCCCAGCACTATCTTCTGGATTCTGCCAACCAGGTTGAAGCAGGGCAAAAACAGTGCATCCAACTCTCCCTTTGGGTGAGTAGCCCATGGCTGAGGATTTCAAATAATAGAGTCCTAAGAGAATAGCTGAGACACAGTTCCGCTTTGGGTAAAGGTCATCCACCAGAATAACCAAAAGCATTTCTGACCCAAAGCCAGGCTGGAGTCCAGTTTAAAATAATTCCAGATAGCCAGCATCATTTGGCAGTAGTACTGAGCCACCATGCCTGTATACATGTGGTTGGTAGTACAATAGCTTTGTAAACAAGCATTTTGGTTTCTCTGCGAATGTCCCGGTCCTCAAACACTCTGCACTTCAGCTGGGAGAACGCTGAACCTGCAGAGCTCAGGTGACGCTGGATTTCGGCATCAATGTCGGCCCTTGTGGAAAGATAGGTAGGAGAAGTGATCAACATTTTCCAATGTTACACCATTGGGTTGGATTTGTGGTGCTTGTGAAACATGGACCGCTTATAAACGCCATCTCCAGCTCCTCAAAAGATTCCATCAACTGTGTCTCCGAAAATTCTTACATAACACTTAGGAAGACAGGCAAACTAATGCCAGTTTACTGGAAGAAGCAAAGGTCACCAGTGTCGAAGCAATGATTCTTCAACATCAACTTCATTGGACTGGTCATGTTGTGCGGATGCCTGATGATCGTCTTCCAAAGCAACTACTCTATTCCGAACTTAAAAATGGAAAGCGTAATGCTGGTGGTCAACAAAAGCAGTTTAAAGACTCTCTCAATGCAAATCTAAAAAAGTGTAGTATAAACACCAACAATTGGGAAACACTGGCCTGCGAGTGTTCCAATTGGAGAACAAACTTTACCAAAGGTGTCATGGACTTTGAAGACGCTCAAACTCAGGGTGAAAGGGAGAAATGTGCTAAGAGGAAGGCACATTTGGCAAACCCTCACAGTGATCAACTCCTGCCCGGAAACCTATGTCCCCACTGTAGAAGGCCGTGTGTATCCCAAACTGGCCTCCACAGTCACTTATGGTCACACTGTTAAAACCGTGTTTGGTTAAATTTTTATTTTGCAAAAAGAAAACAAAAACAAATTTCAAATGTCAACATATCAGATAGAATAATCAATACAAATTAAGATGACATAAAAAGAGTAAAAATGACTTCCCTCCACCATTATGTGACTTTTCCTTTTAAATTTTACTTCTCTCGTTGTGTTCTTATGCTATCTTATACCATCGTTTCTGTTATGCCTGTTATTACTCTGTCACGTCTCCTTGCGATATCTTAGAGTTCATATCAATATTTCAGTACCAAAAGAATGTTTTCCCATATATTCTTTTACACAACTCCATTCTTTCTTTATTGTTTGGTTTGATTTTCCTCTTATAATGGTGGTCAATTTTGCCATATTTATAAATTCACAAAATTTGCTCTGCCAATCCCTTATTGTTGGGGCTTGTTCCTCTTTCCATTTTTTTGCAGTCAAGATCCTGGCAGCTGCTGTTGCATATTGGAATATATTTTTCATACTTTTGGGGATATCTTCCATTACTAAACCCAGAAGGAAAGCTTCTGGTTTTTTCTTAAATGATATTTTAAATATCTTTTTTAATTCTTCATGTATATTGCACCAAAATATAATTCTGCATCCCTACCAAATATGGTACATTGTTCCTTTTTCCATTTTACATCTCCAGCATAAATTGGATTTTTGCATGTAAATTCTGGCCAATTTATCTAGTGTTAAATACCAACGATATAACATTTTCATAAAATTCTCTCTAATCGTGTAGCAAGCTGTAAATTTCATGTCCTGTTTCCATAGTCTCTCCCATTGTTGCATTTGTACTGAATACCTAAAATCATGGGCCCATTTTATCATAGCTTCTTTGACCTCCTCATCTTTTAATTCCCACTCCAATAATAAATTGTGCATTCTAGATAGGTTCTTTTGGGGGCTCTTCAACAATTCTGTTTGTAATTTTGACTCCTGTTCTTCAAATCCATTTTTTTTATCTTGTTTATAGAAGTGAGCAATTTGATGATATTGTATCCAACGAGAGCAGTATTGTTTGATTTCCTCAGAAGATCTTAATTTTAATTGACCCTGTACCTCTTTTAACAACTGTTGATACGTTCCCCATTCTCTCTCCATATTTTTCTTCTTTACCGATAAAAACCTCCCCTAGTGCCAACCACCATGGTGTTTTTGTTGTTAAAACCGTGTTTATGGAAGACAATATTACTTGGCTACGAGTGATTGCCAAAGAAGAAGAAGATACATGTGCACATGCGTACAATATGCATGGTCAAGCACCCCCAGCCACATGGACAAAGATTTGCGTTTTCAGCACTTACAAATGTAGACCAGTAGGTGGGCAGTCTGCAGATCATGTGTGTGTGTCAGAGACAGGGGAGAGTGAGAAGACAGAATAGTACTTCTCACAGCTGTCCAGTACACAAATTGTATCAAACTGTTTCTGAAATTGCCTACAACAAGTACAACGTCCCTTTCCATGTTCAAAGAAGCTCACTTTTGGCACAATGTGATTCAGTTCCTTCATGATTTGCTGCTCTACTCGTTGTTTAATCTCCATTTCAAACATACCTTTGATTTAAACATGCTTGTTTGTGGGTTATTTTAAGTAAGATGTTTTCGGTAATCAAGATGCTAAACTATGTTTTGCAGTTATTACATCTATTGCATTGGTGGTGGTTGAAAGCAAACTTATTCCTTCTATTTCCATTAGCATTTGTTATGGAACTATTTTTAGAGGTCATTTGCACAATTAAGGCCATGGGGCAATGTGCAGATGATTAGATGAAAATACGAAATTGAAATCAATTTAGAATTTGAACACACTGGTAATATGAGTTTCAACAATCTATAGTTGTAATAATTGTTCCTATTTTCATTCACACCTAGAACTATTAACACTACTGTTGTGTTTCCACCAGGGGCTGGGTCCTCCGACCTGCTGGCAAACTTCCCCAACAAACACAGCCTCTCACCAACAAAACCTTACCACACCAACTGCTTAGATGATGGCTGCCGGATCATTTTGACTTCCTCCCTACAGGCGACAAAAATATTGAGTGTTATTGATATGTTTCATATGGAGGGGAACAATATACCATCTAGGTATATTGTTGTAAAATCTTTTTCTTAGCACAATATCTGCAAGAGTTCAAACAATGTTTTTCCACTGCCGGATCTAGCCGTTTTGTGGCAACAATTCTCGAAAATTAGCATAAATTTGTCTGCATAAATTGACGTTGTAGCTTGCATTTTCAGTAATAGATTGTACCATCATATTCTATTTATTTAGAAAAATTATAAATGCTTTATAATAATAATAAAGCATGATGGAGTTTACTTAATGTAATATAAAATAATTATCAATAATACACAGATAAAAGCAGTCAAAACTTAGAAACAAGTATACATAGCTAAAGTATATGTTTTGTCAGGCTTGCTAAAAATAATAATAGCAGGCATGTAAAAGAATATTGTGTCTACTCAAATTAACAGGCAGGGAGCTTCACAGCATAGGTGCTGCCACAATTCCTCAAAAATGCAGAATCCACATCTTCCTACAAATCCCTTAAAAATTTGGAATATAATCACAATTTCAGCTTCTTTTGTCTTGTGACATTACCATTGCGTGGACAGGCGGAGTCCCCAGATCCCGAGCGGTCCCCCCCCGTCATGTGGAATAACGACTCAAGACAACGTGCTATGGGATTAAATTGGCCACAACTTTATTAAATTTCAAATGTGGGTAGACCTTGGCTCAGGCATTGGGCGTTCTCCCTCCCCAGTCCCCAGCCGGGGACCTAGGGAGCTTCAGGCTTATCCAGTGTGTGGGGGGGGATGGGCCGGCTCTGGAGAACATATGTTCAAGCAGAGATAGCCACCCCCGTTACGCCGCCGCCGCAGGGGAGAACAATGATGACCTTTCGGGGTACGGTCAAAGCCTCCCTTCAGAAACCCCTTTAACGGGGAACCCTGGTATCGCCGCCTCAAAGAGGAAGATGGACTAAAGGATTCCGCCCAAGGCCTGATACTGCCAAAGTTGTGATGTTTTGCTACAGGAAAGGCGAAACCTGCCAATGCAGGGAAATTCCTTTCTGGCCCTTTAACAGCGACCTTATCGTAGCAGCGCCAGCATACCTGTGAAGAAAAGTTAACCTGCAAAACCTATGAAGAAAAGTTAACCTGCAAAATAAGACATTAACTGAGGGTGGGTAGGGTGGGTGAAGCTCTGGAGCCAAGTGAGGATTCCCAGGTAAGATCCTCCCTCTATTGTGTGGGCAGGTAATCCCTCCCCCTACCTGGCCTGGTCTCCTTGGCAACGCTTCCCCCAGGTGGGATTGGACAACTGACTGAGGTAGGCGGGGACCTCCAGGTATCCCACCTGAGGGAAGGCAAAGCCAAGCCTATGCTGATGGGGCCGCTCCAGATCCAGGGCTGCGCGCGTCCGCACAAAGGGCACCCCCCGTTTTAAGTGGGGAGCGGTCATTACCATTATTATTAATGTTGCCAATTATCTGAAAGTATTGAAACAAATGTGGCTTTTGCCCACCTGTTTTCATTACAACATCTTTTTTGTAGACAATTTTTTTACCAATCATTCAAATACCCAAGCGATTACTGTGATACCACACTATGAATCTGGATAACACAACATAATTTTGGATGACTAGAATTCACCCAAACATTCCTGAAGCATATAAAGATGGGAGATGGTTAGGGCAGTAATTAATTAGTATCATGGGGGGACTGAAAGAGTATAATTAAGGAGAGCTCAAGTGAGTTTAGAATATAAGACTATAGTAAGCATTTCATACTAATGGGGATTATTAGTTAATGTTGGTTGCGACCTCTGAATATGGTGATTTTGGCAATGCTACATCTGATGGACAAGCAAAATAAAAATTACAGATGTGGGATACAGTCATTCCCATTAGTGAAATTAATGGGAGCTGAGCTGCTTTCAATGGAGTCACAATTAGAGCCCTGGTCATCAGACTCCGGAGATTTGTAATAAGTCAAAGATGCAATTTGTTGCTTGCTTCCTAATTTGATATGGGATTAACATAACTTACTACATGTGATAGCTTTTGGCTACATGATGTGGAATCAATCAGCTGCTCCTGCCTTGTCACTTCAGAACCCCAGGCTGTTATTAATGGCTATCTTTACTAGTGTGCATTGTTACCAATCACAGCATAATTACAAAAGGATCAAGAAGGAGCGATGGATTCATTATTGCCTCATTGCTCTAGGCAGGTCTTCAAAAGAAGGCTGATGCATATAACCCATTAGATCATGTCATATACCCTTTCTACATTGTCTCTACATGTGGCACAAATCAATGTCCTTGTATAATAATAATAATAATAATAATAATAATAATAATAAATAACAACTTGCCCATCTGACTGGGTTGCCCCAGCCACTCTCCCTGACATCATGTCATATTGTTTGCGAGCCACAAAGTTCTCAGGAGAACAATAAAACACACTGACACGGAGTATTTTGCTTTATGGGTTCAAATAGGCTACAACTTTATTGGTTACAGATGTGAGCAGTTTGGCTTAGGCACTGGGGTGAAGCCAGGCTATATCTTGACCCCTGCCTGGCTGCAGGGAGTCCACAGAAGGGTAAACCACCAAATAGGGGCATCCTGAGGGGTCTCTGTAGGGGCTGTGACACGACCCTAGCCCATGTCTGGACTTCAGATAGAATCCACACCCTGGATCCCTTTAATAGGATACCCTTACTGAGGAGGGGCAGGCCAAGGCAACATTACCTCCCTCCAACCAAACAAAGACTTACCCAATGCCTAACCTTATGAAAGTTGTGACAATTGCTACTAGGTAGGCGAAAACCAAATGGCCAATTTGCCAAGTGGGAAAATTCCTACCTGGCACCAAAAACATGGCGACCAACAATTCCCAAAGCAAGGTTATATTTCATCCTGTTTCCTGTCTTTGCCTTCATTTCTCCAGTTCTTCTACATCAGGGGTGGCCAACTCCCAAGTGGCTGTGATCTACTTTCTGAATTAAAATCTGGCAGGGGGTGTTTCAGGTCAAAGTTGTTGAGCTTTCTTTAGGGACAAGGAAAGCCCTGTTTTTTAGAGGTTCAGGTCATAGTTGTCCAGTGATCTACCAGTAGATCACCATCTACCTGTTGGACATACCTGTTCTACATCAAGCAATCTAAATATGATGTTCCCTTATACAGTGGTACCTCAGGTTAAGTACTTAATTCATTCCGGATGTCCGTACATAACCTGAAACTGTTTTTAACCTGAAGCATCACTTTAGCTAATGGGGCCTCCTGCGGCTTCTGCGCCGCCGGAGCACTATTTCTGTTCTCATCCTGAAGCAAAGTTCTTAACCTGAAGCACTATTTCTGGGTTAGCGGAGTCTGTAACCTGAAGCGTATGTAACCTGAAGCGTATGTAACCTGAGGTACCACTGTACAACCCATTCTCTTTCACTGCATCTCAGTGTCTTCTAGAATTCTCTCTCTCTCTCTCTCTCTCTCTCTCTCTCTCTCACACACACACACACACACACACACAGAGAGAGAGAGAGAGCGCGCACTACATGGTGCAACAAACAATTCATATCAGATGAGGAAGTTCTGTCTACTTTACCTTCTGTGATGTTGACACCTTGAGTACTATTTTTAGAAAGCTTTAAAGAACATGATGATTTGATTAAAATTGGGAAAGCCAGAGGGTGAGGTTTATGGATTTCATTAAGCCAAACCACCACCTTTGCTTCCATTATTCAGGCACAGGTGCCAGTTTCCCCTTTCTTCAAATATCTCATTTGAAACAATAATTTGCTACAGAAGCCAATCACACTGGGTGTGATGATCTAGTGTCATATTAACATAGCTCCTGTAGGGAGAGATAAGTATTTGAAGGCAAATATGACATGTTCGGAAAGCTCAGGCTGGATGACAGTTGTCATTTCATTTCACCTATTAGCAAAATCTGAGGTGATTTTTGAGCAAATTGCCTGATAAACTTCAAGGGAAGTTAAAAAAATGAAAAAATGCCAGTAAGACTAGCAAAATGTCTTAGGTGCCTCTGAATATCACCTTAAGGAACATTTGAGGTGAATTTGGAGGGCCCTGTTCAGGAAAAATATATGAAGAATTTCAAGCATTTCAGAGATATTAGAATAAATTATTGGGTGGAGGGAGAAATTCACATGAATCTTTGGAATGGGCAAAAAGTCTCTATGAAATAACATTTTGAAGTAAAAGCGATACTTTGATTTAAAATGCATATACAACACCTGCTAGTTTTTACAAATGCTTGCATTATTATTTTTTACATAAGGCACTAAATACTGAAATCAACGAGTTTCCTTTTCCCTTTTTTAACTTTTCATGCATTTAATCTCATGGGTGTTTTTCTTGTCTTGTTATGCATTGTTCTTCCATTTAGTTGCTGGCATTTTCGACTTTTTCCCCCCTCCATAACAAAACTTCATGTTTAAGAAACAGTGCTGTCCAATTAATCTGATTAATTAGATAAATGTTGCAGCCCTGTTAGTGAATGTACCCTGGGTGATGCAATGAATATTCAAACACTTCAACAGAGGGAGTTAAAGTTTTGGAAAACCCTATACTCTCTCATGCCAAGCTTGCAGGGAGAAATTACAAGCAGCAAACTATAGCTCTCAGCAAACAAGTGATAAAAATACAGAGTACTTTCCACTGGCATCAAGTTTTTCATCCGTAGCCATTAAAAATATATACAGTATAAGAAAAGGCATGAGGAAATGGAGATAAGCAATTGTTTGCACCAGGCAATCGTTTGCATGTCCCCAAAGAAACAACAGGGTTTGATGGCAGCAGCAATTGCGACCCAACCTGTCTCCTCTCAATTTCCTATACAGTAATGTGCGTCATGATCCATTTCCTGATTGGCCCAGGATTCTCCCTCAGGAAAAAACAAAACCTTCACGTGGCCTTTGAATGCATGTTAGTTAGCATGTGTGCTGGCAGCAAACAGTGGGACTAGCAACCCTGTTGCAGACCCCCCAAGTGTCCCTGTTTTCCAGGAACAGCTCCAGAATCGTCATGTTTTCCTATTTAATCCCGGAATACCCTGCTTTTCCTTAGGATGTCCCTATTTTCACTGGAGAAATGTTGCCAGGTATAGAGTTATGCGACCCCTAAGCCAAGGAGATAAGAAACTATACAACCTTTAGAAGACATCTGAAGGCAGTCCTGTATAGGGAAGTTTTTTATGTTTTATTATATTCTTATTTATGTTGGAAGCCACCCAGAGTGGCTGGGGCAACCCAGTTGGATGGGCAGCATATTATTATTATTATTATTACAGTGGTACCTTGGGTTAAGTACTTAATTCGTTCCGGAGGTCCGTACTTAACCTGAAACTGTTCTTAACCTGAAGCACCACTTTAGCTAATGGGGCCTCTTGCTGCCGCCGTGCTGCCAGAGCACGATTTCTGTTCTCCTCTTGAAGCAAAGTTCTTAACCTGAAGCACTATTTCTGGGTTAGTGGAGTCTGTAACCTGAAGTGTATGTAACCTGAAGCGTATGTAGCCCGAGGTATCACTGTATTATTATTGTTGTTGTTGTTGTTGTTGTTAAGTAGGATGTCCCTATTTTCCTCAGAGAAATGTTGGAGGTTATGCTATTACTCCCTTTACAAACACACGTGAGTGGAATCATGTGAGATAAGGAGCACACTCAGCTTTGTATCTGGTGGAAAATTGGAGAGAAATAGAAGTTTGGAGAGTTTAATCAGCCACCCTTTATCCTTCAACTATGTTTCACGGGTCTTGTGCATTCATAAAATATTTTAAAATGCAAGCAGTTATTGCACAACAACAAACTGACTTTCCCCTTATAAGAAATCCTTGCTGCATTCACAAGCTTATCTGGAAGCACCTTGTTTGTGAAGAATTTATAGGCCTGGTTTATTTATAGAACACTATGAAAGTTATGTACCACAGACACCATGTAGCGAGGGCTGAATAATGGCAGAGGAGGTATTGTATTCTTTTATTTTAAAAAAAATCACCAGACAAATCCGTTGAAATGGTCTAAAATTGATAAAGACTGTAATAAACTCCAACACCTGTTCATTGCCTTAAATGAATCCCAATTTATCTCTGTGTTCTGTTAGCTCCAAGAAGTGAGAAGTGTACACTCTGAGGACAAACCCACCGAACAGATGCTTTATGCTTTGGCATATTAAATTATGTACGGCACCTGAAGATTTTTCTTCATTAACGTGCAAATTGCATCAGAATTTCACCACAAATTTGTGTCTGTCCTGTGCTCTAAGGAAATGACACACACACATTTAATCTCATCTTGAAATGTAGAAATAATGACTGCAGAATGGCTCATGTTTCCCAGTTCCTTCTGAGAGTCATCGGGATAGCAAAATAGCCTCTCTCTTGACATTTTGACAGTTGTGAGTTTTGTACCTGCTGTGGGAAGTGCGAGGCACTGGCAAGCCATCTGTTAATATGGATGGACTCTGTTCCTTAGCGAAAACACAGTGTGACTGTTCAGTAATGGAGAAAGGAAATACACTGAGCATTTGGTTCGCTTTGTATTAGGTTTCTGCCAAATATCTTCCACTTTGGAATAATTTGAGGGGGTCGAAAGTGATAAGTTCACTCTAGTCAAAAAATCACCCAGAAAATATGTTGTATTTTCTGTCTTAGGTGTCTTAAAAACTTACCTTTCCTGATCCCATTCAGTGTTAGGATTCCTGCTCCGTGTTTGCAGTCATGAAATTGTTGTCTATTACATAACGGTGTATGTTTTCATTCCACAGTGTGGGAATTGACAGACAGGATGTTTTGTACTACTGTGTTCTGGAATGTAGGACTATTATCCTTTGTTCTTTCTCTCTTTGCTGTCTGATGAGAAAGAGGAAGGAACTAAGTTAAAATGCTCCGAGTATATTATATGTAAATAAACGTAGATTAGCCAAAATGCTGTGCTACTGAGTTCTGTTACGCAAACTGCAAATACTCTGCAGGATCGAGAGTGTGCTGGTGCTTCTTGGTATCAGTCGCTGTGATTTTCTGGCAGAAGAAAGCTTTTGAAGCTCCCGAATGACAGACCAGGAGGGAGAGAACATTCCAGTTGGGCATGTGTCTCTACCAAGGTCCTACACGGGACGATCCTAACATTCAGTAGCATTGTTTCCCTTAGTTGGCTGCAGCTGTGTCCTTTGTCCTACCAGTCTCATAGGTGGTCCCACCCAGTCATGGATCACATAGAGATGATGTCACAATACAACCTCAGTCCTAGGCAATCAGATTTGACTTTGTGAAGATGTCTCCAAAGGCAAAGGAGTGCAGTTGAGGGCCTAAACCTATGAAGTTTAAACATGTGGCATCTTAACCCTTAAAACTGCAAAAACCTTACCCCCAAAACTGCCCAAATATATTTTTCCTTCCCAATCCTAAAAATAATTGTGCACCCTCAACATGCTCAGTTAGCTAAGTTGGCATTTAGTTAAATAGCCTGAGACATCATAGGCGGTCACATAAATCAATTCTTTCCACAAGTAGTAATTTGCCTACCATGGTGTAGGATTGCACACAGTATATTCTGATATTTGCCTATACCACAGTAAGCTTGGAGGAAATGTACATGGGCTTCTTTGACTTATTGTGTTCACATTGAATTTGGCTTGTCAATTGCCATGTTTCAAAGTGATAGCCAATGAAGTAATTATGATAACTCAAGAGTAATCAGAAAATGATTCTTTATTGCTGTTGCAGGAAATGGATTATTTATGGATTTGGGGCTGGTTTTGTCCAGGAGAACAGATTATGCACCTATACTTAAAGGGCCAGGATTTCAGCCCAAGCCACCAAGCCTTGCTTGCCACCTTTCTTATGCTCTCAGTAAATGAGAAATTAATTTCTGGGAGGATCATTTCTTCCCAAGAGCATTTCTTGAAAAGCCCAACAGGTGTTTTCTTTTCAAGAAATGAGTGGGCTGCATTTTGAAGGTCCCACTGAGTGATTTGGTTTGCAGCAAAATGTGTGCTCCCTTCCTCTTGTTCCTTTGTTTGGAATGCAGCCAAGTCAAGTATTCATGCATGGGGAAAGTGAGGATGACAGCTTTGGACAGGAGGCTGATGCTGGGCTTGTTCTTGCTGCATGCAGCTATTGGCACTGAATGTCATGCAAAGGTCATCAAGATATGTGGAATGAAATGGCCATCTTAAAAGCCTAGAATGTTGAAGGAGCAGCGCTAGAGACTGACCATTAAACATCTTTCAGCATTCACCATCAGCAGGAATTTTGTCCAGCAGCAATATTATACATCAGAGCAACAGCCAGCTCAACGAGGACAATTGCTAAGGTGCTTTAAACAGAGAGAAACCCTCATATGCTTACTTTATGTTTGGGTGGAATCAGTGTGGAAACATGAAAAATTAACTTCCTTCATGCTGTCGGTGAAAAGATGAACCTCATGATCCTGTGCCATTGATTTAACTGGTGTATACTAATGCAAGCTTGTTTATATTCTCCACGTACACAGAGAGTATAATTATAAACACCAAATGTTAAGGCAAAAATAGGAGACATGCTTGTGAGCTCCTAGAGGGCTCTCCAGACTGTTATGTTTTGTGGGTCCATTCTGCAATGTGTCATTGTGCAATAATAGTGTGTTAATGGTGGATCAGACTGGACTGTCCACAGATCATTCCACTCTATTCTGTAATGCTTCCCCAATGTTACTGCATTGTTACCATGTGGAGAAGAATTATTTGGCCACATTCACACCATAAGAATATTGGAAGCTGTAGTTTTCAAACAGTGCTGGGAGTTGTTAGGAGCCCCTATTCCCCTCCCAGAACTACAGTTCTCAGAGTGGTTTAACAGTCAATCCCTCAGTCAGCAGGAAGTTTGGGGACATGGAAGCACAGCAGTATGTCGACTCTGAAACTTTGGCAGGTACGTACTGTACTGCAAGTGGGGTCTTGGTTAGCCACCCTGATACTATCATGAGCTCAAATCATAATGAATGCACCATAAAAAGGGTATCTGGAGGAGCTTCTGGCTGGTGATGGTTGGATACGGAAGGCTGGACTAGGTAGGCCTTGAGTCTGATCTAGGATGGCAGTGCTTACATTCTTAAGGCAAGTGGAGAAGAGCATTAGCTTGGCTGGAACACAGACAAACTCCAGGACCAAAGAAAGACATATTTAAATCACATGTGAGCCCATGACAGCTTATCATTTAAAATGAAAAGCAATATGGGTGGATAAGCCCCTTGCTTTGCACGGGACTACCTGTCCTTTTGCTGCTGCTACCCTGGCACAGAAATGCCTGCTCTCCAATATGAGATCTCAACCTTGTCTCCTGGTCTGGGGCAAGACTGGGTAAAAAACATTTCCAGCTCTATTACAAGCAAGATTCTAAACTCTGCTTAGTTAAAAGATCCTTAGAAAAAGCTGAGTGTATCACTTTTCTAAATGCACATCGCAGAAATTCCTTGAGCATGCTACTTATTTACACCTTTGCAGGATAATCAGGATTCAAATGAGAAAGAAAAGATATATGCTTCAGTCATCCAGCAAAAAACATGCATGTGTATGCTCTCTTAAACATTAGGTGATTTCTTTTGCTACATTAGATATTTTTAATTCTTGGCAGCGTCTTCTTCTTCTTCTTCTTCTTCTTCTTCTTCTTCTTCTTCTTCTGTCTATTCCTTTGAAACTTCTCAAGAAGCATGATGATGATGATAGCTTTAATGTACCCTCTGTTGTTCTGCACCCATTCCTAGACCCTGTCTATTTCCTTTGGGAACTGCAGTAACTGAAGTGTTTATTTTTGAAGAAAATGGGTATAGTGGCAGCTGCTACATTAGCAGTTTGGGTGATAAATGAAACCTTTAATGTTTTGTGAAGTTTTATATAATATGTGTGTGTGTGTGTGTGTGTGTATAAATTTTCAATGAGTATGCAGATAAGCTGAGCCATACTGAAATGCAATGGACTTTGCAAGAGGCCATGGGATTTGTTTTGCTGCTTAGAAGGTGAAGAAATCGCCATAGCATTTGGCAGTATTCCAGCACCAGGTTGCTGAGGCCCACTTGCGATTTATGGAAGGCAAGTGATACAAACAAGATTCCACAAACCAACCATCTGAAATGACTGGGGAGAAATCCATCATGGTTCCTGCGCTTCAAGTCGGGAAATCCACGATGGTCTTGTTATGTTTTATAGTGCTGAAGCACAAACTGAATCATTTGTTGTCCCCCATGCCCATGTTGATTTATGGTGCATTACACAAACATGTAACCAGCAGCAAATCACATTCTGCACATGCCACTAGTGTCAGATGTAAAGAAACTCCTGGCCAAGGAAGGGCTGAGATATGCAAACACTCCGAGAATTTCTAAGCTAAATGAAAAGTTTTGGAAAGACTAGAGACATTTCTTTGAGGGCTTCCATACGGTGAGGGGCTGAAAGCAGAACAGCCTGAAAAACATACATTGTGTTATATAAATCCGCCTACCTCAGCTTGTTTTCATATCAAGAAGGATTATTTTCCCCATCAAATCACCACCCTTTCCCCTGCCCACTAGGTTTCACACAAAGTGAATTTGAACTTTGGGTATAACACTCAGGGAAGTTTGATGGAAGGAAAAGAGTTTCTGTGACCTACTTGGAGAGAAACACATGTCTGATTTTGCTTATGAAATTATGTAAAATGGACATATTGTTATTAGTCCAACCATAGAGGCAAACTAAGAAACTATTGGCATTTCCCTAATTCTAAGAGTCCCTGGTTAAGTTATGTTATGAAAGAAGATCCACTACCTGGATTTTTGAAGGATGCGCATGGAGACAGCCGAGCAGATAATTGGCTAGGTAATATTCCCTACAATCTGGGAAACTTGACTGGGCCCACAGCAAGTTGTAAAAAAAGGCAGACATTAAAAATTAAAATAAAATATGGTATCCTCGTTAATTTACAATCATGTATACTGCAATTCTATGCACATATTTTCCAGGCAGTAAGTCACACTGAATTCTTTAACACAATCTGCATAGATATGCCTAGGATTGTGCTGTCAGTGAACTCAGCATATCATGAGACTCAATAGGCAGAAAGCAAGACTAGTCTTAGGCAGAGTCAGGCAGTTGCCACAGGCAACTGATTTTCAACATCATGAAAGGGCGTTTCCGACTGGATGTTCTGTCTTAGGTACCATAATAATTAGATTAGCTATGGGACGCGGGTAGCGCTGTGGTCTAAACCACAGAGCCTAGGGCTTGCCGATCAGAAAGTCGTGATTTGAATCCCCGTGACAGGGTGAGCTCCCATTGCTCGGTCCCTGCTCCTGCCAACCTAGCAGTTCAAAAGAACGTCAAAGTGAAAGTAGATGAATAGGTACCACTCCAGCGGGAAGGTAAACAGCGTTTCCTTGCGCTGCTCTGGTTCACCAGAAGTGGCTTAGTCATGAAGGCCACATGATGTGGAAGCTGTACGCCGGCTCCCTCAGCCAGTAAAACGAGATGAGCACCGCAACCCCAGAGTCGTCCGCAACTGGACCTAATGGTCAGGGGTCCCTTTACCTTTATGGATACATACTAAGTACCTTGACTTGGAGCATTAACAAAACATTGACCACATGGGCTATTGAAACATGTTTGATAGACGGAATGACATTTTACCTGAAAATCAGATTGTATTCTTAGTGGCAGTAGTATGGCAGGGAATTTTGTTATATTAGAAGATCAACCCTGTTTCATTGAACTTTGGTGTCAAAGGGCTTTGACATTGACAGGAAAACTCACACACAGAATCTGATGAAGAAACCAGTTAAACAGGACTCTGCCTGCCATCTTGAATTTGTTGAATGAATGTATTCTTTTTCTCTTGTATTTTCTTTGTTGCACAACAGACCTCTTTGATTCATACTTTTTTTGAGATTGCACACTTATTTTTTATCTGATCCTTTTAGATTGCTATGGATTGTTAAAAATGCATTTGTTTGTGTAATTTTCCTTGTTTTGGATTGCTAAAAATGTTTTTGTTTTTTCCTTCTGGCCAACTGTGTTACAAAGATAACTCATGGTCTGTAAATAAGATGATGATGACTTAATAAAAGTTAACAAAAGCAACATATTAATCTGCCTATAGCTGCAAACACACACACACACACACACACACACACAAACACACACAAATCAACAAACAAATGACAACGACAAAGAAATTGGAGTGGTTTATGCGCACAAGAATTCCATATCTGTTTTAGTAGAAGAAACATTATAATAGTACATTCAGGTAGGTAGCCGTGTCGGTCTGACACAGTTGAAATAAACAAAAAATTGTCCAGTAGCACCTTAGAGACCAGCTAAGTTTGTTCTGGGTATAAGCTTTTGTGTGCATGCACACTTCTTCAGATACATTGAAACAGAAGTCACTAGACCCTTATATATAGTGGGAGGGTGGGGTGGGGTTTTTCTCAGAAGGGTGTTAGGAGATGGGTGATTGACTCAATGGGTATGATAAAGCTGCTGACGACTGTTAACAACTGCAATTAGTCCTACAGGAAAAAGCAAGGGATAGTATGCAGATGACCAAAAAATAGCTTTAGCATATGTAATGAGACAAGACGTTATAGTAGTAGTCCCACTGCATTGTAATTTGAACCAAAGGGCACGATCAACCCCTGGGTTCCATGCATGTAAAGATTGTCCGAAGGGATGGTTCTAGTGACACTAATTCTGCATTCAGTCCCCAAATGCCTGTCCCTATTGGATTCAGTCAGCTTTACTATGGCTGCACCAGATGTATCAAGCCAGATTTGTGGGCATTCCCATGCTGACCCTGTCTCCTTTCCTGTCCAAGGCAGAAGAACTTACAACAAAACACTGTGCAATACTGATTGCTCCCTTTTAAAAATCAAAATTGGATTAACAGATCTAAAATCACATTTTTCTACCACAAGAAGATTCCTCAACTGCAATACATCACATTTTCACTTGGCTTTGTGACATCTCATTTTTTAAAAAAAATGCTTTTTGAAAAATTATTATATGATTGACCACAGCACAGTTATATCTATAACTATTGATTAGCCAAAATATTTATTTTAGAAGTGTTCAGAGCAAAGCTTGATTAAAAAAAATGCATTTAGGTCCGTTTAGATGACTCAGGAGAACACATTTATTAAAAATTGATCTTTGAGTGCAAAAAGTTTATGACAGGGACAACTTAGTTATAATTATCACATTACAGTAATTAGAAAATGAAGTGTACATAATGCATGGCTTTTTCACCCAATACCGGATGTGAGGAAAGGGAAGAGCAGTGATTTCGTCTCTTTTCAAGCCTCCACAGTTACCAGAAGACACTAAGGTTGAACTATCTGGATGTGGAGACAGCTCATGGACCTCCAAGCAAGAGAGACACCAAACATCCAAATTATAATAAAATATGATTATTAATAATGTTATTATTTATACCCCGCCCATCTGGCTGGGTTTCCCCAGCCACTCTGGGCAGCTCCCAACAAAATATTAAAAACACATAAAACATCAAACCTTAAAAGTTTCCCTAAACAGGGCTGTCTTCAGATGTCTTCTAAAAGTCAGATAGTTGTTTATGCCGGGAGCGGCGTGGTGCTTGAGTCCTCTGCTTTCCCTGCCGAGCGCAGCCGCATGCCATTCGACGGAGAGCGCTGACTTCTTCCATTGAAAATTTGGACTATTAACAACAACCCGTGAGTAATTGGGAAACCGGGTTCAAATTTCGGATTGGGCACGAGCGGGGGTGATTTAAAAAGGAAGTCAATCCCCCCCCCTACTGTAAGCATTCCAAAACAAGGACTGGGTAACCAAGGTCCAAAGGGAAGTATATTCTTGATAAAAACCATTAATTTCACGATGGGAAATTATAAGAACTGTGCTGGAGGAGAAGAGTGGAGGGTGAGAAGAAAAATGCAACCCCCCCCCCCTGGGAACCGGGGCGATTCATGGAGCCTGGTGAAGAGAGACGGAGACTTTGACAGCTGTCAAAGTGGCTGTCAAAGTTGGAGAATATAAAGAGGACTTTGTTATGAGGACTTTGCCGGTTAATTTTGCTACAATTTGCTACAATATGGATATAAACTGTTGGAAAATAAGCAACAATTTGACTTTTGGATTAGAGGATACAAAGTTATTACAATCCCCCTAGAGGGGTTTCGGGATATTACAAGAACGGTCGTAAGTGGAAAAATACTCTGGGATTCGCACAGGACTTGTTATCTTTTGGGAAAGCTGCAAAACTGAAATAGTATTTTGTCTACAGAGGTATTTACATTAAAGGAGACAATAGAATTTTCTATTGAAGAAAGGAAGGGACTGGACGTAAGTTTTTGTTCCTGAATAACAAACCTCTGCAGAGATACCAGATTTCTGAATTAGAAAGTTTTAGCAGCTGAACAGGACAAGAAACCTGAGAAAGTGAGGAAAAGAAGAACAAAGGACTGATTACGACACGGAAAGAACAACGGGAGGAGTGGTAAAGATCAAGGAAATTAAAGGCCTTTGTTAGATTGGACACTTGAAGTTACATATTATTAATAAATTAAAAGAAAACCGGCAAGATGGAATCGGGAGAAATTTGGTCATGAATTGAGTCAGATAGTTGTTTATTTCCTTGACATCTGATGGGAGGGCGTTCCACAGGGCGGGTGCCACTACCGAGAAAGCTCTCTGCCTGGTTCTCTGTAACCTCGCTTCTCTCAGTGAGGGAAGCTCCAGAAACCCCTCGGAGCTGGACCTCAGTGTCTAGGCAGAATGGTGGGGGTGGAGACGCTCCTTCAGGTATACTGAAAGAATAACAAAGCTCTCTTCATGCAGTAACCATACAAAGGACTAAAGTATGAATCAGGGAGAGTGACAGTGTGCTTCTGGTTTGGACACTGATGCAGCTGCCTGGCTTCTCCCCTCTAGTTTCTGCATATTCAGCAAAGGTCTGATGTGGGAGTCAGCTGTACCCATATACCTCAGAAACCCTGTGCAACTGGGGCTCCCAACTGTGTGTGGAGTCAAACGCACAGAGTTTAGAAGGGCAAAGCCAAGTCGCAATGCATAACCTCACAGGAGCGGCTAATGATATTCCTCTCCATTTTCTCTTCAGCTATAATGCAATGATCAGGGTCATGAAGTGATGGAATTTCCCCCTATTTGGAAAGTAGGTTGGGAGTTGAGGAACTTGATAGATTCAAAGAAAAATCAAAGAAATCCTGGGAATTATATATTCAGCACCAATTGTATGCTATATGGTAATTTATGGACCTAATAGGTACCTAAAGCGATTTGCACATAACAAATAGGAGCCTACACAACAAAAACACTGTTGCTGTATGTAGGGTTTATTTTACAGTGGTAAGGTAAAGGTAAAGGTACCCCTGCCCGTACGGGCCAGTCTTGACAGACTCTAGGGTTGTGCACCTCATCTCACTCTAGAGGCTGGGAGCCAGCGCTGTCCGCAGACACTCGGTCCATGCCAGCATGCGCTGCCAGCACCGGCACTAGAGCAGCTCACAGAACGCACATCATACCTTCCCGCTAGAAGCGGTACCTATTTATCTACTTGCACTAGTTGTGCTCAACTGCTAGGTGGGCAGGAGCTGGGACCGAACGACGGGAGCTCACCCCGCTGCGGGGATTCAAACCGTCGACCATGCGATCGGCAAGTCCTAGGCGCTGAGGTTTTACCCACAGCGCCACCCGCCTCCCTCATTTATTTTTTTATTTTTTTTTACAGTGGTACCTCAGGTTAAGTACTTAATTCGTTCCGGAGGTCTGTACTTAACCTGAAACTGTTCTTAACCTGAAGCACCACTTTAGCTAATGGGGCCTCCTGCTGCTGCTGCTCCACCGGAGCACATTTCTGTTCTCATCCTGAAGCAAAGTTCCTAACCTGAATTGCACTATTATAAGTTAGGGAGTCTACACACCTGAAGCGTATGTAACCCGAGGTACCACTGTATTTGTTTTTTATCTTATATTTTGGATATGTACATCCAGTTCCACCCCCTTTAATTTTCTTTAATTTTAATTTACAAAGGACAGCTGGACGTATAAAAGGGCCCCATGACCTTCAGTAGTTTAAGGCCTCATAAAACCTAAATCTGGCTCTGGATTCAGCCCAGAAATGGATTGGTTTTTCCACTCTTAAAGTGTGTTACAATCTTGCAGCATATCCAAATCACAGGGGTGACATGAAGGCGGGATTTCATACAGTCAGCACTTCCATGGAATCTCAGCCCAGTAGTAAGTGATCCTGGGGAATCCCCAAACTCTCTGAACCCCAACTGATGACCAGAAATACAAAATGGTAACAGCAGGGATGTTTAAGTGGGCCTGGAGTACAGAAATGAGGTTGCCGATTAAAGCACAAGGCCCTGAGAGTGCAGTGCAAATTGCAAAATATATGAAAGGAGCATCATTTAGATATTTGTATTCAGTGCAGAAGAGTAAACTGATTTACAGTTCCTGGCAGAGCCAGATTAATTTTTATTACATGAACTGAGATCCTGAAATCCTATTAACCTCAGAGGCAGGATAACTGCTCATAATTTGTGAGAAATATAGCTTTCAAAGTAACCTGTCCAAAGCAAGTTGAAGATTTTTGAGCCGCTGCAGGATGGAAAATGTAGATGCTTTAACATTCTGTACCGACGCATTTTAATTTGAGATTGAAGTCCATTGGGTCTGCTCCCCAGTCTAAGAAATGTGGGGTCTGGTCTGGATAGCTGGCACTAGTGGCAGTGGGGCCAAAGATGAATTCAAATAATTAATTTCTCTTCCTTCCTTTGCATAGAGATAGAGGGGGAATTCACAACTGAGCTTGCATTTGAAACCAAATCTTTCAAATTCACTGTTATGTACTGAAGTTCTCACCCTGGGCCAGCAGGGGGATACTGTAGATAGTTTTCACTCAGTCCATATATGCAAATAAGGAATTGAAAGTGACGTGCAGTGATTGGATAGTTACAGAAAGTTGTTACTGTTGCTTTGTAGTTGAGCTCTATATAAACAGGTTGGCTGAACCCTTTAGTTCAGTTCTGTTCTGGCCTGTGAATAAACAAGAGCTGTCTGAAGAATCGCTGTGTCATCTGATATGTTCACCCATAACTTAACATTCACACTTTCTGAAACAATATGAGAAGCGAAACATAGCCATCCTTCAAAATTCTTATATATCCCAATTTTGTGATGCAGTTCCATGGCCAAACAATGTTTACAAAAATGTATATTTTAGGTGTAAGTGTGGATGGAATTCAGTATATTACTGAAAAGAACATAAAAATGCATTGTATTCTGATTTTTAAAAAATTGTTTATTATTATATTTACCGTATTTTTCGCTCTATAAGACGCACCAGACCATAAGACGCACCTAGTTTTTGGAGGAGGAAAACAAGAGGGAAAAAATTCTGAATCTCTGAAGCCAGAACAAGAGGGATCGCTGCACAGCGAAAGCAGCGATCCCTCTTGCTGTTCTAGCTTCTGGGATAGCTGCGCAGCCTGCATTCGCTCCATAAGATGCACACACATTTCCCCTTACTTTTTAGGAGGGAAAAAGTGAGTCTTATAGAGCAAAAAATACGGTATATCCTGTCTTTTATCCAGGGAGCTGAAGGGTGATATTCATGGTTCTCACCTTCCCCATTTCATCCTCTCAACAACCCTAGGAGGTAGGTTAAGCTGAGAGCACATAACTGGCCCAAGGTCACCCACTGAGCATCATGGCTAAGCAGGGATTCAAACCTGGCCTTACTGGTCCTAGTCCAACACTCTAACCACTTGTTATTCAAAACTGCATATAAGAATGTGTTTCTCAAGATAAATTCACACTAAAATGCTGAAGAATTTTCGTGAATGTTTTTTAAAGGGGTATTTTTGAAGGAATGTGGAGAAACTGATTTAAGCTTGGAAAAATGAGAAACTTGCCAATGAGAGCCAAAATGGACAGATTCTTTCATCCCTATCTGTACATGATGACTTTAGGGCAGAGGTCAGCAAACTTTTTCAGCAGGGGGCCGGTCCACTGTCCCTCAGACCTTGTGGGGGGCTGGACTACATGGGGGGGGGGAATGAATGAATTCCTATGCCCCATAAATAACCCAGAGATGCATTTTAAATAGAAACACACATTCTATTCATGTAAAAACACCAGGCAGGCCCTACAAATAACCCAGAGATGCATTTTAAATAAAAGGACACATTCTACTCATGTAAAAACACGCTGATTCCTGGACCATCCATGGGCCAGATTTAGAAGGCGATTGGGTCGGATCCGGCCCCCAGGCCTTAGTTTGCCTACCCATGCTTTAGGGTCTCAGAACTTGGAGAACTTACTGGATGGTTAAATACGCATCTAGCTAAGGAAGCGATTTTAGTCTTCTTCTTCTTTGGTGATCACTCATAGCCGAATATGATTGTCTTCCATAAACATGGTTTTAACAGTGATTCCGTGACTGTGGAGCCCAATTCTGGATCCACACGTCCTTCCACGGTGAGGACATAGGTTTCCTGGAGGGAATTGATCACTGTCCCTTCCTCTTAGCATGTTTCTCCCTTTTGTCCTGAGTTTGAGCATCTTCAAAGCCCATTTGGGTTTGGGATCGGTTTTTGGAAGATGCCTGTGTGTGAATTTGTTTTATGTGTGTAGATCAGTGCACGCTGACCAACACACAGTCTTCTCAGTAAGGCTCTATTCTGATGACATGAGTATCACGACTTCATCCGCCATCACAGCTGCTGTAACATACATGTCCTGCCATTGAGAACTTCTTGGATCATTCTTTGTCTAGCTCCTTCCCTTTGACCTTACCACCTTCGGACCCTGCTGGGAGTACGAGACTCCTAACGGCTTCGCTCACAAGGGTCATAGGAATGTGCAAGCCCACTCACAACAACGTGATGATCCAGCAAGTGAGAGCCATTTTATAACCTAAGTCCTCTTCAGGCTGGACATAAGAGGGCCTGTGGGTGAAGGAAGCATGCCCAGTGCATGGCCAAGATGCAGGTCCAAGCTGAACACTTGATATGGACTCTATGTTGCCATAACTCAGCCCCTTACCACCTTGCAGAAGTGACCAAGCTGAATGGTTTAGCTGCATCTTTATGCGATCCATCCTGTTCTTGCTTCCCACAAGATATTTTGGACAATATCATGGATGCTATTACTAGTGGAGTGGCATGGACTGACTCCAACTGTGCTGATGACTTCCCAAATTCTCCTAGCTAAGGCCAACAGGTGTGTGCTACTGCCAGACTGCCATGTTGTCAATAGCCTAAGAAGCTTTTGCAGCTCGTAGGAGATATCTGCTTGTTCGTTCATGAGAAACAGGACTCACACGCTCAAAGACGTGCTCGGCTTTGGGGTTGTTGTCCCGCCCCCTTCATTTTATCATTGAGGAGACCTCATTTTGGCTTCATCTCCACCCTATTTCCTTCAGCAGGCAGGAAGGGAAACAGGAGGAGTCATTATAAGGCAGAAGGAGAAGAGAGCAGGGCAGGAAGTGAGGAGATAGGTGACCTTCTGCCCCTAAACTCCCCTCACATATTTTGACACTGGACTATTTTGAAATCCGCAAACTCGAAAAGCATTCCTATAATTCTTTTCCTTCAGGAGAAAATAAAAGGGGGGTGGGGAGAGAAATATGCATGGCTGCTACAAATAAATAAATAAATAAGGCACTCTTTTATTTTAATTTAATTCAAATAAATGTGATGCAAGTCGAGCTATAAATTCATGTAGCATTCCCTGTGCTAACTGGATTTCAATAAAGATGTTGGCATAAATCACTCTTTTTTGCCGATACACTGTGGCTCATTTCAGTTAATCAGCAAGAAAATAATCCAGAAATTACTTGAAAGGCTTCCAGTTATATTGAATGAAATTTCTATTCAGTCAGGAATGCTGGTCAGCGCTTTCTCGCCTCCCGCCATTAGACACCTCACCAGAGATCCATTTTACGCATCCCGGCCAGTCCCTTGCAACCACTAATATCATGTGGCAGCATAAATATGAAGGTTATTAATATTTTAAAAATCTAATTTTCTCTACATTATAGCTGTAATGAATTTTGATATGACTTAGGTGCCGCCAATTGCAGATTGTGACATCTCAAATGCTTGGCAATCAGCATGGCTGATTGGATGCGTTTTAAGTTTGAATATCCCTGAAGCGCTTGATTTACCGAGCAAGCAGTTCATGATGTAAGCATGGCTGTGAAGAAATGGCTTCAATGTCATGTGTATTAATCTAGAAATTACCTAAAAGGCTTAAATATAAAAACAAGCAAATAACGAAATAAGGTGTTAAAAATAAGCTGTGCTCTAAGGTGAATGAGCAGCAAGCTGGCGCACCACGCCCCCCAAATCACTTCACTCCTCCTTTGCCCTCAGCTGAGGGGAAATAAATGAAAGATTGCCTTTGTGTTATGTGCAAACCAGCTGTCATGGTTTGTTTCCTGTCAACAAACCACAAGCAGTGAGCCAAGGCATGTTCACACATGATACAATCCATCTCTGGCTTGTTTTCTTTGCAGTGTGCTGAAGCAAGGACTAAGGGAAGAGCGATGCATGGACTTTTGAGCAGCATGCCCCAGCACTTTGCTCGCTCACATTAAACTATTGTTGTTGTTTAGTCATTTAATCATGTCCGACTCTTCGGGACCCCGTGGACCAGAGCATGCCAGGCACTCCTGTCTTCCACTGCCTCCCGAGGTATGGTCAAACTCATGCTGGTAGCTTCAAGAACACTATCCAACCATCTCGTCCTCTGTCGTCCCCTTCTCCTTGTGCCCTCCATCTTTCCCAACATCAGGGTCTTTTCCAGGGAGTCTTCTCTTCTCATGAGGTGGCCAAAGTATTGGAGCCTCAGCTTCACGATCCATCCTTCCAGTGAGCATTCTGGGCTGATTTCCTTCAGAATGGATAGGTTGGATCTTCTTGCAGTCCATGGGATTCTCAAGAGTCTCCTCCAGCACCATAATTCAAAAGCATCAATTCTTCAGCGATCAGCCTTCTACTTGTACTTGTCCTCCGCTCTTCCTCAGTAGCATGTTGGACGCCTTCCGACCTGAGGGGCTCATCTTCCAGCGTCATAACTTTTATATGCCTGTTGTCTTTGTCCATGGAGTTTTCTTGGCCGGGATACTGGAGTGGCTTGCCGGTCCCTGCTCCAGGTGGATCACGTTTGGTCAAAACTCTCCACTATGACCTGTCCATCTTGGGTGCCCTGCATGGCATAGCTCATAGCTTCTCTGAGTTATTCAAGCCCCTTCGCCACGGCAAGGCAGTGATCCATGAAGGGACACATTAAACTATAGTTTCTTTTTAAACTATGGTTTCATGTTATGTGCAAACTGGGCTTATCTGTCTTGTCTTCACCCCTAAAAAATAGGTAGTGTTGCCACGAGCTATTTCTTGAGCTTACTTTCCCACACCTCTTCATTTCTTTTCAGATAGGGTGGATTTTATAGGCACCTGCTTGCCACGCAAGATATACCAGCACCCTTTTTCTAAAGACACTTTCCTGATGCTTTTTTTGTGTGTGAAAATGAAGTTCTCTCTAGCAGGAGAGGGTTCAGATAGTTTGCTGTCCACAGGCAACCAAAATTGCCACAACATAAGACAGCAAATAACCACGTGGGAAAGAAAGGAGGAATGAAGGATTCTGCAGGCTAAAGAAGCACTCAGTTTTAGACAACTGTAGAGTTGCAAGACAAGTTTGATCTGTTAGGATTCCAATATGAAATAACTTGATCCTTTACTTCCAGGCAGCTGTATTGACTGCAACAGTTTTGGACCAATCTCAAATTTCAGTGGTGCCCTGTGAAGTGGTGCATCTCAAATTTCAGTGGTGCCCTGTGAAGTCATACTACAGCTACAGATTTACTAATCATAAATCAGGACAAAAAAACATGTTGTATTTCTCTCATGTCATCTGAGAGAGAACAACAAAAGCAAAAAGATATACACAAATGGAAGTTCCCAGCATACTATGCTGGAGTGTAAACAGACATGTGACATGCAACAATCCACATGTCTGTTCCTTAAGGTGGAACGGAATTCCCAACCTCCTCCCCCCCTTTCCGTGTAACCTGTGGTGCAGTATTTCAACTCAACTGCAACCACGGTGCATAAACCTCACGCCTATTCTGTGTGCACAGTACACTCTGCTAATAGCGTGCCATGGCTTCTGAAATCTGGGTCGCTGATTTACGTCAGAGCACGGGCCGATGGATGGAGACGGCACAGCTGGAGCTTATCAGCTGGCCTCCCGGCCCTCTGCATGTCGATGCCTGTGTGATGCCAGAATCTAGCACACTCCCCAAAAAGCCTCTCGTCTTCCATTGGATGTCATAGTTGTACAGACCCCCAAATCTCTTATTCACTTCCATCTTATGCCAAAGTTTTGTACTAAGTTTCCTGTTTCAATCCATAAAATTCTGCTTTGGAAGCCCAGGTGACCTCAGTGCTGAGAAGTTCTTATGCAAAATTATGGCTGATTGACTAATTATGGCTGTTCCTAGACTGTCATGGCTGAGCATCAATGATCCATACTCTGATAGTTTAGGATTACTGAACCCAATCCTCAACCCAAGAGATATCCTTCTGGGCATTCAGCCTATTGTTTTTGCTCACAGCAAATTTGCCGATTGGACAACCACAGCACAAAACTTTGGCACAGATGTGAAGGAGATAGGACCATGTTGTTTCTTGTTTGTTCACTAGGATTCACCAAACGGTATGTCATTCACACGCTTGTAGGTGGCGGCAGACTTGTCACACAAAACCTTGGCATGGATATGACAATGACAGCTTTTTGAGTGTTTGATAGGCCACTCTTCTGGGTATGTTGGTTTCACACCTGAGCATGAAACCTGTGATTTGCAGCTTAAAACTTGGGATTTGTGGAACAAAACTTTGGCATAGGTTTGAAGGGGATTCCATATTTGGAGCTTTGTAGTTAATAGCTCCCTTGCAGACTAATGTGCTGATCAGAACATAATTATCCACTGGATTTCACACTTCCTGAATGTTCCAACACCGTACTTGGCTGAAAAAGAAGTGTCTCAAAATATGTTTAGAAATGTGTCTATTGTGGAGGGTGGAAACAGTTTCGAAATGTTTGATTTTAAGTTAAGTATTTTCAAATGGCTGCTCAGATAAATGTGTCCATCCCCTTCCCAAACCACAGTGGCTCCATCACCCTCACTGGTGTGATAGTGAGAAGGAAATATTCCCTGTAGCTTAAAGCAGAACAGCAATGATACACTAGCAGTATCAGTCACCCATCTAGAAGACATGTGGGCAATTCCAAACATCAAAATTCATGGAAAAAATAGATGCGGAATATTTCAGAAATATCCCTAAGAAGTACCTAGGAACTATGGTTAGCACATCTATAGATAATGAACCTATACACTAGGATTCTAACTTGAAATCAATGGGATTTGAGAAAGATCAAGGTTTAATTTTTATGACTCAGTGATAACAATGTTCATAGATACATTGTTAGAACGAGAACTAGCTTCAGGTATGGATCTATATTGTGTGTAATAAAATCATGATACTATTAGGAGACTTTTATAAAGCAAATCTCTAAAATGGGTCATATGTACCTTCTTTTATGATTTTTATTGCATTTTAAAGTACTGTCTGCAATAAAACCACTCTGCTGGGGACAGCACAATTTCTTTTAAAATAATTACATCTAAGAACTGCTTGTGGTCTGAACCTTGCCATGCAGCAGTTAAATATATTAAACCAGCTAAAGTACTTATATTTCTGAGATACTTGGCAGCCCTTCAGAGTCACTAAACTACAACTGCAGTCCAACTGCCTTCAGAGCCAGAGATGCTGCTACTGCAGCAGGCTCACTCCCACAAGTAACTGATCTACTTGATGTACGTTCAAGTGGATCATATGGGTGATCTATGTGAATGAACACCCTTTTCATGCTGGAAAAGGGACGCTAATAAAATATGGTGCCTGCTCTGCAATTAGATAAAAAAATGCAAGATGATTCCTACTTGGAATTGAAGATACAGAAGGTGAATCAATGGACAGCTCAGGCAAACATCAAAACCTCCAGAAAGACCAAAGCTCATCAAAACAAACAAAAAAGCTCTATTGTGGAGTGGTCATCCATTTAAAAATGCACTTCTTCCCTTGCTATTGTCCTTCATATTTTTAACACAAATAAAACAGAGTTGTGGCCTCCTATTTATCACAATCTGCAGCTCCCACGTAGCAAAGCCAATTATAAGTTTGTCAATTTCGTCCTCATAGCAATACCCACATTGCTGCTAAGAAATGTTGTTAAGGGCGAAGTTTTATGCTACTAATAACTCCTCTGGAGAAGCAGGGGCAGTTTTACATAGCGAATTAAGCGCCAAAGACTTCACAGCATTTTTAAACTGGGCACTTGCCAATTTTGTTTGGTTTCAATTAAGGCTCAAAGCTTTAGTCGGTTTAAGGGCCTGTCTAAATGTGTGTGTGTTTATGCTGTATAATTTCCCTGCTTGCTTATAAAGCAACTTTTGTATCCACAGGAACATGCAGGAGAGAAGACTGAACCCAACTATGCTCGAAGCTGCTTGAAGACGATTCCTTCAGCCCAGCTCTAACAATGGAAGTAAACTGGGCTGAGGAAGAACAACCATAGAGTAGCCAAGAGTGGCAAGGTTGCATTGGTGAGAGGTAAGGATGGAGGAGGAATTTGATTCAGTTCACATTAAAAAAACCCAAATCTATGTACAGTGGTACCTCAGGTTACATACGCTTCAGGTTAAATACGCTTCAGGTTAAAGACTCCGCTAACCCAGAAATAGTGCTTCAGGTTAAGAACTTTGCTTCAGGATGAGAACAGAAATCGTGCTCTGGCAGCGCGGTGGCAGCAGGAGCCCCATTAGCTAAAGTGGTGCTTCAGGTTAAGAACAGTTTCAGGTTAAGTACGGATCTCTGGAACGAATTAAGTACTTAACCTGAGGTACCACTGTAATTTGCATTTTCCAAAAACAGCACAAAGTCCAAAATGTTGAATTGTGCAAAATTCACTTTTCCAGATTTTGCAATGCAGTTCTCCAGCCAAGTAACATGTACAAAAATGCATACAAAGGGATAAAGTGTCCATAAAAATGCATCTATTAGTGAAAGTACCATGCAAAATGCATTGTGTTGGGGGAAATTCCACTACAAAGGAGTGTACATCAGGCAAAATTGCATACAAATACGTAGATTAGCATAAATTTGCACTAAAATGCTGATGAGTTTTCATGAAGAGCTTTTTTAAAAAATGCATGGAAAAGTGGAGAACTGGACTTAAGATAGGAAAAACGAGAAACCGAAAGAAACCAAAATAGACAGAATTGCCTATTCTGAGCTGTTGCCCCCCCCAGCCTTGCACAACGCTTTGTATTAAAAACAGACCCCCCCCACACCTCCTTGATATGTATAAATGGCCTATCTACTTGGGAATCCTTTCAACACCAATTCATTTGCTTTAAAATCTCTGAAGGTCTGCCAGGCAAACTCAGACTTTAGCATACACAGCTGGGTGTGAGGAACTGTCCAGTCTATTGGGTCTCACCACCAATGAATGTGGCAGCTAGACTCGTGACTGTGAGCGACCGCCAAGACCACATAACACCAGTCCTTAAAGACCTACATTGGCTCCCAGTACGTTTCCAAGCACAATTCAAAGTGTTGGTGCTAGCCTTTAAAGCCCTAAACAGCCTCGGCCCAGTACACCTGAAGGAGCGTCTCCACTCCCATCGTTCAGCCCAGACACTGAGGTCCAGTGCCAAGGACCTTCTGGCAGTTCCTTGACTGTGAGAAGTGAGGTTACAGGGAACCAGGCAGAGGGCTTTCTCGAGAGGGGCATGTACCCTGTGGAACTCACTCCCATCAGATGTCAAGGAAATAAACAATGATCTGGCTTTTAGAAGATATCCGAAGGCAGTCCTGTTTAGGGAAGTTTTTAATGTTTGATGTTTTATCATGTTTTTAATATTTTGTTGGGAGCCGCCCAGAGTGGCTGGGGAAACTCAGCCAGATGAGAGGGGTATGAATAATAAATTATTATCAGTAGTAGTAGCAGTAGTAGCAGCAGCAGCAGCAGCAGTAGTAGTAGTAAGAGTGTGACCTTGAACACACCCAGCTTCTGTGGCTTCGCATTACAAGGGAAAAGTGATACTGGTTGTCTTCCTTTGCTGTTCTTACCGATAAACTCTGAAAAGATTTAAAGATACTCTAGAGTTCTCTGGAACATAGCCAGAAAACAGATAAAAGAAAGTTTTTGTTGATTTATTGGTGGTGGAAGGACAGTTTTCATCTGCTGCCCACATACTCCACCACTGCGCTATATTCTGGAGGGAAGATTGTGTGTTCCGTATCTTCCATGGGCCACAACTGGCTGAGGAGTCAGAGAAGACTCCAGCTCACATCTAATCTGCCTCAAGTAAGGCCTTATTTCATTTACGCTGCTTCATGTGGCTGCTTCTACTTGTGTCCCAGGTTACTGTCACTGTTACTTTGAACAGACACCTGCTTTCAGGGTGGCTGATTCAATGCAATTACTTATCTGTAGCTTGTGAGTGTCTCATTTTGGTCTCCTCAGGAGCAAATCCCAAACCCCAGGAACAGTCAAAGCCTCAGGGTCATGGGGAAGACTATCCCGAAACAAGGGTGGAGCACTCTGCCTCAGTGCTTTTGGCCAGGGCAGGCTTGAGCCAGAACAATAAGTCTCACAGTGCAGGCAGGTAAATATTTGATGCTGGTATTCCATCTCTGGGCTCACCTAATGACAACTTAAAGAGGACATCTGCCTGGGAGTGTGAGAAGCCACACTTAGGAGTCTAGATTTCCCCATCTCTTCTTTATGTTCTAATGGGCTTCTCTTCCTTCTCCTGACTGTTCTGCAATGTTCCGTACATCCTCTATGTCTTCTTGCCCTTTGTTTGCCCACGGCATTGCAGCTGGGCTCTTTTCTCTCCACAAGGCTGATGACTGAGAGTTTTCTGCCCTGCTCCTTCATCTCTCAGAAGTAGAGCCTCTACGCCTGGCATGTCCAAAGTCCGGCCTCTGGGCCTGATGGCTTTGAAGGTCCCAACGGTCGGTTTAATCCGGCCCCTGTTGCAGTTTATTTCCTGGAGGGGGGAATCCTAAAAGAAGGTCAACAACTTTGGGGAGGGGGAAAGGCCAACATCTTTGGTCAGCCCTCACGCATGTTCACTTCATCAAATCTGGCCCTCTTTGGAAAAAGTTTGGGCACCCCTGCTCTAGACAGTGCCCAATGAACCATTAACTTGTTGGCACCTGGTGGTACCAATTGGGGGCAAATTACAGGGCCATGCACTAGAGGAGGAACCAGAAAGCCTGGTTTTGTTGTTGCTGTTTAGTCATTAATCGTGTCCGACTCTTCGTGACCCCATGGACCAGAGCACGCCAGGCACTCCTGTCTTCCACTGCCTCCCACAGTTTGGTCAGACTCATGCTGGTAGCTTCGAGAACACTATCCAACCATCTCGTCCTCTGTCGTCCCCTTCTCCTTGTGCCCTCAATCTTTCCCAACATCAGGGTCTTTTCCAGGGAGTCTTTTCTTCTCATGAGGTGGCCAAAGTATTGGAGTCTCAGCTTCACGATCTGTCCTTCCAGTGAGCACTCAGGGCTGATTTCCTTAAGAATGGATACATTCGATCTTCTTGCAGTCCATGGGACTCTCAAAGAAAGCCTGGTAGCCCTTTTAATTTGCAAATAAATATAATGGGCATGAAAATGCTGTGCAAGAAGCTGGAAATATCTGCAGAAATAAAGGGTTTGCTTTTGCACTCAGTGGATATCATCCTGAGCTTCAGAAAATTATATGCAAAATTGCAAGTGCTTGAATTAAAAAATAAATAAATGGGCCTGATCCTCAAAACTATAGCAGGAAATCTATTTATTATACCATCTGATTATTTTATTAGTTTAAAACCATTGGGAGTCCTTCTTCTTTGAAGTGGTGTTAGATCCTGTGTTACTGCACTTCATAATTGGTTCGTGAAATAATCCCCATCTGCTCAGGGCAAGGGAGACCACAGGAATAAAGTGATTAAGTGTTGTCATCAGATTTGTGATCCCACTGAATTCAATGAATTTAAAATACTCTACTTTGTGTAAAATATCGCAACATTACAGAGTGATCATTTAAATATGTTCATACAGCATCTCATTTGCAGCAAAAACTGGCATGCACAGTAATGTGAAATATGACCGTTTATGCAGCACTGGAAAGTTTATTTGTAATAAACTGTGAGAGCATGTATCAAAATGTGGAGTTTTAAAGCATACTGAAAGGCACAGGGGATTGGAAATGGATGCCAGTATGTTCAGCAAAGGTTTAAAAAGCCATTTCACATTGTGCCTATGAAGTGAAGATCAATCTAATCCCCCCAGAAAACCATCAGTACAGCCAAAAATGTTAGACTGTAGCCTTTAAGTCCCAGCAGGTATCGTAACTAGCCTGAGGGTTCTCTGGAGTTTCATTTCTGACACAACTGTTTGGTATTTATCTCTTTTAGCTATCATATAAGTCATATGACATTAGCAGTTGCCATGTGTAATGGGAAGAAAGGGGCAGCTGCATCTTTGCTAAAGCTCACGTGGTTGTGTTAGTTTGTACCACATCCAAATATATGGATTACACCGGCATACTTGGGACTGATGGAATCAGTGTTCCAGGAGACTAATGCCCCTAAATGGGCATGCATATCCCAATTAATATAAATAAGCCCCCCCCCTTGGATTTAATTCATATGTGCCCAGACAAGCATAGGTATGGATGAGCAGTCAGATGCATCAACTCCTGCATGCACAGTTTTCTTTATTATCATTATTATTATTATTATTATTATTATTATTATTTTATTCAAAATTATAACAAGACATATTATCCAAAAACATATCATCCCATTTTTCCTCCCTCCCCCCCACAAGACCCACCACCCCCCGACTTCCCTCAGTTCCAGTCTTTGATTTCTCTAAGAATGCTGTTTTCTGCATGTTACAAAGTTGTATAGATCCTCAAACTATTTAGCTGATTATTATCAATAAAAAGTTTGTGTATGTTTATTCAAAACCTGCCAAGGAGTCCAGTTTTTGCGTCTTCAGATACTTTGTAAAGGGTTCCCATTCATCCTTAAAGTCACAGTTATCCTTGTCCTGTAGCCTATATGTCAGTTTTGCCAGTTCTGCATAGTCCATCAATTTTTCTTGCCATGATTCTTTAGTTGAGGTTTCTTCAGTCTTCCATCCTTGTGCTACTAGAACTCTCGCGGCCGTTGTCGCATACATGAAGATGTTTTTCAACTTTTTTGGCAGGTTTTTCCCTACAACCCCCAACAAAAATGCCTTGGGTTTTTAAACAAATGTTAAATGGAACATTTTCTTCAATTCGTTGCATATCATTTCCCAATTTTTTTTAATTACCTTACAGTCCCACCACATATGATAAAATGTCCCCTGCTTTTCCGACATATATTTGAACTAGTTTTGTACATTTTCCCTAACTGCACTGGTGTTGTGTACCATCTGTACATCATCTTCATGTAATTCTCCTTAAATAGGGAATAATCTGTAAATTTTAAGTCACTTTTCCATAATTTTTCCCAATCTTCCATCACTGGGAGTGTTGTGACCTACATCTTGTGTCCATTTAATCATAACAGTTTTCAAACAAGCAATGGGAGGTTAGAGAATTCCATCAAAAATGGAAACAGAAGTGGAAATTGCCACAATTTGCATGTTCATCTGAGGTGAGGAACAGAAATCACACAAGCAAACACAAGGCAGTATTCACTATCGTTGGGTTTTGCAGTCCAGAAATGCTACATAGATAATTACATTCTCTTCTGCATTGGTTTCAACATTTCCCTCCTGCTGAAATGTCTTACATCAGTTTCAGGCATAGAGAAGAGTGAGATGAATAACGTAGGTTTTAGCAGAAGCCGAACTGCAGCAGGATAGAAATGGGACTGATTGCGAGAAACACAGAATAGGATGGTAACTGCTGCTTCTTTACATCCCTAGTTGTATTGAGAGCCTTGCAGGTGGTGTTCCACTCACACAATGGGACTTTCCCCTTCTCTTCCTAGTGCTCTCAATATCTGCTCCAGAGGTTCTCCTGATCTTCTAGAGAATATATGAGGGGTGTACAGAGGTTCCATATATGGAGATATGTTTTATAACTGAATTAAGGCAACAGATTTTCCTTTTACTTAGTGAACATAAGAACAACAGTGAGCGGGGTTGGATAGACAGGGTTCCCTAGGCGGGGAGTTCTAAAGCCTAGGTGCAGAAATTGATGAGGTCCTTTATTGCATTCTCACCAAACACCCTTAAGATAACAACAGGACACTGAAGAGCCTCTTTTGGAGTTGTTAGAACCCAGGTAGACTCATAAAGAAGGGAGGAGTAGCTCAAGGATTATTTCTTTAAAATATGTCTAAGTCACTCTTCATCTAGGCAGACACCGAGTAACTTTGTACTGCTTCAGCCTCTCCCACTGCGTTTAGTTTTTGCTCATCTTTTTGTGGGGTTACAATTCTCCTGAGCTAGGGCTGCCATATGTCCAGGGGAAATTTCTGGCGCTTTGACCTGATCTTAGGCAAGCCAATCAAATAAAAGCTCAACAACTTTTTGGGATTTTCCTTAAAAAAAAAAAATCAACAATTTTGAAGTCTCTTTTAAAAAGCTCAACAACTTTCAGGGTGTCCTGGTTTTTACTTTCTGAAATATGGCAACCCTACCTGAGCTCTAGCCAGGACAAATTGTAGTCCAAAATATCCGGGTAGTGCCAGGTTGACTAAGACTGAACCTCCTCCTTCCTTTTAGCAAATTCTGCCTGAAATAAAAACACCTCTCGTGGGCCATTTACAGATGCTCTTTATCCTTATCCTCTTCCCCTCTACAAGCTTTTCCAAGGCTACAGGAGTACTACTGCCATTTCTGAATGACCTTTTTGAACTTAAGTTGGGTAAAGGACAGCATTTCTTTACATGGGAGCATTTCTTCACTCTGATCTTAACCACCTCATTGAACAAGGCACAAGCTACAGATATCCAGATCTTCCTTCCTTCTTTCCTTCCTTCCAGGAGGTCCAAAAACCCTCCAGTGACAAGGAAGAGCACAGAAAATGCAATGCATGTATGAATGTGAACTTGACAGGGGAGGAAGGGAGGGAGGGAAGGACGACATCGGAATGTGGTGCTCAGTAACCTGCCTGCCGCACACCTCTCTCCTAGCAAATAAACAATATTCTGAAGCTGGATAAATGCTTTATTGAGAAGATAACATATTGAGCTTTCAGCTACTGCCGTCCCACGTGCCACGCTGGCAAAGACGGAAGCATCGGTTTTATCACATAAATAAAGCATTTCTCAAAGCCACCGAGAGCAATGAATAGCATTTCTTTTCCGCGCAGCAGAACGGTGTGCCGCAGATAGCGTGACTTCCAGAAAATGAAATTGCCACTGTTGAATTTTAGACAGCTTCCGACAGGAACAATGAAAGGGGTGGGGAATTTAGCAGGGCGCTGAGGGCGGCGGGGGGGAGAGAACTTGACTATGTATATGTACATTGTAATTCACAGGTGAACTAGTCAAAAGAGAAAGCAGAGCAGAACCTTTACAATTATAGTCTTTTCCCCCTCTTTTTGTAGTGCTGCTTCTATGTCTTTACCCAGCCAGGGGGAAAACCCCAGGGAAAAGTGGCACAGCCATAGCTTCTACTAATATTAAGTCTTGACTTCCAGATTATCAATTTGCATCATTTATTCCTCAATATTATAAGGTTTCGTGCAGAATTCTTATATTTTATTGTGGTGCTAGGGGAGCATGTAGCCTTCTCTTCTTTTTTGACTCACAGCAGCTCAACTCGGGAAAATGCCCTGGAGAAGTGAGGCTGATTCGCTCCTCAGCAATTTCCTTTCTCCCATCAGACAGCAGCAACCCAGGGCATGCCCACTGCCAATTACACCTGAAGGAGTCAAATAGAAGCAGCCCACAAACCTCTTAGACCAGCCTGGAAGGGAGGAAGCCCTCTGCCCCATAACCTGCAGCTGTTGTTACAGAATCTGTTTGCAAAGCCATACAGTGGCATGAAAGGGAGAACAAAGCAGAACATCCGTTTATTTTATCCTCATCATACCCCTTCTTATCGGCTGCATAGAAAAGCTCCATAGAAAAGCATGAACAACACATTGAACATGCAGGAAAAATAAGGAGGAAACGAGCAGGAAGGAAGGAATTCTGATGGGATAGGAGAACAAGGCAACTTCAGGAGACATCAGCGGCCACGTAATTTGAGACTTGGGCTGCATGAGGCTACCTGCTTTAGGGAGGCTGCATGCAGGTTGCTCACCTATGCTATAGATTAGAGATGGGGAGAAACATGAGTCCATTAGGATTTATAGGCAAACCTACTTAATTTGCATTTTTGGGTGGGCGGGGGGATGAACCAAAGCACAGATGCCCTTCAAAAGGTACACTTCTCTGAATTTTTGCCAATCTTTTCTCCACTAAGCAATGTATATCAAAAGGGCAAAGTGTGCACAGTAATGCATGTATTAGTGAAATAGCATAGAAAATGCATTGTATCACTGTAAATTGCTTTGCAGGAAAGGTGTGTCTAGGACAAAATGCCATGCAAAGATACACATATTAGCGAAAAGTCACACTGAAATGCTGCTGAATTTTCATGAGGAACAAAAAAAGAAACATTTGCAAACTGATGCGAAAATGTGGAGGACTGAATTTAAGAATGGAAAAGTGAGGAAATTATTTATTTGTTATTACATTTATATGCCACCTCCCAAGGAGCTCAGCGTAGTGGTACATTAGGCTAAGAAATGGTGACTGGCCCAAGGTCACCCAGTGAGTTTCATGGCTTGTGGGGATTTGAACATTGGTTTCCCATGTAATTGTTTGACACACCTAACCATTTCAGCACATCAACATTGACAGAACTGACCATAGATGTTTCAGCAGCGAAGAAACTTCATGTCAAAGAAGGCCCACTACCTCTCTTCTCCACGATCTTCCACTTGTAGTGAAAGATGTTTATATTTGGATTTGAAAATATGCTGAGATTGGTTTTAACTGCATGTTTTAATTGCTTGATTTTTAATTGCCCTTGTATTATTATTTTTGCATTATTGTACATTCTTCCACTCACATATTTACTTGCTGTTCATCAGCAAAGTATAAACTATCACAACACTGCCCTCTGAAAATCAGTAGGCTCCAAAGTTAGCACTGTACTGCTTAAACCTGAATTCTTATTAATGTACAATAGTTCAAAAAGTTGTGCAAGTTCATATGAAAACCCTCGGTTGATCGACGTAACAGTGAGCCAGATTAGGATAGCAGCTGCTGCTATTTCTCTTCTCTTTCACATGGGTGGGTGAGAGAGGGCTTGATTTATTCCCTATCTGCCTTCTTCTAATTATAATCTTTTTTCTTTCTCTCTCTCTTTTTTGCTTCTGGATGGCACACATCTGGGACTCAGCTTGATGTAGCCAATTGCAATTGACATTTCCCATAGCCCAGGGTTAGTTTAGCATTAATTAACACCAGATTATTAGCATCTTTCTTCTTTATTTCTGTGGTTCTCAGGCTCTTTGCAAAAACCTACTTAGCAAAGAAGAATGAATCCAAAGCTTCTGTCCTAAACCTATTTAGACCTAAGGCTGGTCCAAACAGGCATGCATGCCACCTGACTTTTTGTGCTCGATTTTTATTTGAGAAACAGTTCACATATGCCATTCATCAATTCATGTTGCAGTCCATTAAATAATGAACATGCATGTCTGAAGAGGCTCGTTGTTTCTCATTGGTGGGTATAACATAACCAATCCTACGGGAGCAACTGAACTACAGGAGAGGTAATCTGAAGGAAAAAAAATCTTTTCAGAGGAGTCACTTCTAGAGGCAGAGGTAACATGGGGTACTCTGTTGAAAACCTTGCTGAAATTGAGATACACTACACCTACGGCTTGAGAGTCCCATGGACTGCAAGAAGATCAAACCTATCCATTCTTAAGGAAATCAGCCCTGAGTGCTCACTGGAAGGACAGATGGTGAAGCTGAGGCTCCAAGACTTTGGGCACCTCATGAGAAGAGAAGACTCCCTGGAAAAGACCCTGATGTTGGAAAAGATGAAGGGCACAAGGAGAAGGGGACGACAGAGCACAAGATGGTTGGACAGTGTTCTCGAAGCTACCAGCATGAGTTTGACCAAACTGCGGGAGGCAGTGGAAGACAGAAGTGCCTGGCGTGCTCTGGTCCATGGGGTCACGAAGAGTCGGACATGACTAAACGACTAAACAACAACACACCTACGGCATTCCTCTGATCCACCAAGCTTGTAGCTCTATCAAAAAAAAAAAAAAAAAGACTCTGGTATGACTTGCTTTTGAGAAACCCATACTGGGTCTTAGTAATCACAGCATCCTTTTCTAAGGGCTCCCAGACTTATTGTTTAATTGTCTGTTCTGGGACCTATCCTGGTGTCGATGTTAAGCTCACCAGTTGGTAGTTACCTGGATCAATACTAAGGCCACTCCAGCAGGCTACTACTAGGCAAGCTTCAGTATGAGGATTCAGTATGAGGGGGCTGAGAAGCCCTCATTGTTTTCCTTATGGCATCACTGGGAGCACTGGAACTTGGATGGGTTGGGCTCAAAACAAGCTTATTGTGAGCCAAAATCAGTTGGGATGAATCCATTCAAGGCAAGCTTGGACAATACTACAAACCAATACTTTGCAACCTGAAGATCACTGTTCACTGTTCTGATCGTTCCAATAGTCTTGTTTGCAGACAGTGAAATACAAATAGTGTTTAATTACAATTAATTAGCATGACAGACTAGCATGATAGGAGTTTTCTCCCTGCGCTTTCCCGCCCTTAAAAATAAAAGTCTGGATTAAGTATTTTATTGCTGAGGTCTTTGCATAATTTTATAACAAGAGTTCCTTTGATAAGCTGGGTTGTCTACATTTTCACACTTTTTCTTCCTGAGGAAATTTGGTATTTCTCTGGTTTTGGAGAATTTGTAGCGGGGTGGGGAGGATGCCACGAAACAGAGAGAAATAAATAGAGGAATGTTCCTTCAGAGAAACTATGCATCTGGTCTTCAACAATTGAGTTAAATCTATCTGAAGTAATTATCTCCATCTTCTTAAAAATCAATGGCAACAGAAGCTCAGTCTGTGTCATACTCTGCCTTAATCGGATTTGAGATATTAGATTTTAAGCACAGGCACGATCATCTCCTTAATTGAAGCAGCCATTCTTCTCAGTTGTGTGACAGAGGGTGAATACAGACAGTCATAAGGCAAATGCTGTACTTGCTACAGTTCAAGGTACCATTTGAGATTTTCAGGAAGGTCAGCTTCCATTTATGATGGGGCTGTGGTAAGCCAACATCACCCGTCAAACTGCAAGCTTGCCTGATTTTGGGGTGGCTACCAGTCATACTTTTAAAACAACCAAACACTTTGTTGTTGTTTAGTCGTTTAGTCATGTCCGACTCTTCGTGACCCCATGGACCAGAGTATGCCAGGCACTCCTGTCTTCCACTGCCTCCCGCAGTTTGGTCAAACTCATGCTGGTAGCTTAGAGAACACTATCCAAACATCTCGTCCTCTGTCGTCCCCTTCTCCTTGTGCCCTCCATCTTTCCCAACATCAGGGTCTTTTCCAGGGAGTCTTCTCTTCTCATGAGGTGGCCAAAGTATTGGAGCCTCAGCTTCATGATCTGTCCTTCCAGTGAGCACTCAGGGCTGATTTCCTTAAGAATGGATAGGTTCGATCTTCTTATAGTCCATGGGACTCTCAAGAGTCTCCTCCAGCACCATAATTCAAAAGCATCAATTCTTTGGCGATCAGCCTTCTTTATGGTCCAGCTCTCACTTCCATACATCACTACTGGGAAAACCATAGCTTTAACTATACGGACCTTTGTTGGCAAGGTGATGTCTCTGCTTTTTTAAGATGCTGTCTAGGTTTGTCATTGCTTTTCTCCCAAGAAGCAGGCATCTTTTAATTTCGTGACTGCTGTCACCATCTGCAGTGATCATGGAGCCCAAGAAAGTAAAATCTCTCACTGCCTCAATTTCTTCCCCTTCTATTTGCCAGGAGGTGATGGGCCCAGTGGCCATGATCTTCGTTTTTTTGATGTTGAGCTTCAGACCATATTTTGCGCTCTCCTCTTTTACCCTTATTAAAAGGTTCTTTAATTCCTCCTCACTTTCTGCCATCAAGGTTGTGTCATCTGCATATCTGAAGTTGTTAATGTTTCTTCCGGCAATCTTAATTCTGGCTAGGGATTCATCCAGTCCCACCTTTTGCATGATGAATTCTGCATATAAGTTAAATAAGCAGGGAGACAATATACAGCCTTGTCGTACTCCTTTCCCAATTTTGAACCAATCAGTTGTTCCATAACAATAAATCCCCTTTCCCATAGACACATTTAAAAGGCTGTAGAATAATAATCAGCCAAAGGCCTGGTTGAAGAGCAACATTTTCACCTGGCACCTAAAAATATATAATGAAGGCGCCAGGTGGACCCCTCCGGAGAGAGCATTCCTCAAATGGGGAGCCACTACAGAGAAGGCACATTCTTGTTTTGCCACCATCCAGACCTCATGTGAAGGAAGCACACAGAGAATTGCCTCGGATGATGAACGCAGTCCAGGATGGTTTATATGGGGAGAGGTGGTCCTTCAGGTATTGCAGCCCCCAAATCAGTGGGATCTTGGAAGACAGCAGGAAATAAAGCTTGGTGGCTCAACAGATTCCCAAATTGCGTGTCTGCTACCTCTGGATACGTTGCTTTATTCTGATCAGTACTTGGACAGCTACATTTGTACCAGCTGAAGTTTTGGGATGCAAAGCAGCATCATTTAGACACATTGCAATAGTCTAGCCTTTGGATAACTAGTCTTTGGATAAGAAAGGCATGTGATACCATTTCTACGAAGAAGCATTGTTCAACTGTACTTGAACTCTGTACATGTCCCGAGACTGTGTGCATATTTCAGCTTTGTACTGAGCTACAAGCACAGAGCGTAATGGTTATGAATTAAAGGAAGCAACAATGAATTAGAGGAAGCAAACGGTTCAAGATAAATCAGTCCCAGATTATCACTGATTTGCAGGAGTGAGTCAAGTGCATATCAAAACTTTTAGGTCTGCACAATTAAAGTGGACTAAAGTGCTCTGTTGCCCTACAAAATGGAATTTTCTGGTAAGGAAAGTTATGCGGAAAGGCACTGAAAAGTATGGCTCAGAAATTATTAAGGAAAGAGGTGTTGCTGTTTTGTTGGTGTTGTTGTTAAAAAATACATTTGCATACGGCCCTACATCTATAGATTTCAGGGTGGTTCACAGAATAAAACTACAATATAAAAACACCAAATACATAATAAAAACAAGAACAAACCAAACCAATAATCCCTTCCTCCTCCCCACCCTCTCCAAACACCTTGCAAGGAAAATCAGGACAAATACTCATTGTCATATAACGATCCTTCAAACAAATCTGAACAAATGCTCTGTAAAGGAAGGCACTGTGCAAACAAAACAGGATGGATGCTGAATAAAGAGGTTGTCTGGAGGGAGCCTCCCAATAAAGCAAGAAAGGAGGACTCCTTGAAACTAGCCATTATGAAGAACAGGTGCTCAGAGTAAGATGCTGTCCTCACTAAGAAATTAAGATGATTATGACGATCTTTACTATTAAAAGTGCCGGGACCAGGACTAATAACAATAATGATGGTGATAATAATAATAATAATAATAATAATTATTTATTATTTATACCCCGCCCATCTGGCTGAGTTTCCCCAGCCACTCTGGGCAGCTCCCAATCAAGTGTTAAAAACAGTACCACGTTAAATATTAAAAACTTCCCTGAACAGGGCTGCCTTCAGATGTCTTCTAAAGAGAAGATAGCTGCTTATTTCCTTCACATCTGAAGGAAGAGTGTTCCACAGGGTGGGTGCAACTATCGAGAAGACCCTCTGTCTGGTTCCCTGTAACTTCTTGCAATGAGGGAACCGCCAGAAGGCCCTCGGCGCTGGATCTCAGTGTCCGGGCTGAACGATGGGGGTGGAGACGCTCCTTCAGGTATACTGGGCCGAGGCCGTTTAGGGCTTTAAAGGTCATCACCAACACTTTGAATTGTGCTCGGAAACGTACTGGGAGCCAATGCAGATCTCTCAGAACCGGTGTTATGTGGTCCCGGCGGCCACTCCCAGTCATCAGTCTAGCTGCCACATTCTGGATTAATTGCAGTTTCCGGGTCACCTTCAAAGGTAGCCCCACGTAGAGCGTGTTGCAGTAGTCCAAGCGGGAGATAACTAGAGCATGCACCACTCTGGTGAGACAGTCCACAGGCAGGTAGGGTCTCAGCCTGCGTACCAGATGGAGCTGGTAGACAGCTGCCCTGGACACAGAATTAACCTGATAATACCTAACTGAGACTCCCTGCCTATTTTTTTACTTCATTCTGTTGTGTGGGGGGGGGGGGGGGGTCGAGCATTGCTGTGGGAACTGGATAATTCCATAAAATTCTCAGCCTAGATGAAATCTGAAGCAATGCTGTCAAGCTGGTAGAAAATCATCATGCTATTTCTAAAAGCAATAGCAGAAACAGTATAACTAGATGCAGCAAAAGATGGATATGCTTTGCCACATCACAGTACTGTAGTATTCAGAAAAAACTGATTCCCCCAAATTCCCTCTAGTACGAGGTACAGGGACCCTTGCCATCTGTTGCCTTAGCCATATGTATAAATGTGGTGCTTTGCATCCTGGCTGATGGAATATGAAAACAAAAATGCTTTCAGGTAATTAATTTTTAGCCACTCTGCATTGTCAAGAACTCAACTATTTGAAAGCCATTAGTTGGCATGGAAACATCAACTTAATTAAAAATGGATTAAACTAATTAACCTGAAACATATTGTACTATGGATTGTTTTCCTTCGGAAGAAATCTGAAACAGTGGGAACATTAGGACATTTAAAACGATCGTTTCGGCTCTTCTGTTGGCTGAAAATATTTCCTGTTTCCTGAAGAGTCCCAGAGGTTTATGCGTCTCTAAGGAGTACCTGTCATGATCAGGTGGACAGATGGTGTTAATGATAACACCTTTGCTGGCAAATTATCTGTTTTTGCAGCAATCTCGATTGTGTACGTAATGTGCGGTTTAAGGCATATCTGTGTTTTACGCTTGTGAGTTGCCGCTTTTTAATAGATCAAGCAAGCAATAAGAAATATCCTCTAGCAAGTTCAAGTTCTGCAACCTATAAATGATTTTGGCTGATAGATGAATCATCTTAAGCTTCAGTTAATTGCTGAAGATCAGTTTTAATATGTGGCCACAAGTTTTGGTTAGGCTGTTTGAGAGTTAAGAGCACACGGTCAGCTGTTGATGCTGATTTGGTTTGGTACTGGTGTCTTAGGACTTATTTTACAATTTAAAATATTCATTAAACAACCTTAAAATGTCAGTGACTTCCCTTCTTCTCTTTCCATGGTTCGATTTGCATATCATAAATCCCTGCGTATTTTACATAAACTAAACCATTTAGTATTCCATTAATACATCCATCAAAACTTGTTTACATTGTTGAATTTATCTTAATGCTGCCAATGTTTTCAAGTGTACACAGTTCCCGCCCCCCCATATATTCAAAAAACATTTTCCAATCTTCTCTAAATGTATGTTCTTCTTGTTCTCTTATTCTATACGCTAGGTCTGCGAGCTGCTCATATTCCATCAGTTTAAGTTGCCATTCTTCTTTAGTTGGGACCTCGCTCGTTTTCCATTTTGGGGCTAACAAAACACAGGCCACAGTAGTGGCATACAAAATTAGCCTTTTTTGACACCTGGGGATTTCCATCTGAATTATCCCCAACAAAAAGGACTCTGTTTTTTGTTTTGTTTTGGAAAAGTACTTTTAAACAGTTTTTTCAATTCATTATAAATTATTTCCCAATACTCTTTTACCCTTTTACAGGTCCACCACATATGCAAGAATGTACCGTCGCCCTCTTTGCATCTCCAGCACTTATCTGATTCAGTCTTATACATCTTAGTAAGCCTACTCGGAGTTAAATACAATCTGTAAATCATTTTCAGATAACTCTCCTTCAGAGGATGACATGCTGTAAACTTCAGATCTGAAGTTTAATACTCTAATTTACTGAGGACATTACCAAATGTTTCCTCTGCATTTTCCAAGCATGGCCCCTACTTTAAAGATCTGTGTCCAAGTACTCCTCCTTTTTTTGCTTTCCCTGTGAAAACCCACTCTTTAAAGATGAATCGGCACAAACAGCAACCCACGGAAAAGCCAGATTGCTGTTCATTGCAGCAGACTTTTGCAGGGAACACTCCAGAAAGAAAGAAAGAAAGAAAGAAAGAAAGAAAGAGCTTTAGTGCCTGTAAAGAGTGAGGCAAAAGGTAAGTGTGGATAAGCCCTTAGTGTAATGGGGAATTAAAAAGAAATTCTGAAAGTACAGAAATTACCGGTACATATTTATTGAAACTGAATTGATCAGTTAAATTAACTTGCTGAAAGGTGGGGAACAAATCCCTTAATAAATATTCACATAAACATTTTAAAATTATTAATCACCTTCCTTTTTTTCCAATTAATCTGTTAACAGCTCAAGAAGAATAAGAAATAGTCAAGAAATAATCTTTTTCTTTCTCACTGGCAATTCTTAGTGCTCAGTCCTATGTGCTGCTGCGCTTGAG